GAAATTAAAAAAAAGGGCTCTGTTACCCCCTGGAGTATCAATCTGGGAATCATCATAGTTAATTTCACAGTTCCAGCACCTTTTGAAAGTTCTCCAGGCCTGGAATAAGAGAACCATGTGCACTACCCTGATATTCTGCTGTAACTTGAAAACCAGTGAACATAACTTGATGAAATTTTGTAGTTCTAATGCTTTTGCTATAAGTCTTGTGAGGGCGGCCGAGAGAGGGCGTTACGTGACGGCGTCATCATCATCGGGACTTGGCCGAGAGAGGGCGCTACGTGACAGCGTCATCATCATCATGGGGACTGGAGTGGTGGGGGTTGCGTGTGTGGGGAAGGGGGAGTTCGGCCTGGTTGGGGAGAGTGGCAAGACGTAGCGGGGTGTGGTGCGTGATTTAGGGTTAGCGCGTAACAAGTGGGGGCCCGTCCGAGATGGCTTCAGGCCCGACAACAGCAGCTGACGACATGCCTAGGCTCCAAGGTGTCGAAGAGCTGTTGCTGGGCATCGACGGCTCCGCCATGGAGCACGAACGAATCGCGGCGGTCGTGCGCGATCGAGTGATGGCAACGCCGCTGCCCACGACTCTGCACGTGGGAGCATGGACTGTTAACACTGGCGCGGTCCCTCGGGCCACCGACGACTCTGCGCCTTGGCTCGCCGCTGCGTACCTCCCTCGCTACTCCGGTGCTAGAGACTTGCAGTCGCCGGAGGAGTTTCTTGAACGTTTGGAAAACTTCTGCCTCGTGACGGGGGTCGCCGCCGATAAGCGACTGACACACGTGGTACCGGCTGCCCTCGAGGGTGGCGTGAAGTTGTGGTGGCGGTTCGTGCGCGGGTTCGACTCGTGGGAGCAATTCACCGCCGCCTTCCGCTCCGAGTTCTCGTCGATTGACGCGAAGCGTCGCCGAAGGCGGAGCTCGAACAGCGCATGCAGCACCCGGAAGAAAATTTGAAGGAGTTTATATATGCGATCGCTACGTTTTACGACCGCATCGGGGAAGAGGTCTCCGAAGCCGAGAAGGTGCAGCGCGTACTGAGGCAGATGCACCCTCAGTTGCAAGATTTGGCGGAGCGGCATGCCTACAACGACCTCGCCGAGTTGGTGAAGGCAGCCGACGGCCTAATGGAGCGGGCTTGGCGTCGCCTCCAGTACAGACCACCGCCACTTCCGAGCAACCAAGAAGCCAGAGATCTGGCGTTCCGCCCTAGCCAGGCCCCCGACCATCCCTCACTGCCGCAGCCGAACACTATGGCGACGGCGTCGTTCGCTTCATTTGCTGCTGCCCCACCGGCACCGCCGACTTATCACTGTCCACTGCATCCAGCTGCGCTATACCCGTCGTACTGCCGGGACCAACAGTACTCGTGCGACACAGCGCCTCTGTTCTCACCCTACGGGCTGGGACCGATGCCGCGGCAGGAGCCCGTGAGTGGAGCAATGCGTGTGCAGTGCCATCGCTGTGGTGGATTCGGCCACATATCTCGTAACTGTGCCACGGGTCGACGAATGGGGCCCCCCGTTTGCTTCCGGTGCCAGCGATCGGGTCACCTGCAAGCACAGTGCCCGGGAAACCAGTGGCGGTAGGTGCTGCGCCGGCGGGCACCTACGGCAGTGCGCACCAAGTAGCGACCACAGCCGGTGGCAAAGAGCCCCTTATGGACGTCCGTATCGGATCGTCGACGTTCAAGGCCCTGCTAGATACAGGCTCAAGTGTAAGCTTCTTCGGAACGCACGCCGCGGCGGCGGCCCAAGCTTCTGGAGCCAAACCCAAGGCAGACGTACACGTGCTGCGTTTGGCATCAGGCTGGTCGCAGTCAACCATGTCTCTGAAGTGCCAGATCGAGTGGGCTGCCGGTTGCCGCAGACAGCAGTTTTTGTGCGTTCCTGACCTGTGCTGCGACGTTGTCCTTGGTAGGGATTTCCTAACGGTGAGTGGCATCTCTCTGCACGTGTCACACTTAGTGGGTGGACTGTCGGCACAGAACCACAAAGAATTGTGCCCTTTGTCAAGGCCGTTAAGGAACAGCCAGAGGCAGTGGATGATTTTGGAGACAGTCTGCGCTGCATTTTTGCTGAGGGCGATGCCAGTGTGTGTGCCTGTGTGCAAGAGGCGACTGCAGCCTGCAATGTGATCATTCCCGGCCACTCGTCAGACCTAGACCCACGCATGAAACACATTTTAGAAGAGTTTAGAGAAATATTCACCACAACTCTGGGCTGCACGACCCTGGCAGAGCATCGCATAGACACGGGAGACAACCCACCTGTTCGATGCAAACTGCGACCAGTGAATGCCAAGAAGCAGGTTGTGGAAGGGCCTCCTTGAGCATTGGGGCATACAAGACCGACACACTGTTCCGTGCCGCCCTGCCGGGCAAATGGTGGAGCGCCACAATGGCATTATCAAGCAGTGCCTTAGGGCTTATTGTTCCAACCACAAAGACTGGGACCAGCACATCCCTGAAATTGCCCTGGCCATGCGCACAGCTGAATGCGTTGTCACGGGCTACACGCCTGCCTTCCTCTGTTATGGCCGGGAGTTGAGAACCCCATGGACACAGGCTGAGGCCAAAGACGACGCGGAGCCTCCTGCGACAGCATACCGTGCATTTGCTACTGAGGTCTCCAAGTGTCTGCAGGAGGTGCTTGACTTCTCCAGGGCACACCAAAACCACATGTGGCGCGCCCAGAAGACTCGCTACGACCAGCACAGGCAGCCACTGACAATACAGGAGGGTGATCTTGTTCTGCTCGAAAGCCACTCCCTCAGCGATGCCACCAAGGGCTTCTCCTCGAAGCTTGCACCCCGGCGTTCCGGTCCCTTTCGGGCAGTGAGACGTGTGGGCAGAATGACTTTGTTCTAGTGGACCCCAAAACGGGTCGTCGCCACGGTGTGAGACACGCAGATCAGCTGACACTCTACCATGACGCTGCAGGCGATGTGTAGTGGTGGCTTCACATTTTGAGGGGGGGAGACCTGTGAGGGCGGCCGAGAGAGGGCGTTACGTGACGGCGTCATCATCATCGGGACTTGGCCGAGAGAGGGCGCTACGTGACGGCGTCATCATCATCATGGGGACTGGAGTAATGGGGGTTGCGTGTGTGGGTAAGGGGGAGTTCGGCCTGGTTGGGGAGAGTGGCAAGACGTACCGGGGTGTGGTGCGTGATTTAGGGTTAGCGCGTAACAGTCTATCCTGAAAATTTCATTAAGATATCTCAATAAGCAAAAAAGTTCGTATCCGATGGTAGCCTCCCCCCTTAAACTGAAGGCAGTGCAGTACGCGCTGGAGTACGGCAACCGGGCTGCAAGCAGGCATTTCGGCGTTGGAGAAACCAGTATTCGATACTGGAGGCACCAAGAAGAAAAACTTAAGGCGACGAAGAAGACACGACGAGCTTTCCGCGGTGCCAAGACCGGCAGGTATCCGAACGTCGAAGAGCAACTGGTCCGGCATATACGGGAGCTACGACAAGACGGCTGTGCTGTGTCGTTGGATATTGTGCAGACTGAGGCGCGCAGAATAGCCCGAGCGCAGGGCATCGAAGCAAAAGAGTTCAAAGCCAGCTCCGGATGGACAACTCGTTTCATGCGGCGCCATGGCTTCGCACTGCGAAGGCGGACCACCTTGTGCCAGCGCTTGCCCGCAGCATATCAGGACAAAGTGGTGGACTTCCACAGTTTTGTTATAAAGCTCCGACAGCAGAAAGACTTCATTTTGTCCCAGATCGGCAACGCTGATCAGACCCCCCTTTGCTTTGATATGTCGTGGAACACGACAGTGGAGGAGAAAGGTGCACGGATCGTCATCGTCAGAACGTCTGGCGCTGATAAACAACGATGCACCGTAATGCTGGCGGTGACAGCGGATGGGCGTAAGCTACCGCCTTACGTTATTTTTAAACGTAAGACGCTCCCAAAGGCGAAATTCCCTCAAGGCATCTACGTCAGAGTCCAGGAAAAAGGCTGGATGAGCGCGGAACTCATGGTGGGTTGGGTGAAAACAGTCTGGGGTAGGCGGCCGGGTGGTCTGTTGTTGCCGTCCATGCTTGTCCTGAACAGTTTTCGTGGGCACCTAGTAGACCGCGTACGAGATGAGCTAGAGGAGCTGCGCACAGATCTGGCAGTGATTCCGGGCGGCCTCACATCGATACTGCAGCCTTTGGACGTGTCCTTGAATAAACCTTTCAAGGACAATGTTCGAAGGCTGTACACCACCTGGATGGCTGGAGGACAACATCAGCTGACTACAGGCGGTAAGATTAAGAGGCCGCCTGTGGAAATGCTGTGCGCTTGGATCGTGGAAGCGTGGCAGGCGATCTCCGACGAAGTCGTCAGGAAAAGCTTCAACAAGACGGGTATCTCGAACGCACTGGATGCGAGTGAGGATGACATGTTGTGGGGTGCGGATGATTCGGACACCGAAAACGAATCCCCGCTCGGCGAGGATGAATGTGTGATCTCCGACTCGGACTCCGAATAGGGAAAAGGAGGAACAGCTACGACTTTTGTGTAAATAAATTTTACGTGTGTGTGTGCAGTTGACGGCTCTCGCTTGTTCATTAAAACGTACGTAGGTATGTTTGTTTTATGCTGAATTAATTGGTAAACGATAAAGTCGCCTTTTACTTGACAAGTGTGCAGATTTAAAGCGCGAGAACCGAGTTGAAAAAATTTTCGAAAATTTCACCCCGCGTAACTGGCGCACCCCTAACTTCGAGCCGGATTTTCTGAAAAAAAAGTGCGCCTATTATGCGAGTAAATACGGTATATAAAGTCTAGACTGTGCAGCTTGGGCTTAGATATCACTGACAAACAGTCGCGACGATGGAGCAAGACATTGTACTTGCAGGCACTAAATCATTGCAAACACTTGTGTGCATCGAAAAGAGGGGAGACGACTTAGCTTACGCTATGCGTATTGAAAGGGTGAACGGTGCAAGTAGCCACCGATCTGAGTTCACCCAGACTTTCGACACGCTGCATGACCCCACTCACCTGCCGACCGGAGGATGCGCGAAAGAGCCGTACCCCCGTGCGAAGAGAAGAAGCGCTCCTGCATCTGTCTGTGACGGGCCTCCAGCTCCCTCCGCAGGGAGTGCGCCTCCGAGGCCAGCTCTGCGGGTAGCAGTGCCAGCAGAGAGTCGTCCATGTCGGCCAGCACCTGCTGCCGCAGACCCGGCGGCAGGGTCTGTATGAATGAGGCCGGGTCCACAGGCGCATCGGGGTTGCAGTTCTGGGCAGCTAGCCGCTGCTGCTCAGCGCGCTGCTGTGCCAACACCTGCGAGGGGGCACACGGCATGAGCTGGTGTCAGCTGCCACAGAATTAAATAGCAGTCGATTCCCGATAATTTGAAGTCGCTTAATTGGAATTTTCAGTTAATTAGAAGTCAACAAGTAGTCCCATCAATTTTGCATGCATGTCTATTAGAAAACAATGCTCAATAATTCAAAAGTAATGTTCGATAATTAGAGGTTAGTTTTCAGTCGAGAGCCTCGAGGTGACCATAATTTTTCAATAAAATGGAGAATTTTTCGTGTGCCAAGACCACCAAAGACAGCTGTTGAACCGCATTGTTCTCGCCATTGCCAATGCCGGGGCATCTCATCGGCTAACTAGGTCTTGCGTCGTGTTGAGTGTTGGGCGCTGGGTTGAAGTGTGGTTGAAGTTGGAACAGCGTGACCAAACCCTGGCAGAAAAGAACGCTCAAGCAGACACACAGCGATGTGTGTCTGCGTGTTCAGCTCCGTCCGCCAGGGGCGTAGTCAGGAAGTGGCACACCGGGCACCTGTTTTCCCCCCTACCTCCACGAAATTTTTTTTCGCCATGGCTAAGAGCGAAAAATGGCCATTTTAAGGGGGTGCCCTTCTCAAAATCAACGTATAATTTCATTATATCCAAGTTTAACTGTATTCCGTTTGCACCAGGTTATCACTTTCGGTGCCACTGATTTGACTGTGGCAGGCAGGGAAGTGGGGGCCATAAAAATCAAAATGACCAATGATAAGCCCTCGTAGTGCCGAGGTCACTCAGTTGGCTGATAGGCAGAACTGGCCAATCAGGGAGGATCAACACGGAATAGTATTTCGTATTGTGGTACGGCATAGGCGTGCAGCGAGCCCCAAACAACATTCTGGAAGTTGTATGACGGGGCCAGAACCGCTGTTCAAGTGCACAAGAAACGGAATGGGTGGAAGAGCCTCACCTCTTCCTGGATGCTGGGAGGCAGGGCGGCCAGGAATTCATGGGTTGACCTCGGTGAAAGTGGCCGAACCGTCTGCAGAGGACGCAGCCGCCTGCTGCTGCTGTTGCTGCTGGGCGTGCGTACGGAGCCGCTGAAGCCTCAGCTGCTCCGCTATCACCTCCTGCCGAATGTTTTCTGGCAGCGCTGCCAGGAAGGACGGGTCCACGCCTTCGGGAATCTCGACGTCTGCAGAGACGAGCAAGCACACACGAGGTTCAAGCTTGCCTCACGATCTTGTGCGCAGGTAAATTCTTTGTCTGCTAAAAGTACAGTTGAACTCCTTTATAAGAGACACTGATATTATACCTGTGTCACACGGGCGCGCAAAAAGTCTTTTAAGTAAGAGGTCTTTTACGAAGTTGAAAGACTTTTAACAAAGAGGTGTTTGCGGCGCAGACACACGGCAGCAACGATCTCCTTTTAGTGTTTTCGTTCGAAGACGCTAGCGAAAGCGTGGCGCTAGCAGTTAAAAGAGAAGCAATGAAAATTAAACAATGTATCACGATGTACAAATTAAAGACTTGTCGCACTGCTCGTTTCTTCAAATAAATTTAAGAATAAGAGATGAAGAAACACCAATGTGAAAGCTTTTTTGCACAAGATAAGGAAGCATTCCCATAACTAGCGACGTGCACAAAACCGTCTGGCACCACTGTGCTTTTATTTACCATATTTGTTTTTTGCTGCTCTCGACTGCTCTCGACACGTTATGGGCGACCGTACGGGAGAAAAAGTGAGGATCGCAAGCCTCACGGCCTGCCTTCTCGCTCTGGAAAGCGAGACAGACGCTGCAAAAGCCGCCAAGGAGAGGATAAAGCAGCGCAAGACCGAGCGTCACCACTTGATATTGCCGACGCGTTGTAGCTGCTTACGAGAGTAGAAAAGGAAATAACCATTACAAGAGTTCATTACACCTTCTGCAGAATATGAAATTTGTTTTTACAAAGAGTTTTGGTGACAGAAAAATAAGCATTCGCTCTTTTTTTGCCCACCACTCGAAAATTGCTGGCGCCCACTGGTTTCGAGGCTACTCATTCAGAGCCGTAAAAGAGATTGACGAACGCCGTTTACGAAAAAGACCGCTTCTGAAAACGAGTTCGCTCTGTGCCGTGTGTCTGCTGTCAGGAACTCCTTTTCGGAAAAAGACCGCTTACTTAAAAGACTTTTAAGTGCTCGTGTGACAGGGGTATAAGAGACAAATGGGTATAAGAGACGCCACGCCAGTGTGCCTACACTAACATATGGGTTGATAAGAAGATGCATATGAGGTACCCTGCTTATAAGAGACATCTCGTATAAAAGACCAGAATTTCCGTCCGGAGCATGTTTCTTATAAAGGGGTTTAGCTGTATTTTCTTCTAACTTAGTACTGAATAATTTCGAAGCAAAAAATTCGGATGTTGAGAAGGTGCATAAGACACATACATTTGCGTGATGTTAAGAGGCCTTTCGGGAAAATCATTCCTTTATTTGCCAAAAATGGAAACGGTTCAAATCTATCAAGTCAGCTTATTTTCCAAGGGTCAGAATTTAAGCACGAAACAAAACACTACAATAAGAACAACACTACGCTGCAGCTATAATGATTGCATATGTCATTTTCAGCTATCTTTAGCTGCTAATTATTTACGATTTTTCTTTTTCTTTTTTCAACCAGGTAAATAACTGTGCCATTAGCAACCTGATGACAGATTTACCAGACTACTGCAATTCAAAGTGAACATTATGCGCGACAAAATATTGTTTTGAATTTACTATGGTTTGTTTGTATAATACATTCGAAAGTTTATTAAAAAATTTGCAGTAGGGGCAACATGCAAACTTCCTTTTGAAGTACACAAATATGGCTTCAGGGCATCACACGGCACAGTGCCACAAAACCACCTTTCCAGGCAGGTAATATACAGGAAGCAATGTACAATCGTTAATATATGTAAGTTGAACCCCTTTATTAGAGACAATGATGCAAGACACAAAGGGGTACAATAGACACCAGTGTACCTGCCCTGAATCACGTGTTGATAAAAAATGTGAATGTGGTATCCTGCATCATAACAGACACCTAGCATAAGCCACAAGAATAGCTCCCCGGTGCCTGTCTCTTATAAGAGGTTTTACTGTATTGTGAGACTGGGAACATAAATCTGAGTCGCAGCAACTATTGAATACCATGATAGTTGATTGAATAAAAAAAAAAAAAAAAACGCTGAACATCTGTCAAATCCTAGCATGAGAACCTGGACAGGTACAGTGACAGACTACACCTCATTGTCAGATGGAGTAAACAAATTGTTCACCAGGAAGCGAAAATGCACGCACCTCCCAGGATGCTTGCATATTCGTTGGATACAGAAGGCCCAGCCGTGTCGGCAGCACGTTGCGCTGGAGGTGGCTGTGCTGGCACAGGAACCCCAGCTTCCCTGTAAAGCAGCGAGTGTCACGAGATTTTGGCTGTGTTTTGGTTAAAAGGACATGTGATGGTTTCTAAAAATTGTTGCTTTCTTTCATTTTTCTTTTTTTTTTTAACTCTGCAACATTATTTTGTCATTCACAGCTGTAGGCGAGCTGTCTCGGACACACATGCCCTATTCTCCTGAAGGATTAACTGAAATGATGAAGTGCCCATTCACATTTAGTACAAAAATAAAAACTGCAAAGGTCATGTCCAAACTAGTCCCAATTACAAAGATCAAGCTTCGCTCGAATGTGTATCCCAGTTTGACGCGAGTTCTGCCTTGCTGCTACAATGAAATCTCGTTAATTCACAACTCCTTAATTCGAAATGGTCGCCGCAGTCCGTTCTGCAGTGCATAGGAGACCATGTGTAAAACGATTCGTTAATTCGAACAAAAATTTCTACCTTTATGGATGATTCCAAGCGCGCGCCGCCGAGCATCGTCATCGTCAAACACTAGTGGAAGCTGTTACAGCCAAACGACAGGTGGTACAACCGGTTTTTTCGAGCTTCAAGCAGCCTCCAAGCAAAGGGCGCGCAAAGTATGGCCTCCGAGACCGTGGGAGCGATACCCCCTCCCCCCCGTCGCTTTCCCGCTATTTCAACGCCTGGCGCCTTTTGTATCCGCAGGGAGTCGGCGGAGTAGTCCTAGCAGTCTTAGGCCGCATCTAGAGCGTCACTTTGTTTCTCGAGCACGTTGTTCGTTCACGCCGTCAAGCCGTCTTATTCCGCATCGAAGTTGCAAGATGCCGCGGGGAAACTACTGCGCGGAGACTGTCAAGGAGAAGGTGGAGATTTTGCGAGAGGTTGACCAAGGGAAGTCGAGCAAATATGAAATTGCAAGGAAGCACAGCATATCTCCTAGCATGTTGTCAACCTACGTACGGAACAGGACGGCCATTGAAAACACCTATGAAGCTGAGGATTTTGGCGGCAGTCGAAAAAGGCTAAGGACAGCGAAATTCCCGGAACTGGAGTCAGCTTTGATTATCTGGGTTAAAGAAATGAGAGCCCAGAGTATTGCATTGAGCGGCCCTATCATCATGGCCAAGGCAGCCAATTTCGCCCTTCGACATTGAAGACTGTCGCCTCCAAGGAATGGTTTCATTGTTTGAGGGAGGGGTACAATCCCGTATTCTGCTCGTTATCCAGCGAGGCAAAGGAAGTGGAAGCCGAAACATGCGCTAGTTGGAGAAGCGACACCCTGCAGCAGTACTTGGGGAGCTGCTCACCACAGGATGTGTTTAATGCTGACGAGACAGCGTTATTTTTCAAGTTGCAGCCGCACAAGACGATCACTTACAAGGGAGACCAAAATGATCACTGTAACCAACCAAGACCAAAGGTCACCGCAAATATGATCGGTACGGAAAAGTTCGCTCTTCTTGTGATTGGTAAAGCTCTCAAGCCACGGTGCTTCAAAAACATTCGGTCACTCCCGACTGAGTACGCCGCAAACAAGAAAGCCTGGATGACGGGTGACCTATTCAGGAAGTGGCTACTGAAATTCGACAGGCGAATGGAACTGGGCGGCAGACGTGTTCTTCTTGTCAACAACTGTTCGGCGCACAAAGTCAAGGGTGAGCTGAGAGCATTAAAGTTAGTGTTCCTTCCAGCAAACACGACTGTCGCCCTACAGCCATTGATATGTGATTATTGATATGTGATTAGCCCTACAAACCATATGATTATGAGAGACGCCGTAGTGGAGGGCTCCAGAAATTTTGACCACCTGGGGTTCTTTAACGTGCACCCAAATCTGAGCACACGGGCCTACAACATTTCCGCCTCCATCGAAAATGCAGCCGCCGCAGCCGGGATTCGAACCCGCAACCTGCGGGTCAGCAGCCGAGTACCATAGCCACTAGACCACCGCGGCGGGGCTGTAGCCCTACAGCCAATGAACCAGGGTGTTCTAAGGAACATCAAGTGCTTTTATAAGCGTCACATGCTGGAGAAAATGATTTTGAGCGCGGGCAGCAGGAAGGACTTCGCCATTACGCTACTCACTGCCATGCACGTTATTGCGAGCATGGGAACAGGTGACCCCGACCACAATCGCAAACTATTTCTGCCACAGTGGATTTGCAGCTGGAAGTGCGCAGGATAGTTGTGACGTTGACGTGGATGGGGCTGAGGAGCTCATGCCAGTGGCATTGCGCGACACTCTTCGGGGCGTACGTTTTGCCGATTATGTTGAAGTTGACACCGGTGCATCGGTGTGTGGTGCCCTGACTGATGAGCACATTATCGCTCAAGTAGCCGGTGCGCAGCCTGTTGCTGAAGAGCCAGAAGGTGAGGAAGACGAAAATGACGAAGCGCCTGTGCGCCCGTCAGCTTCTGCGGTGATGGAGGCACTTAATGTGGTGCTTCTCTTCTTCAGCTTTGAAGAAGGTGAAGAGGATTCCCTGCGCCGCGTCCGCGCGCTGGAACAAAGAGCCGCAGCTGTGGCATTCAGAGAAAAGAAGCAGATGGTCATCGCCGACTTTTTTGGCCAATAAATATTTTTCGTGCACCCACCCCCGAAATCCACCCATTTTTGCTCACTTTCATTATTTCGAATTTTGTTTAATTCGAAATTGCTCAGCGTTCCTGTGGAATTTGAATGAACGAGCTTTTACTGTACATTGTTTATTGCTGGCTTTAGCATAGCTTCCATAGTATCCAATGCATTGAAAACCCCAAGCTATATCACAACTGCGGACTGCTCCTGCAGGATATGTTGCCATGTGAGCTCAGAGCCGGTCGAGCAACTGAAGAAAGCGGCCCTGTTGGCTTTTGACTCAACTTGGCCTTCCTCGACTGCAAGATTAGCCAAACGGGCAGCGCGAGCGGCACCCACGATGTACTTTCGGTTAGAGTATGAAAAAGCCATAACATTCAACACCCTTTTTTGTATCATTGACATAACCGGTTGTAAAATTTTTTTTTTCTTGTGCTTGTGAAAGCAAGGGCTTCAATATTGGTGTCTGTTTCATGCTGCTGTGTGCTCGTCATCGTGATTTTTTGGAAGAGTCTGCCGTCTTTCACCCTATATTTGTTTTTCTTGGGGTCGTTGACTTATCAGGTGGTCACGCACGCAAACATGAAGCGTACTGTGCATGCTTTGTTCTTTCCGGTGTACAACTGCTAGTGCCCGCAGAACTACGTAAATTGAATACATTACTGTGGATGATGCCGTCCTCATCTTCGTGGTTCCATCCGTGAACTAGATTGTGGCTGGACAGGGTTCAGTTTCTTAGATGATACTTCTTACAGGTACATCCACCTTTGCAAGGCTTTCGGCTGCCTATTACAAGCCACGGTGGTCCCACACTATAGTGCTAAGCTATCAAGTGGAGACGTTGATGCGCCCCGGCGACAATCTCGCCAAGGTAGTGACTGCCTGCTAGGTGTTGGCGTTGGTGATCCTAGATTTGTTAAATGCACATTGCGCACTCCATCATATATATCCAGGTTTGAAACTGTCGACTCTTCACAACTGAGAAATCGCTGTAATGGAGTAAACAAGAGTTGTACAAAACTGCTGCTTTCAGAAGCAACAAATTGCACTGGTCACTGCCAGGGGCATTACGGCCTAAGCACAGAATCAAAAGCTGTGCTGATGACAGTCGCCGGTGCCACTGTCAATGCAGTGAGAAGTACACAAGCCCACACTCACACTTCCTCGGCTGGCTGTTGCGATTCTTCAGAGCCAACATCTTCCACAATGGCGGCCACCTCTCTTGTGTCTGCACATAATAAGAGGCGAAGGGGGGAGCCAGATTTAGAACTTTGATGTATCAAGAATTTCATAGTGAAAAGTACCGACTTGTGTTCTTTCTACAAAGGGCTGGGATGTAGTATCTATGCACTAACACACGTACACATGCACATGCACACACAAAAAGACAGCTGAACCCCTTTATAAGAGACACTGGTGTAAGAGGCAAATGGGTACAAGACACACCAGTGTGCCTACATTGAAACAGGGGTCGATCAGAAAATGACGACATGGTACTCAGCACACAAGGGACACCTCATGTAAAAGACATGAACTGCTTCCCAAGGCATTTATTTCCCTTATAAAAGGGGTTCAAGTGAATAGAAAAGAAAAATAGGTTTTGGCAGAAACCACTCTGGTTGTTTTCTATGTTACAGTATCAGGCTGAGACTTGGAGGGACCCTGAAACACTTTTTCAAGTAACCAAGGAATGAATTCACTAAAAGAACTTATTGCCTCACGAATTCAGCGTCGTAAAAAAATTTTAAATTAAAGAATCTGTCCAGTATGAGCAGAGTTAGAAAGATTTGTCGCACACTGCAATCGCATTCTCTCTGCTCTCGTTTCCGCCGAAAGCGCTGGAAGCTAACCAAGGGGGGGATGGCAGGGGCATAAAAAAAAAAAAAGAAGACACGCGTGCCTCGTGACCTGGAGCACTGTTTTCATTTTTTCTTCGAATAGGTGACTTTTTCAGTGTGATCGCGTGCACGTGTGGACAAGCTGCGGCCTCCCGCGGCGGTCCCTGTAACGACTGAGCACGCCATGCTCAAATCCGCCAATGGCTGACGAATGGCCTTCTACGAGTTATTTGCGAGCTTCCTTCGTCATTTGTAGAGAGAAGAGAAAGCGATTTTTAGTTGACTGAAAATATATTGCGAGTTCCAAGCCGAGTGCTGCATTATAATATTTGGCTAGCATGTTCTTGGGAGCCTCTACTACCGATAGGCAGCGTTTTTTAAACATGCTCAAAAAGTGTTGCAGGGCCCCTTAAAGGTAAGAAGCAGACCCACCTTCTCTAAAAAATTTTTAAATTCCTCATTGACTTTTATGAAAATTGAGATTACGTACCATTTTAAATGTGCTGCAATTTTTCTAGCACTATATCTCTTTAAATACTGCATGAGCTTTCCTAGGAGCACCAAATTTTTTGTTTGAATTTCCGTCTGAATATCAAGTTTGAGGTACAACTCAATTGGGAATGCATCAGCGAGAGAACGTGAAGACCAGTTTGCCTCCTCCTCCTCACCTGGTGATGCGGTGTCTCTGTCCCCTTCATCGATGCTCAGATTCTGGCCGTCTGCTATGAAAGCATCTGAAAGTAGCAAGCGTAACAGACGACGATTACAAGACACGATCACAGGCACGCGACAACACTTCGCTGCTGGATGCCAGAAAGAGCAATGTCAAGATATTTCCGTACATATGGTAGTTTTTACCCCCCCCCTTTATGAAAAGAAAATTTATTCGAGGACCTCGGGAAACTAGGATTTGACACTTATACACTGATCAGAATTCAAGGTCTTACTTTGTAAAATTAGAACTTAACTTTTCTCGGGGGGGGGGGGGGGGGGGGGGGTTAGATCGTGGCTATGTAAATGAATAGGACACCTACATATTGATACTCGCTTCATAATTGGATTACACACTTTTCTAACGTTACATTTCTCATCACTCAATGTATAAGCTTGAACACTTGCGTGCGGACAACAAATAGTGACAATGAATCTACCATAAAAAGTGGAATATAGGTGGACGCCCCGAACTTTAAATCTCCGAAAAAGGAACTTCAACAAAATTGCTAAGTGTCGCGACCCATCCTTTTCTTGGTAAATACACTTTAACCTCGTTATAATGTAATGGGATATAACGAAATAATGGATATAACGAAGTACCGTAATTACTCGAATCTAACGCACACCTTTTTTCCAGTTAAGCCAGTTCATAAATCACATGCGCGTTAGAATCGAGTACGAACAAAAAAAATTACTGTCAATCTATTGCCATCGGCAAATCCAAAATGGCCGCCCCCTACGTGCGTCGGCATGGCGCGTCGGCCATTTCTGCCTATGTGTTTTCTATGTGCGGCACTTCGTAAGTGTACTAAGGAGTTCGTCATCTAGTAGCGCATTAGCATCGACGGCGTGGAAGGGCCGACTCCAAAAACTCGAGCGCACCACGATGCCGCTTTTAAAAGAAAAGTCATCGCGTGTGCAGAAACGGACGGAAATCGGGCCGCATCGCGGTCGTTTGGAGTTCCCGAAACGTGCGTGCGGGACCGGCGGAAACAAAAGCAGAAGATTGTTGACAGCAAAGCTTCACCCAAAGGCTTCAGTGGGCCACAGCAGGGTCGGTTTCCGCAAATTAAGAGCTGCTCGGCGAGTATGTGCTTGAGCAGCAGAGCGGCCCGTGACGACAGAACTGCTGCAAGTGCGGGCTATGCAATTAGTCTTAGAAAAAGGTCTAATGCGGAGCCAGTTTAAAGCGAGCAGGTGCTGGCTAACGAACTTTATGAAGAGGAAAGGCTTTTCCCTCCGAAGGGGAACATGCATATGCGAAAACTTTTGCGGAAGAGCACGATGAAAAGCTTCGCAGTTTTCAGAGGTTCGTCCTAAACTTGCGGCGCAACAACGGCTACCTGCTTGGGCAAATCGGGAATGCCGATCAGACGCCTCTTTACTTCGACATGTCTGGCACCACAACCGTCTAGAAGAAGGGGGCGAAGCAAGTTCGCGTGCTGACATCGGTCCACGGTAAAACTACAGTGACGGCAATGCTCTGTTACACATCAGATGGGCACAAGCTTCGCCCGTACTTCATATTTAAATGGAAGACGCTCCCGAAAGGAGTCGTTTTTTCGAGTGGTGTGATCGTCGGGCCATCGAGAAAAATGGGTGCGCGTTGCAATCGATGTCTTAATTTTTTTTTTTTTCGCGGTGGAAATCGGATGCGCATTACAATCGAGGGCGCGGTAGAATCGAGTAAATACGGTAAATGAAATTCCCCTTGATGCTCCACTGAAAATCATGCATTTTAAACCTCATTGTAATGAAAAAAAAATTGACCGGTAAATGAATTTAACAAACTAAATTAGTCTATAAAAAAACGACTGTAGGTTGTTAAGTATACAGTAAAAGCTCGTTAATTTGACACCGATTAATTCGGAAATTCGGATAATTCGGACGGCTCTATTGGTCCCGGCCAAAGTGCATGTTAATCTATGGGACCAAACCTTCGTTATTTCGTCGGAATTCGGCTCAGCACCGCTTAATTCGGACAAATGCTGACGGCTGCTGCTACACAAAAGTGTGATAAAGCAGCGCTGGCACCACTGGAGTGAAACGGAAACCTGAGTGGCATCGCCATCATCATCAACTAGATCGCAGCCTGACAGAACGTCGGCGTCTTCTTTCTTCTCCACTCAGCGCCTCCGACGCCATTTTCCCTTGTGTTGTCGTGTCGGAACCATCTCTTTTTGCGGAGTTCTCTTTTTCTTCCACTGTGACCGTATTTGCATGCCACCACCATTGTGCGCTACAGTGATGGCAACGCCGAAAAAGCGGCAGAACTACGACGCGAAGAACTTGGTGACTAAAGTGAAAATTTTGGAAGCACTGAAGAACGGCGAATCGCGACAGCAGGTTATGACCAAGTACAACGTGAAGCGGAGCACGTTGGGAACGTACGTGAAAAATGAACAACAGATTCGACAAGCCTTCCAAAGCGAGAAGTTTCATGCCTCTAGAAAGCGGTTGCGAACCGCAGCTCATCCCCAGCTCGAAGAAGCTTTGCTCCGGTGGATTACTGACTGTCGCAACACTCATCTGCCTTTGAGCGGACCTCTCATCATGGCGCAAAGCGAGAAGTACGTTGCGATGATGAACATTGAATCGTTCAAAGCTCCGGAAGGGTGGTTTGCGAGGTTTCGAGAGAGACACGAGTTTGTCTTCAGGAGTGTGTGCGGCGAAAAGGCCAGTGTTGACGAAAGCGTGACCACCGAGTGGAGAAATGTGAAGCTGCTGGAGCACATCACCGCATATGAACCACGTGACGTGTTCAATGCAGATGAAACCGCTGTTTTTCAGAGCTCTGCCCGACAAGACGGTGACTTTCAAAGGGGACGCGTGCATTGGTCGCAAGAAGTGCAAGCAAAGGATAACTGTGCTTCTTGCCGCTAATATGATTGGCACGGAGCGCTTGCCACTACTTGTCGTCGGGAAGGCGCTTAAGCCACGTGGTTTTAAGAACGTCAAAAGCCTTCCTGTTGAGTACACAGCGAACAGGAAAGCATGGATGACATCGGACATTTTTTGCGGCTGGCTGCAGCAGTTGGACCGGCACTTCACGTCGAAGGACCGCAAGATAATTATGGTTGTTGACAACTGCAGTGCCCATAACTGTACAGTCGAACTGAAGAGCATCAAAGTAGTATATTTTTGCCGCCCAACATTACGTCTGCTCCTCAGCCGATGGACCAGGGTATCATTCACTACGTGAAGTCGAAGTACCGCAAGCACCTGCTAGAGCGAATGATCCTATGCTCAGAAGCTGGAAAGTTGTATCAAGTGGACTTACTCGGCGCAGTGCACATCATCGCCCACGTGTGGAAAAACACTCCGCCGCAAGTCATCGCCAACTGTTTTCGGCACAGCGGTTTTGTGAGGCCCGAGCATGCAGCAGTAGCTGACGATGGCATTGAGGAGGTGTCAGCCGAGTCTACCGACGATGACTGCCCGACTTTCGATGCTGTCCTTCCCACAGATGTGACCTTTCAGGACTACATCGCGATTGATCATGGTGTCGCCACGAGTGGTCTCCTGACCTATCAAGAGATTATTAATGATGTCACGGGCGCCCATGAAGACCACGATTCCGACGAAGAATCATGCGAGGAGATACAGCCGCGACTTCATCGCACCTCCCGGGAAGTCTCGGAGGCGCTGTTAATATTAGAGGACGCTTGCCTGAACATTTCCGACAGCTTGCGTGCTGTTGGCCATTTGGAACAGTTAAGAAAAATTGTGATGTCAGCCGGAATCTGCGCGAGAACGCAGACGACAATTACAAAATACTTCAACAAATAAAGGTATGCTTCTGCAGCTTGATTTTAAATGTTTTTCCTGTTCATTCGTTAATGCGGCTTTCGGTTAATTCGGACAGTTTTTCCGGTCACGTGAAATCCGAATTAACGAGCTTCTACTGTATTTTTTTTCTACGGAGTTTGACGCTCGTTCGTCGCAGCTCTTTAAAAACCCCTGCGCCGACCTTACAGCCCCGCCACGCGTGGCCAAGACAGCCGTCCACATCGCACAGCCAGCGGAGAAGATTGAGGAAGCGCTCAGCGGGTCACATGACCCAGAAGCGGCGCCGCGGTGCAAAGAGATTTCCCTCCCTTCTAATACCGTAGGTGACGACTGCGTCTCCGCTGCTACCCTCTGTACCAAGAAAGGAGGACTCTCCCTGACACCTGTCTTTTTTTTCCCCTCTTGCTCTGCCCGCAGCCTTGAAAGGAGAAGTGTCTCTATGTGCAGAGACTGAAAAGGGCGAAGCGTCAGATCGACATTTGAGAGAGAGCAAACAACCCGCCACCCTTTTCCTTCCTTTTTCTTCTTTTCCTTTCCTCGCAGCGTTGAAAGGTGCCGCCGCGGCATCGGACATGGTAATGCGAGCATTTTCGGAGCGCAGTATGTTTGAATTAACCGTCGCAAGTGCTTGCACATTCCGCCCATTGGAATACATATAGAATTCAAAGAAAGAATTCAAAGAAAAGTAGTACGATTCATTTATAGTAAATTTATGTCAACCGACTCCCCCACTGCATTGCTAACGGCAAGTGGTATAGAACTATTACAAATTCGAAGAACAAAAAGTTGGCTACATTTTCTTTCAGACATAGTGAACCACAGGCTACCCTTAGACACCGAAGCATACGTATGCCCCTTGTTAAGCAGACCCACTCGACACCACTACCTCATTCCCTAACGCCATTCTTCGCAAGGACTGATACTTTTCGGTACTCCTTCTTCCCACAAACAATAGATGATTGGAATAAACTAACCGAAGCATTTCTTCAACGCCCTTGACCATTTGTGTAAATACTCTTCTTCCATGACTTCCTTGAATTGTATTATCACCTTGTTATCCTTGTTGTTCAACTGTTACTTTTTTTTTTAAGTCATAACCCCTCTGTCTTATAGCAAAGAAATTGTGTAAAAAATGCTTTGCAACCTTGTTTCATTCTGTTATTTAGTGTGTTTCATGTATGCTCACCCTGCTTGGACTTTTTGTCCGCAGTATTCTATAAATAAATAAATAAAACATAGCTTTGATAGGACCTCAGTGCTAGTTCAAATTATACGGAAGTTCAAATTAAGCGTGTTCGAATTAATTAGACTCGGATGTGTTTATTTTGCGTCGCAGGTGTGGTCGCGTAGCGGTACATCGGGCCGCGAGGCAGTTTCCTTCTTTGCATGCTTATAGTTGTGCGCCTATCTGGGCATACATTGCCACAAACTGTTACACTCTATATAACGAAATAACAGATATAACTTAATAATTGTGGCTCCCCTTCAACTTCGTTACGAAGAGGTTTGAGTGTACTAGGCTTGTATGTATATTGAATTTTAGGTTCGAAGTGAATTTGAAGAAAATGGTGATTTTGGTCAAATAATTACTAATCTAATTCGAATAGTATATATGACATATAAAGAAAAATGGTCATATTTATCATGACCTCACTAACTTGCACGATATTTTTTTTTTCGTTCACGGGAAGTCTAAACAACTTTGAGTAGTAGCAGGATCTGACTTTCGGTAGGATGACAGTTATAACCTGTAAAATGTCTAACATTTTAAAATTTATTATACATAGAGCATATAATGTTACATAACAAGCTTTTATCAAAGCTTAAGGGGAGACACAAGTCTTAAAATGCCGAAAATCAAGAAAAAAAATTGACTTTTGTCAATTTTTTTTTTCTTGTCGCACGCTGCAATTGTATTCTCACTTTTCGCCCGATGAAAGCGCTGGAAGCTAAGCAGAGAGGAATGGCGTGGGAAAAGAAAATGTGTCGCGCGCCTCTGAGCAATCGTAACATTATCGCATGTAGAACCCACGCTAACTCGGTATTGGCTTCAAACATGAGAAGTGATGCCAGAGCTCGGCTTGGTGCAGCATCGCCTTTGAGGTCCTGAGAAGTTATCCACACATCGAGATGCCTCCATGAAACGCTAAGGCAGCAAGGAAAATCAAGCAATCGGCAGGCACACACCTTCGAACTCAGATGGCATGGCTGCCCCCGAAGTAGTGGTGGTGGTGGTCGTGGTTGGCTCTGACGTGTCCATTGGGCACGCCTGGCCAGCGGCCGCAAAGAGACCCCCCGCGCAGCTGCTGGACTGCTGGAGGGCATTGGCCACAGCCGAGAGCGCCGTGCTGCCCAAACCCTCTAGCCAGCTCATGGGTGGAGCACCTGGACCGAGTAACAGGCAAGCACAATGACACCTCTCGGGAACCAATATATCCGTAACAGAAGGCGAACAAGTGGCCAAAACACAGCACACATGGAAAGAGTAGACAGCAGGACGAAGCTGGACTGGTCAATTAATAGTATGAAAAGAAAAACCAGTAGTAATGTCGACCAGTCCCAAGAGAGCACTGGAAAACTATTTGAAAAAAAAAAACAGAAAAAAAAACGATATAAAACCTCACCATCGCCAATGGTACCTTTTAGGAATTTAACTTCTTCAATGATGCCAGAAGACGCGCTTACACACCTTTTGCTGCTCACTGCTGTAAAACAAGAACTCCACTTTCCGACCTGGTTTTCACCTTCTGTCATATTCGCACTAGCCCAGGTTTCGAGCTTGTTTTTATATCACTTTGTAAACAGTTATGTAACAGCTTGCAACCCCATAAGCAGCGTTTTACAATTTCAACACCAACTGAGCGGCTAATTTTACCCCCACTCACCTGGCGGCATCGAGGCTGCAGGCTCGGAAGTCATGGACAAGGCCGGCCCCAAAACCCGCTCCACGATGGAAGCTGCCAAGCGTTCGGTGCCAGCCAGAGACGACTCACTTGCGCCTGCAAACCAAGAACGGTTCGACCCCGACCATAATCTTAACAGAAGAATCTGAATGAACAAGGTGTTGAAGTCTACCTACTTTACATTTTAAAAGTGCAGAAACAAAAAAGTTCAAAGCACAAGTGTAACGTGGCAGTAACAAGTGCTGCTTAAGCATCACACTAACAACAGTGGTGCCAATGGGACTGGGGCAGATCTTGAAAAAAAAAAAAAAAAACCTGAAAAACAATGTGTTCATTGCATAATTACACTGAGGCTGTTATTTCTTTATGGCATCACTGTCAAGTCTACTAGACACTGACTAGTTCATTGATATGTGGGGTCTAACGTTATAAAACACCATTGATTGATTGATTGATTTGTGGGGTTTAACGTCCCAAAACCACCATATGATTATGAGAGATGCCATAGTGGAGGGCTCCGGAATGTCGACCACCTGGGGTTCTTTAACGTGCACCCAAATCTGAGCACACGGGCCTACAGCATTTTCACCTCTATTGAAAATGCTGCCACCACAGCCGTGATTCAATCCTACGGCCTGCGGGTCAGCATCTGAGTACCTTAGCCACTAGACCACCGTGGCGGGCCCACTGACAACTTCAGTCTTTACATGTTTCAATTCACATTATTCACGTGAACAAGGCAAGCAAATTTACCACAGCATGACAAAAGCAAGCCTTATTGGTGTATGATGTCACAGCAGAGACTCACCTGGCTCGGACGCCAGTGGCTCAGGGTTGGGCGGTATCCTCGCCGCCAACCTTGCTGACACAGTTGAGGGCTCGCTGACAGCTGCTGTTGCCACAGTCACTGAAGTCGGCTGTGGCTGCTGCGACTGTGACCCCGGAGCTGCATATCCGGATAGTGATGAAGCCGCGGCCATCACTTCGTCCAAGTCTGCAGGTGGAATGTTCCGGCTGCTTGTCGTAGTCGTCGTCGTCGTAGACGAGGCACCCGTCGTCGAAGGCCATGGCCCCAGCAACATCATGGTGCACTCGTTGTCCTGGTTGTGGTTGTTGTCTTCTGCTTGGGCTGCCGCCGCGGCGGCTGCCGTCGTGGAGGTAGTGCTGGCGGACACTGGCGCCGCAGACGACGTCGTCGCTGCCGCCGGTTGAGACTCCTGCAGCTTGCACCGCTTTTCTCGCCGCTCGGCAAGCTCTTCATCACGATGTTTCTCTAAAACCTCCAGGATGGCCGGCTTGAGTCCTGCACGCGCGAATTTTAGTTTATCTAGAGAAAGGTGCAGCCACTGTAGTGTCGCACGGCTACCACTGGGAGCACCACTAACACTAGACAACTATGGTTATGACAGATTGGTTCTACAAAAACTAAAATGTGCCCATCAATTTGTTGTCGAGAAATTATCACAGAAGTGCCGCAAATATGACAAGGGACACTGACCATGAGAGAAAGCGTGACAATGTACAATGGCAGAAAGTGTCCCTTTACAAACAGCCTAATGTCTAGTACAGTGTACACACGAATTATTCCAATTTTGACTGTTACAAGCTTTGGAATTTATAAAATACATAAACTTTTAAACAGAAACTTGGCAACCCTGTAAATACATAAATTATGCCTATGAAACTTATAGTAAAGTTTGCACAAGTGTTGCTAGACACTTACCTGCGACACAGTCATGCATGCTGTCTCCGTCCAGGACCCGTGACTCCTCAGTCCACCGCACCAGGGCTGTGGGGATGTTGGCCAAAGTTCCGGTGCCACTGCTCGACACAAATGTGCCCGGATCCTGCACATGGCACCAACATGACATTTTTCATGTTTGGGCACCAGAGGAAGCAGAGAAATCAAATACCCACATTGTGCTTGACAAGTGTTCAGCCTAAAATCTATTGGCCCAATCTGTGTATCCTCAGGGGAGAGGAAATTTGAATAAGTTTAAATTATTGCCATCGTAACACTTGCTTTTAAGCAGGCAGTTGATGGAGGTATGCCAACATTGAAATGCCAAAAAAATTAAAGCCAGAGTTCAAAAGAATCACTAGATATTAGCTACATTCCTTTTATTTCACATGAATGAAACCGAATGCAAGACTGGACTATTACAGTTAAACCACTATATAGGAGACATGCTCTGAGTAGCAATACAGTAAAATTTCAGTAGAACGAACACCACTTTAAGGAAATTTTCAGATTAAGAAGCTTTTAAAAAATCCTATGCCGACTGCTAATTGTTTCAATGTAAAATTGTTTCACTACTACGTACTTCAGAATACAGAACTTTTCAAAAAAAAAAAAAAACGAGCGCTAATTTAGTTCCGCATTATATTAACAACACCTCAGTACTAAAAACTTATGTGCTGAAATCCGTCGCGATCACTGGAGCAGTACCCAAGTAGGCGACACAGCGAACGAACGCCTTGCTTCTCCGAAGACGCGCGACGATGTGGAGGAAAAAGACAAACCGAAAGAACGACTTTCTTTTCTTTATTTTAATTGAAACGCCGACGCTACAGGTTTACGGGAGGGCACAGTCAGCGAGACAGAGGGCAGAGTGGGAGTTGTGGAGCAGGAAGCATCGGCACGGAAAACCTGAGACAGCACGGGAGTAGAAAACGAAACGCGAAGAATTTTCTTTTTTTAGCATTCTATTCTTCGGAAAAGGCTTGGAAGAGGCGATGACTGCCGCGACGCTTTGGGTTTTTCTCATCTTTGTCACTTCTACATGTGATACAGGAGGCCAAAGAGGTATAGGTGTTCTCTGAGAAGGCCTTGTCAGTCGTGTTCGTCTTTTCGGTGATTACTTATCGCATCCGCAAAGCAAGTCTGCGTTCGTGCTGCGGTGCTACTACTACAATGAGTTTATCTCGGCTTGCGAAGACGAAGGAGAAGCGATTTTAAGGGGGGACGCGGCACTTCGGGACCGAAAATCAGCCAAAAAATCGAGTTTTTGCGGACCTTCTTTTCGCGTTCCCGACATCATTGCGCACCTATTTACAAAATTTCATAGCCGAATACCATCAACTTTTATCGTTATTCAACTTTAAAAAACCGAAAACGGGTGTCCTGCCCTTTAAATTGAGGGCGAATAGCGCAGGTTTCGGCTCTACGATACGCGGGAACTATGCGCTCGATCGGCGCCATTTTGGTCTTGTTTGAAAGAACGCGTTTTCAGCTGTTTTTTTTTTTAATTCAGTAAGCAACATTGAGCGTTTCCCCGGCTCGAAAAACGGGGCCTCAAAGACGAAGAGCCGCGCTCACTGCCATTGGCTAAACGGCGCACGTGACTGAAACGGCGCTTTCCGGTTGGCTGGAAGCTCGTGGCTTGCGCCTGCATACGCGACCCGACGCCATTTTGAAAGGGTTACCGCTGTGACGCCTCGAAATCGGCAGAGCACTCTGAAGCTTCTGATCGTATCGCCATGCCTGGAAACGCAAAAAACTATCGGACCGTGCACGCATTTGGTCGCAGGAAACGCAAAGGTCGTGGGAGAAAGTCTACGAAGTCATCAGAGCCCTTGGTTGACTCCGACGAACGATGTGTCGACGCTCCGCGGCCGTTCAGCGATGGTGCGACCGAGCGCGTTGCCTCCGACGACGATGACGGTGAAGCGAACTCCGGACGACTACGAATCGACGCCAAGGTGGTGACAAACGCCGAAGTTGAAGAAAATCATGCCCGGGAGAAAGCGACGCTCGACCGACTTTCATCGGCGCCAGCAACTGCACGGAAAATTGACTTTTTCACCGCGAGTTGTAGCGAGGCAACTGCACAGGACTCGGACCACGCTGCTCCTTATCTGCTTATGCATCTAGATATCCTAAACGCGATAATGGGTGCCTTGTGTTGCAAAGCCTGCCACGGACCGGCTACGATCGTCAGAGGGGATCGGGACTACGGACTTGCCGTGAAAGTGCTAGTGCAGTGTGAAAGGTGCGGCGAGATCGCGAATGAATGGACTTCGCCCCGCGCGAACGGCACGAAAACGTGCAATCCGTTTGAAGTAAATCTTCTCGCTTCGAGGGCGATGGTGGCTACCGGCAACGGCCAAACGAAAATGAACGATATTTTCGCAACAATGGGCATCTCACACCGCGGTATGCACCACAAGACGTTTCAGCGGCATTTGAAGAACACGCTCGCACCCGCTGCAACGCGAGCGGCTGAGTCCGCTATGAGCGAATGTGCGGAAAAGGTTAGAACAATTTATGATGACTTGTGCTTCGGCCACCGGGCAATATTGCCGTTAGCTATGACGGCACGTGAAAGACGCGAGGCCATTCTTCCCACATCGGCGTGGGCACAGTTATCGAATTATTTAGTGGCTACGTGTTGGACTACGTCGTTCTTTCCAACTTTTGCCTAGGCTGCGAGGTGGGCCCAAAGCCTAGTAGTGAGGGCTATCAAGAATGGAAGGCTAACCACAAATGCCAAAAAAATACGAACAGCAAGGCGGGGCAAATGGAAGTGGAGGCGGCTCTAATTCTATTTCAGAGGTCGCTTGAACGCCATGGCCTGCGCTACACAACTATGCTGTCTGATGGAGACTCTAGGACATTTTGCGCCATACCAGACGCCAAGGTGTATGGTTACATTGACGTGCAGAAGGAAGACTGTATTAATCATGTACAGAAACGGATGGGCACCGCATTGAGAAACCTGGTGCAGAAACAAAAGTGCGATGGGAAAAGAGGCCTTGGTGGGAGAGGCAGGCTCACAGGTGAGCTGATCACCAGGCTGAGCACATATTATGGCCGGGCTCTGAAATCGCATGAAGGTGACGTGGGCGAGATGCAAAAGGCTGTGATGGCCACATACCGCCACGTCACCTCCACTGATGAATGCTCGGACCACAGTCCGTGCCCAGCTGGTGAAACTTCATGGTGTCGGCACAATGCCGCAAAAGCAAAGGGTGAGCCCGACCCCAGGCATGCCTACAATCTACCGAAATACGTGGCAGAGGCATTACTACCGGTTTATACCCGGCTTTCGGAAAGAGCCCTGCTTCAGAGGTGCGAACGCGGCAAAACGCAGAACTCCAACGAGAGCCTACATTCGGTAATCTGGAGTTTGGCCCCCAAGGAGCACCATGCGTCCCTGTTCGCTGTTGAAGCAGCTGTTGCAGAAGCAGTGCTGCGCTTCAACACGGGCAATTTGAATTCTGCAACGGCAATCTTAGGTGAAATGGACATGAATGCGACAAGTACTGGTGCCAGGAGAGCGAGAGAAAAAGACCACCGTCGCAGCATTGTCTCCAACAAGAAAAGAACAGCCTCATTGGAACTCCGGAAGCTAGTGAAGAGGAGGCATGAGCACAGAATGCATTCAGACTATGCTTCTGGTGCGTTTTGAGGTTGTCTTGTTGCATCTTCTGCAATAAAAATGTGTGCCCACGTTTTTTCTCGATTTCTCAAAACGACAATTTTCATGTGCTTCCCATTATGCCGGAGCAATATCTCTTGTTCTATCTGGGTTATCATTACGATTTCTTTTTTGTTTCGAAGATAAATGCAGGGGATGTGTCGTAAAGTAAGTTTTATTGTAATAATTTTTGGAGAAAATTCTCTACATGGATCTTTTGTTTCAAGTGTAGATGGGGAAATTTTTCATGTCATATTCAACATCCCACAACTTTGCTTCGAAATAGCCCAGAACAATGATTTATACTTTATTGCACACTGTGAACATACCGAATTGGTTCTATAGGTTGCACATCAATATCCAAGTTACAGTTAATTAGCTAATTAGGCCTTAATTGAAAAAGTCGCAGTTCATTATATCTTTAAAACTAATTGTCACAGCAAAAAAAGAATTAGATTTTTGAAATCAGCAGTAAAATCTACATAGGCTCTCCAAATTTGACTGAGGTACTCGCAAAAATAAAAGAGTTTTTGGAAGGTGTAGCATCCCCCCTTAACTAAGGAGAATGTGGATGAGAGGGAGGCCTTCGCGCTGCAATTTTTGTGCTGCACGGGTCAAGAAAAAAAAGAAAAAGCAGACTTCTTTAAGAAAACATGCATTTTTTGGGGTTCACATGCGCACCCGTTTTTTATTGTGAAAAACGAGTTCAAGGAACCACCGTTGTTGAGGTAAGTCGTTTTGGTCAGTGGAAAATAAATACTTATGGTTAATTTTTGGGCTTTCACTATAACGACCTTTCAATATAATGAACAAATTGGAACGGCAAAATAATGTTTTAACAGCATTATTCTCGAAGCACAAATTTTCACCACTTTCTTTTGCTTGTTTGGTAAAAGTGGACCTAGGACAACTAGAGCTTTGTTTTTGCACAGTGGAGCTAAATGTGCACAAAAAAATAATGCTGAAAGCCTATTTTCAATGGGCAGCTTCATTTTCTTATTTTATTATTAAAATTTTTGGTTTTGGTTACATGCAATAAACTTTATTGTGCTGCAATTTGAGAAGTACTCGTTCAATTAACGATCAGCTTGCAGCGTTGCACTTTTTAGGCTTTCTATTATCCATATATATGTTAAAGACAATGTAACTAAGTACATACATTTTTACAGTTAAAAATGTTAGAATTCTTTGTTTTCTTCATTTTCTCAAAATGGCAATTTTGTACACCCTGCATGAATATTCCTGCAATATATTGGAAACTATTACAGATAGCAGAATAATTTTTTTGCAGCATGAAGCTATATGTTTGGAGCACACAACATAAGAAGCAGATTTTGATTTCTCTTGATGCAAGTTTTTTAAATTAGTCTTTTGTGTGACCACACAATGGCCACATTCAGAGCTACGAAGTTTAGTGTACAGTAAAGTAAAAAATAATGACCCAATCAAAAAAGTGCTTCCTATGTTGTGGAGCTTGTCCTAGTGTTGATCTCTATGCTATTTGTAAATTTCGAAATGGTGGTTATCTTTCTATTGTGGTAAGAACAATAGATATTGTTACCCTAATTAAATAATGAAGCTATAGAAAAAATAACTTCATATTCAGAACCAAACTGAGTAAAAGCATGCCAACTTCTGTCACATTTGATTAAAAATAAACGAGAGAGCCCCAAGACCCATGTCCCCTCTTAATAACAGACAGGTAGCACATGCACAATTCATCAAGCGCAACCACTGGTCACACCGAGCTCACGAGCCTAACTTTCCAAGCAAGCGGCCATTCGCGATACATCACACACGCAAACCGCATCTCACCTGTATCTCAAAAATGTCATCGTCGGTAGCGAGTATCCGGAAGTCGCTGTTGGCAAACACCACCCTCGTCTGGGCGGTTGATGATGCCACAGGGTTGAATGTCGACGTCAGCTGAAGGATGTCCTGCGCTGTGTTGGGACCCAGTAGCCTGCCACACAAGCAACAAATTAAGTGCATTTAGGCTGGCTCCTGGACTACAGGAAAGTGCATCGAGCAACGTTCAGTCCTCAACCAAGAAGCTTATTATGCGAACTTGAATGAATAATTACTGATATACTTTCTATGCAAATTCAAACAGTAGCAATACATTAGGATTAAAAGGGTGCCAGTTATAACATAATTATTCAAATCTAGGCTAGTTTCTTTTTTGAAACTTCTTTGTAACAAACTCCAGGGTTGGTTTAGATTGAGCCGGCACTTGGCTTAAGCACACAAGAAGCCATTATTTTTATCTTTGTGGGAGTGTTAAGGCGAGCCGTTCGTTATTTTGAGCTTCACTTTGAGTGGTCTATGTGTGGCGTAGCTCAATGGCGCCAAACAGGCGGTGCCACTATAGTGCCGCTTATGAAAGCGAAGTTTTCCTAGCTGCGGAGTCATCCAACATCTAAACCAGGCGGGACTTCGGAGTGGACGAAAGAAATGTGCGTCGCTGGAGGGGTTGAAACGTACGACGACATCCCAGGAGTTTTGATTGTACGCTCTTTCAAGAAGTGTGGCTTTTCCAATGAGCTTGATCGCACGGCAGATTGCGCACTGTTTTAAGACAGTGACAAAGAAGTCAGCGACGAGAGAAGCAGCGAGGACGACTCAATGAGCACGGCATCTTCATTAGAGCAGATACACAAAATACACAAAATACAGGACTAGAGATACACAAAATACAGGACTAGAGGATGTTTCTTGAGTTATTTGCATTGTGAACCAACTGCTTTGTTTCATTGTCATGTTAAATAAATGTCCTCTCTTTGTGAACGCTGTCTTTGCTGTTTCGTACGGCCTACATTCAAGATAAGTGTTGGCTTAGGATCGGAATCTGCCTAGATTCGAGCAAATACGGTAAATGATAAAACGTATTACATTTTGAAAACTTGCCGCACTTACACTGTATACCTGTGTAACACACTTATAAACTTGCAACCTTGAAGTGTGTATTCTGGTAGCACCAAATTCTCTCGAATATGCTATTTCACAGCACAGCTGTCCTTGAGGTCAAACCATTTTTTCAAGCAGATTACGTGCGGCAGAAGTGTTTGCTTGACTGGAGCACTTTAAAATTTTTGGAATATTGTCACGGAGTCGTGACGTGGCCGAAGGCAGAAGACTGGATGTTCAGATCAAAGTGTTTCGGGCGAACCTGTGCCTGGTAAATGGAAAGTCGGATTGCAGTAGCAGACTCGCACTGATAGCAGCGAACGGAGTGTCGGCCGTTGATCAACTGATAAGCGGTAAAGCGCGTCGGCAATACACGTGCTGTCGAATATTCTAGCGCTATCGCTAGCGACCACATAGGTTCCAGAATAATCTCCGATGTTCGTGAAGTGGGCGTAATCTCAATGAAATGATCTGCTACAGTGCTGAAGCTTCTCGAACACTGCAGGCACGGTTTGCACTCAGAATATAAGTACAGTATAACGAGACAATAACAAAACTTGAGAAAGGAACGTGGCATTATTAAATTCATATTGAAGCAATTTTAATGCGCAATTTTTGTTCCCATATCGGAGGCACTCGAATGTTCACACAAGCCTACAGTACATATCACAAAGCTTCATATTTTGTCTACCCGAGGTTTCGTAACCGCACATAAATGCAACGTTAAAGTGGTACAAAAGAATGTTCTTTACAAAGTGCTGCAATTTTTTCCCACAATACACTCGCAAGGTGGCATGACATTTAGCTTTTATGTGCGAAGCGCAGTTCCTATAATGCACACATTCCTTCAGGGTAATGTTCAGCAGCAAATTGGCACCCGATCTTGCCTAACAAAAAGTGTGCGCCCTTTTGTGCCCCCTGACATGAGGTCGAGGCGAGGTGCATACCTCTGGAGTATAGCAGGGGGGTTAGGATGGCGGTTGGCATACACGTGCCAGGTGCCGCTGCTGTTGCTGGGATGCGTAGAACCCTGGGCACGGAAGCCTCGGGTGCGCCGGTGCAGCCGCGACGAGGGGCCACCTGCAGCCTGGGGGTCCCCGTGCCGCACCAGCAGCGGGTGCGTGCTCGCCACCGTGCCTGGGGGCGGCGGAATCGATGGACCTGCCACGACCGCCGCGCGGCCAATACGGGGCAAGGAGGGAGGAGGAGGAAAAGGGTAAGGCAGCAGGGGTGAAAGGAGAGAGATGCAACAGGGTTCACTTCTGAAATCAAGTCCACGACGGCACCGGCACAAGCTGGGATACTTTACTTTGGCCTAGCCCAATTGAACAGCAGCTTGGAACAAGGATAGATGGGAGAAAACGGTTCCCAGCTGGTGCCGACACATGTGAGCAGCCATTGTGTGCTACTCTCAAGGCATCACTTTCAGAGGTATGAAAGAAATGAGTTATACTGAATCTTCTTAATGATTCCAAAACATCCACTTCGATGTATCGCTAATTTGACACACTATTTGCAAGCCACATGTAGTATGCCTCCCTGCACGGCAGTTATTGCTTTCATTAACACCCTGCGCAAACAGCTCGGCTGTGCATCATGAAACCTTACAAAGGCAACCTTGTCACTGTGCCGTGCAAACGAAACTCTCGCTCGGCAAGCCATCCATAATTTCAATACGCACTACTTGCTCTTTGCTTTTCTCAATGACATACAACTTTGTTCACATTCAATGCATCATTCGAGAGCATCTGCCAACGCAGTGCTGTTACAGCAGATACAGTATAGACCGCTTATAACGTAAGTCACGGGAGCCTTGATTTTCCGTACTATAAGCAGTACCGTACTACAGTTAAACCTCGTTATAACGAAATCGGAGGGCCGCCGCTATTTGCTCGTTATAACCAATATTTCGTTATAGCCGTAGCGGGCATTTACCGCAAATATTATGCACTGTACTTGCCCCCCAAAAAATAGCGGGCGAAATAGCATCCCGCCGCACGGTGGTATGCAACAAAATAACCGCATTCCCAAATAAAAAGGAAAAAGTCATGCACCTGTTTTAATGCACTTCGATATACACAGCTTGCATTTCAGGCAGACTTAGCTGCAAAGAAGTCCGTAATTGGACGTTGATGCGTCTTCCTGATGCGAACGATGGCTCGCTCAGCTGCGGCCGCAATGTTCAAGCCATCTTCGCCGCCCTTGTGAGCCCCGAAGTAGCGGCGCATGTACGTCCACAGCGTCGAATGCCTCCGATGCCGTCGCCACGTTTGTTTTCTGTTCGTCGACAGAGTCATCGTCACTGGTTTCGTTACGATCGCTGACAGCGTGCACAATATCGTCATCTAGGAGCTGCTCCGTTGCCACCACTTCAGAGTCCGCACTCACATAGTCGCAAAACGACTCGCTGTCAGGCACGACACCGGTGTCACGAAGTGCCGTCCATGATGCAGCGACTTCGTCTGATGTGGCAAAACCTGTCCGGCACAGTGGGCTCGTCTGATGGCTCATCGCTGGCGTCTGGTGCGGCGGCAAATGAGGCGTGTCGAAAGCAGTTTGCGATCGTGGTCGCCGTCACACTCATCCACGCCGCCTGAAGCATTTCGAGCGGAGCGTACAAGTCAACATCGGTGTCTCGCCTCATCCTCATGTTGAGCAGGAGCTTGTCTATCACACGCTTGCGGTAACCTGCCTTCAGCGACGTAATCACGCCTTGGTCAAGCGGCTGTATTTTTGCTGTGCAGTTGGCAGGAAGGAACAGCAGCTCGATGTTTTAAAGCACGGCAGCGGTATGGTGGGCGGTGCAGTTATCTAAAACAAGGCACACCTTGCGGTTCGCCTTTGCCAGCTTCTCGTCTTATTCGCAAAGCCATTTTGAAAAAATGTTGCTGGAAAGCCATTTTGAAAAAATCTCCCTGGTCATCCAGGCTTTGCGATTGGCTACGTATTTGACTGGGAGCTGCCTCTTCCTCTTAAAGCAGCGAGGGGATGCACTTTTGCCAATTACGAAAATTGGCAGCTTCTCAGAGTCGATCATGTTTGCACAAAGTAGCGCAGTGATCCGCAGCTTACTTTGTTTGCCGCCATGGTACGGCTCGCCTTTTAGGGCTAACGTTTTGTGCGGCAACATCTTGAAAAAGAGAGCGGTTTCGTCCGCGTTAAAAATATCCTCCGCGCTGTATTTTTCTAGCAGCCGCACGATGTTTTCTTTCGCCCACTTGGTAGCCTCTGCTTCGTCGACAGATTGCGATTCGTTGCAAACCGCTCTCCCGACAATGTCGTGGCGCTCCTTGAAGCGTTGGAGCCAACCCGAACTTGCTACGAAGTTGTCATAGCCCATGATGCAGGCAAATCTCTCGCTTTTCTTTGCAGCAAGGCACCGCTCACCGGCAGATTCACAGCGCGCGTGTCCAAGAACCATTTAAAAACGGCCCTTTCGACCGCTTCAAAAGCAGGTGCCCTCATCCTCTTAGCGCTTCCTTTCACGCCACGTGCAACAGCTCCTGCTTGCTCAAGATGGTTGACAGTGTGCTCGTCGATACGCCAAAGTCTCTTGCCACATTGCCTTTCATGGTCCCCGATTCGACGGCTCTTATCATAGCCGCCTTCTGATCTAGCGTTATGCGCTTTCGCTACCCACCTGACGCATTCATGTTGCTGGAATCACGAGCCCAGCACGATAAAAGATAAGGCGGAAGCGGTCGAAAAAGAGAAGAAACACGCACGCAAAAGCAACGCGTCTCACGTCGGCGAGCGAAAACACTAGCAGAGAAAGTTACTGTGAAGAGGAAGGGGCAGAAGGGGCGCTCTTTTGCGCTGCCCTCTAGGAACCGGTTACTCAAGGGGAAGGGGGTATGTAAGATTAGGAAGCGCGCCTCAGCGCCATGAGAAAGGGGAGAGGGAGAATATAAGGAAGACACAAAAGAAAAGGGCGAGACGTTCGCGGAGCTGCGGAGCGCTGCGCTGTCGGTGGTAGCCAAGCGGCGCACGTGCAGCGACCTCTCCTCCGGAAACAGCGCGTGCCGTCTGCTTTGCGCGCGTTGCTGGAGGGCGCGTGGCGGGAGATTTGAACTGCTAAATACAGTTCTCGCGTTGCGCGCCGTCTCTAATTCGTGTTGCACACTGTCGTGACATCGGCTCAAAATTTTACTTCCTAACAAAATTTGTTCGTTATATCCCATAACAGGCAAATTTTGCCTCGTTAAAACGAGGTTTTGAATACATTGGTTTGTATGGGGACTTTCATGGGGAATCGGAATTTGCTTGTTATATCCATTATTCCGTTATAGCCCGTCTTGTTTAACGAGGTTTAACTGTATAACCAAACAAAACTTTTTCAAGGGTCGCACTTGCGCTAAACCTGTTGAGCATGCAGCTTCGCGTGTCCGAGAATCGGAACATGCGATGTGTGCTTGCCAACATTTAAATTTCTGAATATTAAGGGGAGATGCGGGTCGAAAAATCGCGTTTTTTGCGAAAATTTCCACTTTTGAGATATTGCTGCTAAAATCACTTTTGATCATTCAACTATCATTTCCCCAAAGGTCATAGCTGAATTCAAATGAGAAAGTGGTAAAAAATCGATCTGCGCTAGTGAAGGTAGCTGCCGAAGTCGCGAATTCACGCATCCGACGGCTATTTTTGAAAATCCGCCACTCGGCAACACGATGACGTCCGCCATCGGGGTTTGTTCGGTGGTGTAGATCAAGGCTCCTTCTAGTGTACAGGCGTCCCCCTAGTTTCGTATTTTAGTGAGGAATTTCACAAAACAGTCGTTTCCAAGTCGGTTTGCAGCCAAGCTGCAGCCGCTTCGCGCATCTCTACCGGTCACATGGTACGCTACCGAGGCCGCCATTGGCTACATCCGATCGGCCTCGCACGCTGAGCGCTTGCGACGATCGGCACTTGCCATGCGTTTCTATGTTTTTCCGAGTTCACCATGGATAACTCGAAGAAGCGAGACTTCCGAGCACGAAAGTTTGCAAGCAAGAACAAGTACCAAGGGCGTCGACGTAAACCGAAGCGCAAAGCAGCGGTAGAAGAATGCGAGCCGCGGGCCACTAGGCCTAATCAAGGCAGCGGGGATACGGCGGCTTGCGGGAACTTTGACGAAATCGACGCCGCGATCAAGTTCATCAGCGCATCAGAAAAAAAGATTGAACAGTTCGAAAGCGAAAGAACGAAGAGTGTTTGTGGCTCTGTGAGCGGAGTATTTTGTGACGTCGGCGCACTGACATCGATGGTAAGCCGTGCTGTTTGTCCAACATGCCACACCGCTGGACTCGTCGTTCGCGACACTGCAAGTAAACGTAAGGGCCTCTCTTCGTTCCTCGAGCTGCACTGTGATAACAGTGAGTGTCCTGAGTCAGTGGTTTCTGCCGCGCATAGTTCGCGGCGTGTTCTGCCGGAAAGACAGCCCACCGATGCCGGTGATGACTGGAGCTACCGAAGCGGCAGCTCGCGCGACAGCTTCGCTGTCAATGTGAAGGTAGTTGTGGCTGCGCGTGCAATAGGCATTGGGCATGAACAGCTGTCGCGTTTTTGCGCTATTCTTGGACTGCCAATACCTATGCATCATAAGACTTTTATTGCAATCGGCAAAAAAGTTCATGCTGCAGCTACCAAAGCTGTGCAAGAAACATGGCGAAAGCGCGGATGATAACTAAAGAGAAAGTGGATGGGGCTGATGTTGCTGTCATGTATGATGGCACATGGCAAAAAAGAGGGCACAAGAGCCACAATGGCATCGGCACTGCTGTGTCTGTGGACACTGGTTTTGTGCCTAGATTTTGAAGTGCTATCGAATTACTGCCTTGCCTGTAGCCGGCACCAGGACTTGGGTGATGAGGAAGAAATATGGCAAGCATTCCACACACCTGTCTGCGAAAAAAATACAGAGTGCTCCTCTCATGCCATGGAGACTGAGGCAGCTTTGCGCATATGGGGCAGGACATCCTCATACACAACACCATTGCGCTTCACCAAGTTCCTCAGTGATGGGGACAGCAAAGCTTATACCGCTGTCGCTGAGGCCAAGGTATATGGTGAAGCTGTTGTGGACAAGGAGGAGTGCACAAACCATGTGGCCAAGCGTCTAGGCACTGCACTTCGGAAACTGCCAACAAGACTTCCACGAGGGGAAAAGCTGACAGATGGCACAATTCAGAAGCTGCAGAACTATTACCGTATTGCAATCACAAACAACAGAGGTGATATTCTGAAAATGCATCGTGCCATCTGGGCCTCATATTTCCATTCATCATCGAGCAACACAGCAGGCAGCCACCGATACTGTCCAGAAGGGGCGACTTCCTGGTGCAAGCATAGGCGAGCTGAAGCGCTTGGGGAGGCCCCCACCCGACCACACACCAATCTTGACCAAGGCTCAAGGATTGGCTGTGCTTCCCATTTACAAGCGGCTCACAGATGAAAAGTTGCTGGTGCGTTGTATCCAAGGGAAGACCCAAAACGCTGCAGAATCTTTGAACAGCAAAATCTGGTTGTTGTGTCCGAAGACTAAGTTTGCCTCCCGGACAACAGTGGAAACTGCAGCTGCTATGGCCGTGTTGTGGTTCAATAAAGGACATTCAAGCTTTGAACACGTGCTAGAGGAGCTTGGTGTAGTCCCACCAGATCAACTGATCACCCTGGGCCGATCCCGCGACCAGAGGAGAATCGAAAGAATGTCTGCGTGTGAAACAGCCGAGGCAAGGGCCCATCGGCGGAACGTGGCAAAGAAAGCGCGCCTTGATGACTCCCTTCTCAAGCGGCGAGAAGGATCCACATATGGAGCAGGACAATTTTAGGTGCTCTAGCTGTGTCCCTTCTATGATATCACCAAGTTTTCTGCAAATCGCACTGTGTAATCATGAGTAAACATATTTACAACTTTCAAATGCATTTTTCTCGATTTCCATTTTGAGGTAATTCTCTCATCTTGTGCACAATCTTTTTTAGGCATAAAATAGTCCTATCTTGATGAAATTTTGCACAGAGCTTAATCAGCCACTCTAGAATACAAGTATCTACTTTAGGTTGCATTATACATCACAGATTTTTTGTTACACAACTTGATACACTGATAGAGAGATGTAAAATATGCATTTAGTACTTTTAATTTTTTTTTTTAATGTAGCAAATAAATTTTCTGTTTGAGGTACTTTTCTGTATTGTACTGCTCAAGTGCAGCAAAATGAGCCATTTTGCAATTCTGTGTGAAAATTTTTAGTAAGCTTTATTATGTGCACAAAAACACTATATTTTGATATCAAAGTTGTAGTAACTCCGGAACTACTATAGCTATCAAACAAATAATTGCAGTTATGAAATCAGCACTGCAAGCTTTACTAACACCTAAAATTTCAAGGAGCTGGGTTATGAAATAAAAAAAAACCTTTTTCGAGTAGCATCTCCCCTTAAAAGGATGCAACGTCCAAAGACGTGTTGCCGAAAAGGGGGGTCTAACAAATGAACAAATTTGCACCACCGCATCGGCGCTGGTGCAAACGCTTATCGGTCATAAAGGGAACCGTCCTCTTCCCTAACTCGGCAAACCCGCGTAATGTCCCACTGTCTTGTTTCATTTTCTTTTTACTTGCCTGCGCCCTTTGTTCGTTCACTACGTGTCTCCTCCACCTCCGTAACGATCTCGTTCGCTCCCCAGCAGGCGCACGTAGTGTGCCTCCTTATAGAAGCGCACTTGCTGCCACGTTTGTCACGAACGATTTCTGGCAGCCGCATTATAACCGGTCTTTGGGGGGTAAACAGGGATATAAAATGACCGCATTGTAAGCGGTTCTGCACTATAAGCGGTTATGTTATAAGTGATCTACACTGCAATTTTTAGAAAGCATCGCAATATGTTTTGTAAAGCCTTACTGTACATTTCTGTTAAACTCCTTCCTCAAGGAGCCAGAACTGCTTGAAGGCATGCACAAAATATTAACGAAAGCAACTTTAGCGTAGTGCCGTCGAGTGGTGTAAAAGGGGTACTTACTAGTTGTGTCCTGCACCATTGTTGCTTTCGTCGGGAACAATAGGCAGCTGGTAAGTGCGGATACCCTCAGAGCCGCCAAACATTATCGAGGTGCCTGGATATTCAAAACGCACAATTCCTGAGCAGTCAGGGAGGAAAGCAGGAAGCACTAGATCCAGGACTTCTGGATGCAACACAACTTTACCAGAAAAACACCTCACTCTATGTCATGTAGCTGGCACCGTACCCGGCAGCTGCAACGCACAGCCGCACCTTTCGAACCAGCTCCCAGGAAGGGTACTTTCCCACACTACCTCAGTTGGGCCCGCACGCTAGCCTCGCTGCGAGCTCAACAAGTGAGACTGTGGTCGCTTGCCTCGATTCGTCTGTATGTAAGCTTTCTTGTAATATGTCACCACAAACAAAACATTTACACAGAAGTGGTAGGAAGTTGCGCCCTACTGTACCTCACAACCAAGAAGGTCACCTTATTTTAAAAATGCGCTTCCATGATTTCTACTCCCATAATGTAGCATGCGAAGCAAAAGGAATCCGAAATGGGTGCTCCCCTAAAAATATCAAACTGCTCGGTAATTCACTTCAGAAGGGACAGCTATCAGTCTGGCCGATTATCCATTACCCTAACAATGCATGTTTTGCCTGAGCTCTCTGCATTCCACAATGTAAATTAGGGCTGAAACAACGCAGACAATGCGGCTGGCACTGTCTGCAGCATCAGTGCAATGTTATAAAGGAAATCATAGCATAGCATATCAAATGACCTGTTTTTAATAACAGGCAAAATTAATTTAACACATGTATCAGACAGCAAGTTTTGCAATACATCGTGCTATGACTTTGAACATTTTCAGTAACGAAGGCTACTATAATTACCAGCAATGTTAGTCCTATGATGCCATTTATTTTCGAAACAATTTTGCTACGAGCCTATCATCATCTGATGACGCAGGGCGAACCCACGGAATGAACTCTCCCATTTCTCATACAATGACCTTCACCAACAGCCAAGCTACACACTCGAAGCTAAATTTTCATGTATGATGCCAACAAACAAATAAGAGAAAGCAAGTGCAATAGTTGCAACTAGATAGCAATTGCAACAGCCTTTAATGACTTGCACCAATAGCCACTGGAACCAAACATGGCTAAAGGCACGACGCGAGTAGCCAGCTGCTTACCAGATGACGGGAACACTTCCTCAAAGTGGAAAAAGAGGTTGTCATCTCGGTCCTGCATTCGAAACAGGGCTTCCTCCAGGTCCTGATACTCCTGCATTGTGAAAGCACAAGTGTGGTAAGACGCTTACCATTAATGAACACTTGCACAACCATTTTGGACAAAGAAATGAGCCGCCCCCCAAAACTTTACATACACAGTGGTGGCCTTGTAAATACACAAAGCGGCTCTCAACAAAGCTGTCCTAAAGAGGGTCAGTCAATACAATGATGAGTGATATTTCACTCCTTATTCACCCATTATCGCTACTCACCCCATATTGACCTCCTTATTGCTATTGCTAAGCAGCAGATCTCTGTCTTTAAGACAAGCTACTTTGCACTGAGCAATGGCATCTAAATTCGATGAAAATCGTTGCAACTCAAAGCTTGTTATCACTACAATTTCCTTTTTTCGAAAAAACAATTGCAACGAAACTAGCAACACAACTCTTCGCGAGGGCTGGTAGAGCGGCTACACTGCGCTCACCTCTTCATCCTCGTCTTCATCTTCCGCCTCCTCATCCCCTTCGTCTTCGTTTTCCTCGTCCTGCTCAACTTCATCTTCGCTGCGTCCAGAGTCAGAGTTGCTTTCAGAGTCTGTTGTCTCCTGGTGCACTTCCTCAACTGTGGGCAGCGGCACAGCAATTTAGTTTATTAAAGAACTCCGTCACCAAACTAATTGCTACATCCCTTCAGCTTCTCCAGTTACACACACACATACACGCACACACACAAAAGAAGATCACTTGATAACCTGACAGGAAAAAAAAATCATGTGAGCACCAAAAAAACTACTACAGTCGAACTCTTTTTTAAGAGACAATGATATAAGAGACACCAGCATGCCCACAGTAAAATACACGTTGATAAGAAAATTCATGCAAGGTACTACTCTCCTTAATAAGTAAGGGACATCTCGTGTAAACGACCCAAAACTGCTACCTGAAGCATGCCTTTTATAAAAGGGTTCCACTGTACTGATCAGTTCACTGGTGGGCTTCCAATATCAAGTGTTTCCACAGCTACAAGCAAGTTCATTTGTGTAGAATACGACGCTTTGCTCATACGTAAATCAAACAGTCCGCAAAGAACACCAACAAAATTAGAATTCTTTTTAACCTATAAAGCAGCAATTCTTCACCCTAAAGCATTATAAAACTTCACAGATTTAATACGCTAGCAGTTCAGTTGGACAGTATCCTTCGGCAAAAGCTTAATACTAGAAATGAATGCTGCTAGTGGGTGCTTGCCTAAGCAATGGCAGCAGCACTGGTATTGCACAACACCCAACAGTATTTGGTTGTGTTTCTATTAGGTTGGGTCAGGCAAAGCCACCAGCGGCAGCTAAAATTCGACATGCTACCAGTCATTACGGGGCAAAAATTAAAGGGGCCCTGCAACACTTTTTCAGCATAGTCGGAAAACACTGCCGATCGGTAGCCTAGGCTTCTAAGAACAGGCAAGCCCATAGAGTTTCTCACTATCATACCTAGAGGGAAATCTGGTGCTAGTGAGCTGCTGAATGCAAGGGAATGATAGGATATGTGAGCTTCGAACTTGACTCAGATTTGTATACCTCGAAGACGCATCTCGCTTCATGTTAAAATAATTGGTTTTCTTACTAAAAGAGCACGTGATAAGCTATTTATTTTATCATTGCACAGAAACGTGTTTTATTCAACACTAGAACCTTCCGCGTAGATGTACGATTTTACAAAGCGTAAGAAGTAACTAACGGCCGCTAAACTTGGCAGGCAGACGACAAAGGGAACGTTCCCTCTGCCATATTTATGTCGTCTGTTTCTTTCCTTCGCCGTTTCGATTGTGCCGTCAAGGTGAGCGACTTTTATTTTACAATATGGGTGAATGAGATCTGCTTATAAACGTTTCGTTTTAAAGAAGCCTTATTTATGCAGTCGTATTCGCTTTTGAGCCGAAGCCTCACTGAACACCAGCCGACACAAGCCTAGTAGACATATATACCATCATTCCCAGCGCTCCATCATCGCCCCTTAAAAATTCGCATAGACGATGGCCCCACACTTCCCTCTAGGTATTTGTGAGAAACTCTACGGGCAAGCCAAACATAGCGCAGCATGCAGCCTGAAATTTACAATTGATTCTCGAAGGCAGCTAGAAACTTGTTCCCTCTTTTTTCTGTAAACGATGCTCAAACGACCGCACCATATACCAAAATTAACGGTCATTAGCCGATTTAAGCATTGTGGGCTGCATAGTTGCTGCGGCCTCCGCTAAGAGGCCACCACATGACCACTGCACGCTCATGGTGAAACTGTGCCATCCCTCCCTGGTTAGCTTCCAGCGCATGAAATCGGGACACATTACAGCCAGCAACAAATCTCTGCATAGCCGCTTACTACTGACGAATTCAAAAAACTTTTGCAACAATCAATTTGTGAGGCAATAAACTCGTTTAGGGAAGCCATTCGATGGTTAGTTTTAAGACTCCCTTTAACTGCACCTCTCAACTAGCTGAACAGCCTGCTGTGCCACGATACATGGGCATTTTCAATTGCAGAGGCCAGCTAGCCAGTGATTAAGATTTCGAATACGAATGTCTTATTTGAATTCAGTCTGTGCTCTTGTGGTGAGCAATCACTTGCACTACTTCGCAATCTTTTGCTGCTGCTGTTCAGCGTGCTTATTGATGCCGTGCAGAACTGTCCAGAAAACTAGTGAAGGCACTTTACTGTTGAAACACAGAAAGCTCACATTAATAAATTAGTTATTAACGAAGCGTTCGACTGCAACTTCCGACTTTTTCATCAAGGTTTGACTGCATATGCAAATTCAAAATACTGAAAGATAAACAGTGCAATTTTTATCAGCTTACCAAAAAAAAGCAAACACTGAAAAAGTAAGGGCATAGTTTTCTCTTGATAAGAACATAAGAAAGGTCCCTCCATTGATGTTGCAATAAGAAAACTTGTCAAAGGTCATAACAAGCACTTAGTCCTTCACTTTATATTCCTAGCCACAATCAATCAAATGAAATCGCAATAACATATTGAATTACAGTCGATGACGCGTCCCTGCCACACAAAACTTGAGCACTGATCACAAAGTCACCTGCATCGAATCAGCAAGAATCATTTAAGCTGCGGCTGGCACTACCTGCTTTAGAATGGAAACTATTATCAACTGGTACCATGCAAACCAGTACCAATTGTGCAGAAAGTGAAAATTTACCTACAGCTAACAGGCGCTTCATTAGCTAGTGAGGTCCAAGACTGCTCAAAAAGCAGCTGGCATTGCACATACCCATTTAGTCTGCAGAATACAGAAAATTGTGAAATTTTAGTTTCCCATTGCAACGCCAGCTCAGTTGGAACTCTGCAGCAAAATGGAAAATTGAAGTAGCAGTTGACTCTACACCGACATTTCAAAACTTAATATTTTAGCAGCCAACTGCAGGATGTCCTTTGTGATCGTGGATCAGGTTTCATTAGGAAGGTCTGTATGCAGACACTGCAGAAAAAAAAAAGCACACAGCCACAACTGCACACCAAAATGTGACACACACAAACACACACACACACACACACACACACACACACACACACACACACACACACACACACACACACACACACACACACACACACACACACGGAATAGAATCAGAAACATGTCCATTTGCAAAGGAGGCTGCAAAGCAGAGAAAGCAAAGCTTCATCGGATAGACAGCAGAAGTAACAAAACAAGAGGATACAGGGGTAAACACATGAAGATGAGGGAATGCCACGGACAGAAGAACCAAGGTGACAACAAGGAGTTGGACACTCACTATCACGCTGCGAGATCATCTGCGAGTCGTGTTCCTCTTGGGCCTCAACTCTGAGCGTTAGCTCGCCCCGACCCGTCAGGCCACCCTCTGAAAACGGGACACCCCACTGTTGACATGACCAACGACACACTCCGCTCGCTTCAACAGGTGCAAGCGGTGGAGTGTGGGGGACATGAGGCGCCATAAGGTGACGGCCCGCGTTTCATAAATGACAAGGTGACAAAGAACCTCCCGCAAGCTTTTCCGAGCAGCTGCACAGAATGTTGTCTTCTCGAATCGCCACTAGAGAGAGATGAACTCTGCCACAGCGTAATGTCCGAGTAAAACTAACATGCGCAAAATGACATTGTCGATCTTACTCTGTCCCTGTAAGCCATTTTACACATGCCAGTTTTACTTGGCCTAACTTTTTGACAATGCCCTTTGTTCATGTGATGATTCTTCACAATCTTTCAAATTGCAAGCGTGATGGTGTCTCATCAAAAAGCTTACGTCGCACTATTTTAGGTATGGTGTCTTTAAAGAAAACATTGGTAGCTGTCTTCTTGTACCAATGAAACGGGTTCCTTACTACTGGCAACTACTGTGCTACATTTCTGAATAAAAGACACCGTGCACTGCATGATTTTGCACTGGCATCAGTTCTTAAACTAAACTAATAGCTTAACACCACCACATCAAAGTAATCTATTTTTAACCAACCTTCAAGACACATATCCTGCCGTTAAACTTGAAATAATACTTTCACACTAAAGCCCCTCCATCCACAATCTGCCTCTCCTCTACCTTTCTCTCGAGCCAACTTTTCAAATTTGTGGTACTGTGCAAAATGCAATGCACATCAATTCGACCACAGCTTTTCAAGCATAGTACATGCCTTCTGTAGTCTGTCCCTGCCACTAAGAAATATTAGTGATACACAGTAGCAAAAAGCTGCACTCACGCAAACATTACAGAAGCTGATCTCATGTCAGGAACAAATTAGGTGGCAGCACATATGAAGGATTGGTGTTGCTCGGCAGATATGGGAGTGATGAGTGGACAGAGGGCCTTTACTAACATAACCGAGACTTCTTGATTAAAAGAAGCTAGTTGTTTGTGTTGAAACTTTAACCGTGCGAAGAAATCAAGCTACCACATACAGTACAATCAGAGAGAAAAGCTCGCCAACTTCAGTACATGGTGCAGACATAAGACAACAAGACTGTGCGAAGACAGAATGACGCTAGACGAACATTGAAGGAGAAATTCAACAAGCACTGCCACTGCAGAACCGACATGAACATTCACGAGCAGCGTTCACAGCAACACTCCACAAACATCGCAACAACGAACAGGACAACAGGAGTAGACGTTCATAGCTGCATGCGGTCTGTGGCAGCACTCGGGTCGTGGGAAGTGCTTTGGTCCTCGTAAATCCTGTGCCAAGAGTGAGCAACTGTGCACTTATGCTAGCCTCGTGTGCAGAGATTGTTGCTTGCGATGAAACACATCATGGCTTTTTCACTTTCGCACATCTATTAGCGCAACGGTCTTTCCTGCCAAGTTCGGGGCAGAGTTAGGCCTAGCCACGACCTTGAGCAAAAGGCATGGCTGCAATGTGCATGGCCACTGTGCTCAATGTTTCTAAGTACGACAAGCTAGATCGCAAGTATGAAGATCTGTCCCACGGTGGTCCTCGTAGCAGGTTCGAGGTGCTGATAAGTAAAACCTTCTTGCCAACGAGTCAACGCTATGACAATCGGTTCGTGATGCGGGTGTACTATGTTCGCAATGAGTACGGCGCGGGATCGTAATCTGAAGACTGAACTTCCGCTTGTAGCTGCCTTAACAACCCGTGAACACAGAATGAGCGTGAAAATGTCACTAAGTAGTGCGATCTTAGACAGCCGCGATCTCATAACACACAAAAAACAGACGACGCTATTCCGGAGGCGTATCCGAAACGAGCATCCGATTAGCGAGGTGTAGTGGAGCAATACGGCAGAAGCAGCCCATCGAAATCCTCCAAATGAATTTCAGACGTCTGTTTTTCAAACGCGGAATGCTCTTTACAAAATATTTTTACAAGTCCAAAATGGTGGTGGGCAGTTGTGCAGTCACGACGCTATAAATATTAACTTAAAAAAAAAAAGCTCCTCCTTTTTTTTTTAGACTTTCACCATTTCTGGAGGCACAAAAACTTTTTACAGCCTTTCTATACATAGTTTTCAGTGAAGATATTTTAGAATGATAGAAAAAAGGTTACAGACACTGAAGAATGATTTCCAGAAAATCAAATTTTCTGTGCCCCATTGAGAATAACTTCGTACATGACTCATGATTCCCTTCGGTTATAACAGAACCATTCGGTGTTTCCATAAGTCTGTTGTAACAGTACTTGAATCTTACATACTCCTTTCACAACAGACCAAAATCTTCTTCACTATGGAGGTCTATTGTAATGAGGTTATACTGTACTCCCATTCACCAACCCGCTCGCGTTCACACTTATTCACATTCACACTTATGTGGAACTTGCATTCGTATGTACTTGCACCTTTTCAGCTTCACAGTCATCCACTGTGCCACACACAAACACTCACAGATGTGATAAGTATGAGTCCAAGCATGAGTGCGAGTATGAATTGAAGTGCTCATGGATAAGCATGCCGAGTTGTGATGGTCCGTCTCACAGGTGAAAGGCCTCCTGATTCGCATCGAAGCTAGTCAAGAAGCAGGTCAACATTGCTCCTATGCACTCTAATTCACAGGACAGAAATCGTAAGACATGCTTCGGAGCCTGGCTTAGGCCTAAGCTTCACTTTGTCTCCCTAATTCGCAAGATGATCTTTAATTACTCAGCAGCTGCCTCAAAAGTACCTTCTGTATCAGCATTTGTGTATATATAATGTGCATAATTCAGCGCTTGAATCTGAACCTGTACCTGGCAAATATGTTAAATTGCTACTCAAAACTACCTAGTATACCATCCTGAAGTTTAAATTATGCTTTCCGGATGTACATTGATATTTCTCACGTGTCGGCAACGCAACTAGTAAGCCTGTCTAAGGAGCATTGCAACAGCATGCAGACTTCAAAGGCAAGAGCCACTAAGGTTCGAAAAACGCCCAACAATGTGACCACCGCAAGACAAAGCTTTATGAAAGAATTTTACAACCACTAGAGGCAAATTTTTCCTAGCATACAATTGAGATGCAAAAAAGATAACACAACAGATCAGGCAGAGAAGCAGCAACATAATGGAAAGCAAATAATGCCACTAGCACACAAGGTATGATACAAGAAGCCTTGCAGGAGCACGAGTGTATCATATGACTTGGGCAAGAACCAGAAGCTTCTGCATAATTCAACGCTTCATGCTCAAACCAAGTCCACACACATTGCCTCAAACAAGTTCCTGCGAGGAATTGTTCAGTCATCTTTTCAGTGAGTGTCCCTGTTTAAGTACCTCCAAAAATGAGGTTTTCAGTGCATAAAAAGACTTGACAATTGCCCTTCGTTATAGGAAAGATCTTGGGGACAATGGCCAAGACTATCTACTGCACAGATAGAATTGAAAACGTTGCTGTGGATTTTGCAAAGCACTGTTATGAGAAAGACTAAACAGTGCAGTTTTCTCCACTTTCTGTTCTGTTTTCTTTATTCGTTGCATCTTTCTGTTATCTCTTATTCCTCTAACACCCTTTCCCATTATAGGGTAGCCAGATCTGGGAAATGGCTAACTTCCCCTTCTTTCCATCAGTTTCTCTTTCCTACTCCCAAATTTTTATTGAGTGTAGACTGCTGGGTTTTAAAGGATACTCAAACAGCTTAGGCATGACAATTTGCAATACCAACCTTCTTTTGTTATCGTATGGAATGCTGATACTGCTCTAACTTGACCCCAATCGAAAAGCTGCAGGTCTGGAACCTCAAAGCTATGCGTTTGATGCAAGGTAAAAATGCAGTCTCTGAAGCAAGTTTGCCGTTGATGTTCTTGCTATGAATCGCACCGAGTTCCTTTCTTTATTTTGAACAGCAGCTCATTAGATGCTATTTACAATGCAACAAAAATGAAGTCGTCAGCGCTGTTTCCATTTGCCGAAAAAAAAAAAAAAAACACAGGGAGTGATAGAAAACACTCCATGGCCACATCACTGTACAACCTCTCTTCTTGGTCATCTTTTCTATATTTGCACATCAAGATGACAAACAACTTCAGTTTGTTTTTTAACGATAATGACCTGACAAACATGAGACATCCCATCTAGCTGTGGGACCCCCCGACGAGCACATGAGACAAAGGGAACACACAAGGCAAGGGCGGGCAAGGGCAAGCTTGAGCAAGCGTTTTTGCAAGCTGTAGCACAAGACAGTAAAGGCAGATGTAGGAGCCAAGCAGAGAGAGACAGATATGGGGGGGGGGGGGGGGGGGGGTGAGAGTGGGCAAGATGCAAGGTGCTCTCATATTCACCGAGAACGGGCGCATTTTCAGAGTCCCTGTCCAGCAGGGCGTCCACAATGCCAACCAGGTCAACGCCGTCGGCATCGTTCTGCAAAGCACACAAGGAATCGCAAGTTGGTCAACAGCGTGAAGAACCACCCTTTGCTGAGAAAACAGACTACACACACGCACTAACACAAAGGACTCTGAGACCGACACTAGCCGGCACAGAAGATTTTAGACTCGGCAGATTAGCGCTCCTGCCTTTGACACGCACTTATATCGAAGTGTTAGCAATTACGCCTCGAAGTTATTAAAGCGAAAGCACAATAGCTCAGATGCCTCACTCAACACAAAAATTGACAAGCATCTCACGTTGACGGCATCAACATGAGTCATGCAAAAAAACAAATATGTGATTATGCCACCTAGTGATGCCATCATGATCTTGCAAATCACAGAAATTTGAGACTTCATTATGACGTCGCACGACGATGCCATCACGGGTCGATCACAGAGGCAGAGCAAACCCCATTAGATGCACGATGCTTTCTGTGAGTCGTGGGGCCGGATCAATATATTGACAAAGAAGATGGCCTTTGCCTTTGGGTTGTCTTAGATGAATCCATGAAGGTCCGCATAAATTCAGCTGTTTAGGATGGTTACAACTATCCCCTTTTCAGCCAGCCATGACCAATGAACTAGAACGAAAACCACAACTGCAAACTCATCTACATATCCTTACAGCCTGCTGGCTAATCTTTGCCATCCCTGACAAGTACCGTGCTGATTAGAATGTCCACATTGGTAATTTTGCTCGCCAGCACTGTACTGAGGCTGGTGCCTAATGAATCTTCAAACAGTGGACCGCGAAAGACTACAAGCTCGCAATAGCACTGCAAGTGCTGCTTACCAGAACAGCACCGCTTTCGCTGCAGACAACCACCGCTTCCTCGGGGACTGCGTGGGCTGCACAGAGAATGAACATGCTTACGTGCTTCACCAGAGGCCAGAAAAATTGAAAGCACGTCGTCACCTCCATTTAAGCAAAACAAGAGTTGAATCCACAAAAAAAACACTTCTGTAATCCCCTCCGATATGTTTTCCAGTACATCAGAATTACAGATTTGCAGGTTCTCAGTACAGACAGTTGATGGCACCATGTTTAATTCATACACTTTTCATTTTGGCGTGACTAAACGCTATTCTTCTCAGTGTCTTTCTGTTTATATTACTGAGCCACAATAGTTTAACTGCGGCAGATTCCTGTGTCACAAACCAACAAAACGACAATAGAGCAAACGCACAGTCTGCGTTGTCTGCCAGCATCACACATTTCCCGCTCAATCGTTTTTAAAAATAAAAAAAAAAAGAATAATGTCAGTTGCAATAAATAACACTGTTCCCTTATGTGTAAACAAAATGTTAATCGTTGCTTTTGGTTGTGTACCCACTTATTTTCCACCACCACCCCGTAGTTGCTTCCCCGTAATGTACAAATTACAGTTGTCAGAGAACACAATTCCAAAAACATGAAGGAAGACTAAAGGACAGGAAGGGAAAAAACAACTGCATTTCACCACAACTCACATTCGCTGTCGGTGTTGTCGTCTACCGTAACTTCCCCATAGGCATTCGTAGCCTCAGACGAACTCATCTCAGCATTTCGACCCCCAACAGCTGCAATGAAAAAATTGTGAAGAGAAGGGTGAAGGGAGAACAGTTTCAATACATATCCAGCACTTTCACACATGCGACCTCTCCCGGAGGCTCAAGATCTTTGAGGGTGTACAGCACCAGCAGTTATTACAAAGGACAAAGAAAGATGCAAGCAGCACCGTTCACCCTCAACGACTGCATAGCCCGAACTGCTTTCCTTCTGACAAGTAAAGAATCAACGCACTGAACAATTGTCGGCATCATTCACTTTTTAAGGGGAGACACTCCGCTCCTCGAAGAAAAAAAATTTTTTAATAATGAAGTTAGAGGGCTAAAATTTGTACAGTTGGTGTAAATTGAGCTCCTGCTATGATATATGTAATCACTTATTTTATAGCTATAATAGTTTGATTTTTATAATATATTTTAGTGTAAAATAATGCCTTTCTTGTGCACACAATTTTTCTTAGTAATTATTATGCCAGAGCATTTTAAAACACACTCGGTAGTTCATTACAAGCCACAAAATGCTTATATCTAGGTGAAATAATTTTATCTGCATTTTCTCATTAAAAAAAATTTATGAAAATTAGGGCGTCATTCTCTTCTGTCTGTTGGCATTCTGTTTTCGAACTATAATAAATATGTTGTGAGACTAGACATATTATTAAGATTTCCGCACTCTATGCACCTCAAAGAACATCTGTGCGAAATTTCATTGGGATCCAAGAAGTAGAAGAGGCAAAAATTGTGTGCACAAACTTTAAAAATGAGCAAAAACACCGATTTGAGAAAAACTCAAATGAAAGTTTATTTTAACATTGGATGCCGAAATTCTTGCTGAAATTAAATCAAACTTGGTGTAAATGTACTTCAACATGTCTATTACTGGACTTGGAACACTAGAACACTCCTGCCGCATATGTTTCGCCCTCGCGGTTCTTGCGAACAGAGTCCTCAATACGGGCTTGTTTCACCTGGCTGCGGCGATGGGACTTGGCTTCGGCAGTCAGCTTCACAGAAAGCTTCCGGATTCTTTTCTCATCACTTTCCAGGCTGAGTCTGACCAGCTGCTTTGAAGGAAGGACTCCCAGTTCTTTCAGCACTTTCTCGAAGCTGGAGTGGCCCCTGTTGAACCACAGCACTGTAATGGCGGTGGCAGCCTCCACTGCAGTGCGTGATGCGAAACGACTCTTTGGGCACAACATCCAAATCTTGCCATTCAAGGATTCAGCGGTGTTTTGTGTCTTTGCAGCGGGCAAGCAGTTTGGCATCTGTCAAACGTTTATAAATTGGCAGCAGTGCTTTGCCTTGTGCTTCGGTCAGGAGGGGTGTGTGTTCAGGAGCAGGTTCTCCCAGAGCTAGGGCTCTCTTTTGTTTTCACTATGACTCTTTCCCATTGGGGCAAGACTTGTGGCTGTTTGCCTCATTGCTGGAGCACGAATGGAAATAAGAGGCCCAAATTGCACAGAACATGCCTCTTACGCTGCCCCGGTTGCTGGTTATTGCGATCTGATAATAGGTCTGCAGCCTTTGAATGGTCTTGTCACCGAGCTTCTGCCCACGGGGCAGTGGTGTTTTCAGCTTTCTAAGCGCAGTACCAAGACGTTTGGCAACATGGTTTGTGCAGTCTTCTTTCGTCACTGCCTTCGACCCATGAACCTGTGCTCTACAGACTGCAGCATGTGCCTTGCTGTCGCCGTCGCTCAGAAATGTGGTGAACTGCATGTTATCGGACTGCGTCCAGCTCCAGATGCGTAGTGCAGCTTGTGTTTCCATGGCATGTGATGTGCAGTCCACATTTTTTTCACACACAGGAGAATGAAGGCCTGCCATACTTCTTCCTCTTCGTTGTCAAGGGCTTTGTGGCTGCTACAGCCTTGGCAGTAGTTTGCCAACACTTCATAGTCCAGACAGAGGCCAGTGTTTAACGAAATTGCAGTGCCAACACCATTGTGACTCTTGTGCCCGCGCCTCTGCCAAGTCCATCAAACATGACAGCAACGTCAGTCCGATCAGTTTGTAGTGCGGTTATTTGTCTTGCTTCTGCTAGGTTGTCTGAGGCTGCTTTGGTGGCAGCAGTGTGCACTTTCTTGGCAATGTTGTAAAATGTCTTATGGTGAAGTGGCTTTGGTAAGCCAAAAATGCCACAAAACCTTGTCAGCTGGTCATGTCCGACACGAATCGAACGCGCAGCAAGCACTACTTTCACATTGATGGCAAAACTATCGCGAGGGCTTCCACGGCACCGATCCGCGTCAGACCATTGGCACCAGTGCGTTCCGACGAATACACAGCCGAAACTGCTGCTGCTGGGAGCGCCCCGTTTGTGCAACGGAGCTCTATAAGGGAAGCAAGGCCCTCGTGCTTGCTTGCGACCTTCACCACCACAAGTTCGCATTTCCCGCAAGTTCCGTTCTGCACCTGGCACTGCTCACGAGCCGGTCAGCGCTTCAATTTCACAGATAACGACGCCTGGGCCAGTCCCGTCGTCGGCAATCTCTTCATCTTGGAACGCTGCCAACTCTGAGGAGGCGCTCACGAAGTTGAAAGCGTCGCTGATAAAATCAGACGCGCTTGCCTGTTCAGCGCTGGGAGGGGTGCTGCTGTTCCGCTGGCGTAGGGGGCTTGCCGGGTCCGCCGCGCTCATGGCTTTTCTTCGCTTCTGTTTTCGCTTCCCCTTGTACGGGCACGCCGTCCGGTACTTGTGGAGGCGAAAGTTACGCTTATTCTCGTCATTCATCGCGGAAAACGTTGAGCAGAAAACAACGCTGACTAGACTAGTCCTAAGTGCGATGCGATGTAGGCGGATACGAAACTGCTGGAATGGCTCTGACAGCATGGCGGTAGCCAATGGCAGTCTTGGTTTCACGTCACGTGACAGCGGGAGCGCTCAAAAGACGCGCTGAAAAACGTTTTTATTATATTTTCACACGCAAATACGAAACCGACTGACGTAGCTGCCGAAAAGGGAAGGCTTTGTACAATAACGGCCGGCGCCCGTGCTTTGAGTGGCGGCAGTTCGAAAATGGCCAAAATGTGGCTGCATTCGTGATTTTTGCGGTCACCGCGAGTCATTCAGACGCGTTTTCTCAAAACTTCTTGCACAAATCTTGTTTTTATATTTTGCTGCATGAAACTAGGATGTTCAATGATGATAAAGCAAGCAAGAACAGAAAATCGAAAAGTATAAAAATACCGTATTTACTCGCATAATCGGCGCACTTGCATAATAGGCGCACCCCTAGTTTGGTCGCGGAAAATTCGATTTTTTTTAATTCCGCGCATAATAGGCGCACCCCGAACTTGGCCGTGATCAGAAACGATTCTACCCCCCAGCGGTACAGTTGGAACGCGGTCCCCGTACCCTGAAGAAAAAAAGAAGGCAAATCGACGAGCAAATAAAAAAAATTCGAAGTGCAACGACCTAACCAACGTGTTTGTCGAAATAAAACTTGAAAAAAAAAAAGCGTCCATGAGCGAAAAAAAAAAACGGCTGTTCCATCAAATACTGATACCCCCCTAATCGCCGTGCTTTTTGGAGGTCACGTGTACAACGCCGGGGGCTCGATCGCCATCACCACCATCAGAGAAAAAGAAAGAAACGCCATTTTGCAAGCGGTGTGCGTATGTTGTGGTCGTGTATTGAACTTTGGTTCCACCATGGGGAAGTACGCGAGCTACACGGCTGGGTTTAAGGGGGAACGCGCCCTTTGAAAACCGAAAAATCGCGAAAAAGTCGATTTTTTGAAAACCACATACTATGTGGTTTGTGGTTTGTGAGTTTATGACTCACACTTTGTGGTTTATGAGTATGACTCATAAACTGCCTCTACTGTAAATATCAATGTCTAATTCATTGCGAAAGTACGTCAAATAAATTTTATAACATGCCGCGGCAGCTGGCAAGCGGCGAGCGAGCGCCAAAAATACCACAACTTCGCGCGCTCGCCATTTCCCAACCGCTCGGCCGATCGCCGCCATCTTGATGTTGTTTTGCTCGTGAATTCTTGCGCTTTTTTTTTTTTTTTTTTCGCCACCCGCGGCAGTGGCGGTGGCGCTCCCGAGGCGGGAGTCGCTCACGATTGGGGGGCTCGCGGAAGCTTTCGAATGTCCCGCTGCCTAGATGCGAAGCCGCGATTGGACAAAGCGCGCGCCTCTCGAGGGAATGGGAGAGCGCGCGGCTCCTATTGGCTGCTGCGCGCGAGGACGTAGCTGCTTCTCCGGCATGCGCCGGCTCATCGTCTGCACCGGCGCTTGCACCGGCGCGGCTCGTAGTCTGCACCGTCCTCACGAGACGATCTTCCGCCGTGTTCACGTGACGCGGATTGTTGCGCTGACGGTCACGATGGGCATTTCGAAGTTCAAGACTCGGCACGCGTTCGGTTCAAGAAAGCGTCAGCTGAAGCTCGTACGCATGGCGAAGCTCACCTGCACGCCCACGCGCGGCGCCAGTTGCACCGATGCTTCCGCTTCATCTTTTCAAGACGATTGCGTCGACGCTTCTAGCGACGAGACTTCTACACCATCGGCACAAGGATCCGTCGTGACGAGTGAGGCTGGTGTTTCGTGCTCAAGTGCGCCTGGTGTGTCGCGCTCGCCAACCGTATTGATTACGGCCCCGAACAGTGAGACCGCGTCGTCGACTGTGCACATCCAAACACGTTTTCGGACGTGCAAGGAGTTGGCGACGGCGTAGAGAGAACGTGCTGCTGTGCAACGAAAGCTTGGCGCTATGCCAGCGACCGAGAAGAAGTTTCAAGCGATGATGCCTGAACCCGAAGCTGCCACCGCTACGACCGAAGGCGAGAGATATTTCCTCGTGCAAGTGGATGCCCTTAGCGACATGCTGTCCAAGACCCTGTGCCCGCGCTGCCTCGCGACCGGGATGAAAGTTCAAGCACTGCATGACGCAGTTTTGCGGTATAATGCCGGCTGCTACAGGGCCACCCAAGAGTTGTCGTCATCAGTGGGACTCACAACTGGCCACCTAACCATTCAACGAGCTGCGGAGAAAGACTCTCTGCGTCTGAGAAAGGCTCAGAAACTGATGAATGAGAAGCAGGAAAAGCGGCAAAGAAAAAGAGAGCCTAAGGACACATCTAGCTACTCTGCAGAATCATTTTAGACCATAATAAATGTTTGAAACTATCGAAGTCAATTTTCTCAGAATGACTTTTTTGGCCAGTGAGGCTGCTTAGTCAGGTGATCTCTCTGGAACTGCTGGTCTGATTTCTATCAGGTTTTTTTTTTTTTTTTATGCACCTTAATAAATTGCCCAGGGCAAGGCAAGCCCGCTTTTTCAATTTATTGTGTCTGTAATTTGTAATAATTAACTAAAACTTCATTGACGAGAGCCAAATTGTGAACACTAAATTCAGTGCTCTGCTAACATTTTTTGGCAAGGAAATTTAAAAAAAGGGCTCTGTCTTGCCCTAAAGCACCTATCCAGGAATCATCATAGTGAATTTGACAGTGCTAGCACATTTTTCAAATTCTCCAGACCCTGACTAAGGGACCCATGTGGACTACCCTGATAAATGGCTGTAACTTGGGAACCAGTGAACATACCGTATTTACTCGATTCTACCGCGCCCTCGATTGTAACGCGCACCCGATTTCCACCGCGAAAAAAAAAAAAAAAACCTAAGACATCGATTGCAACGCGCACCCAGTTTTTTTTGCTGGCCCGCACGATCACACCACTCGAAAAAACGATTCCTTTCGGGATTGTCTTCCATTTAAATATGAGGTACGGGCGAAGCTTGTGCCCATCTGACGTGTAACAGAGCATTGCCGTCACTGTAGTTTTACCCTGGACCGATGTCAGCACGCGAACTTGCTTCGCCCCCTTATTCTCGACAGTTGTGGTGCCAGGCATGTCGAAGTAAAGAGGCGTCTGATCGGCATTCCAGATTTGCCCAAGCAGGTAGCCGTTGTTGCGCCGCAAGTTTAGGACGAACCTCTGAAAACTGTAAAGCTTTTCATCGTACTTCTCCGCAAAAGTTTTCGCATATGCATGTTCCCCTTCGGAGGGAAGAGCCTTTCCTCTTCATATAGTTAATTAGCCAGCACCTGCTCGCTTTAAACAGGCTCCGCATTAGACTTTTTTCTAAGACTAATTGCATAGCCCGCACTTGGAGCAGTTCTGTCGTCACGGGCCACTGTGCCGCTCGCTCCTCAAGCACATACTCGCGGAGCAGCTCTTCAATTTGCGGAAACCGACCCTGCTGTGGTTCACTGAAGCCTTTGCGTGAAGCTTTGCTGTCGACAATCTTCTGCTTTCGTTTCCGCCGGTCCCGCACGCACGTTTCGGGAACGACCGCGATGTGGCCCGATTTCCGTCCGTTTCTGCACACGCGATGACTTTTCTTTTAAAAGCGGCATCGTGGTGCACTCGAGTTTTTGGAGTCGGCCCTTCCACGTCGTCGATGCTAATGCACTACTAGATGACGAACTCCTCAGCACACGTACGAAGTGCCGCACATGGTGAACACATAAGCAGAAATAGCCGAGGCACCATGCCGACGCACGTAGGGGGCGGCCATTTTGGATTTGCGATGGCAATAGATTGACCGTAATTTTTTTGTTCGTACTCGATTCTAACGTGCATGCGATTTATGAACTCGCTTAACCGGAAAAAAGGTGCGCGTTAGATTCGAGTAATTACGGTAACTGCATGAAACTTTGTGGTTATTCAAATGGCTTCGCTATTAGTGTACCCTGAAAATTTTATTAATATATCTCAACAAACAAAAAAGTTGCCCTTCGAAGGTAGCCTCCCCCCTTAAACTGAAGGCAGTGCAGTACGCGCTGGAGCACGGCAACCGGGCTGCAAGCAGGCATTTCGGCGTTGGAGAAACCAGTATTCGGTACTGGAGGGACCAAGGAGAAAAACTTAAGGCGACGAAGAAGACACGACGGGCTTTCCGCGGTGCCAAGACCGGCAGGTATCCGAACGTCGAAGAGCAACTGGTCCGGCATATACGGGAGCTACGACAAGACGGCTGTGCTGTGTCGTTGGAGATTGTGCAGACTGAGGCGTGCAGAATAGCCCGAGCGCAGGGCATCGAAGCAAAAGAGTTCAAAGCCAGCTCCGGATGGACAACTTGTTTCATGCGGCGCCATGGCCTCGCACTGCGAAGGCGGACCACCTTGTGCCAGCGCTTGCCCGCAGCATATGAGGACAAAGTGGTGGACTTCCACAGTTTTGTTATAAAGCTCCGACAGCAGAAAGACTTCATTTTGTCCCAGATCGGCAACGCTGATCAGACCCCCCTTTGCTTTGATATGTCGTGGAACACGACAGTGGAGGAGAAAGGTGCACGGAGCGTCATCGTCAGAACGTCTGGCGCTGATAAACAACGATGCACCGTAATGCTGGCGGTGACAGCGGATGGGCGTAAGCTACCGCCTTACGTTATTTTTAAACGTAAGACGCTCCCAAAGGCGAAATTCCCTCAAGGCATCTACGTCAGAGTCCAGGAAAAAGGCTGGATGAGCGCGGAACTCATGGTGGGTTGGGTGAAAACAGTCTGGCGCAGGCGGCCGGGTGGTCTGTTGTTGCCGTCCATGCTTGTCCTGGACAGTTTTCGTGGGAACCTAGTAGACCGCGTACGAGATGAGCTAAAGGAGCTGCGCACAGATCTGGCAGTGATTCCGGGCGGCCTCACATCGATACTGCAGCCTTTGGACGTGTCCTTGAATAAACCTTTCAAGGACAATGTTCGAAGGCTGTACACCACCTGGATGGCTGGAGGACAACATCAGCTGACTACAGGTGGTAAGATTAAGAGGCCGCCTGTGGAAATGCTGTGCGCTTGGATCGTGGAAGCGTGGCAGGCGATCTCCGACGAAGTCGTCACGAAAAGCTTCAAGAAGACGGGTATCTCGAATGCACTGGATGCGAGTGAGGATGACATGTTGTGGGGTGCGGATGATTCGGACACCGAAAACGAATCCCCGCTCGGCGAGGATGAATGTGTGATCTCCGACTCGGACTCCGAATAGGGAAAAGGAGGAACAGCTACGACTTTTGTGTAAATAAATTTTACGTGTGTGTGTGCAGTTGACAGCTCTCGCTTGTTCATTAAAAGGTACGTAATTATGTTTGTTTTATGCTGAATTAATTGGTAAACGATAAAGTCGCCTTTTACTTGACAAGTGTGCAGATTTAAAGCGCGAGAACCGAGTTGAAAAAATTTTCGAAAATTTTACCCCGCGTAATTGGCGCACCCCTAACTTCAAGCCGGATTTTCTGAAAAAAAAAGTGCGCCTATTATGCGAGTAAATACGGTAATACCGATTTTTCGACTCGCGTCTCCCCTTAAGGGTGTTACGCAAACCCAACAAATGGGACCTTATGCTTCAAAGCTATTTGATACTGACTACTATTCGTTTCCCCTTCAATAGAAACAGAAAATACACTAACACCTTAATATAACGAATCCAGATATGACGAAATAAATAAAACAGTTTCGAAATACATTTAGAGTTAACAATAAACCTCTATAACGAATTTTCGGATATAACAAACTTATTTTCATCTAAGATTCAAGTTTGTTGTGATGAAGTTCGAGTATCGCTTTCTCACGCTTTTTCAACATCGGCATCCCCGCGATGTTGACTCACGTTCAAGAGGCGGCGGCCCGTCCTCGCCGTCTCGATGTTCTTCGTCGCCGACTTGTGCATGCGCCTCCTCTTCATCTTCCCGTCCCTCATCGTGAGAGGCCAGCAGCATCGGTGTGCGAGAGGAGCTGCCAGCTTCGCTTCCTGGACCACCGGCTCCGCCCGCCCCGGGCCCTCCGCTCTGCGAAGAGCCCGTCGCTTTTCGCCCACCGCGGGGGTGCCCACCGGGGGCGGCCTGCGATGGCAGATTGACTATGCGTGACAGTGTCTCCAGCGGTTTCAGGGCAGAGTTGACTGTGGCAGCCATGTGCGGTGAAGAGAGGTCTAGGTTGTGTGGAATGCGTGCCAGGTCCGTCAGCAAGCCTCGGCGGAGCAGCACCCGCACCTGAGAGATCGGAAGGAGGTCAGGACAAGTCATTTCTGCAGCTAGTGTGTTCCTGATATTGCATTCTCTCAACAAACATTAGAAAAAAAAGTACAAGTTCGTGTAACGCATTTACATTACATATAAAAGAACCATGTGGTTACCAGCACTTTTCTCAACATTTTGGTGAAAAAGTAATGTCCTCTAAAACCGTCCTCTTTTGTACAATTGAAATTACATAAAGAATACAGCAACAAATATAACCTTATTGTTCTAAAGCCACGATTCGCAATTTGAAGAATGTGGTATGCCTTATCACTTAGTTTGCATCAATGCCTAGACAAAACAAAAAGCCAAGTGAAACTAGATGAAATCTAGAGCAATCAATAATTACAGTGACCAAGAATGTCTTTCCTTCTTGCTGCCTCGACAAAGAGAAGTCTGCTTGATGAAACATTGCCTCAAGCGTCACTTAATGATCAAAGATATTTAGTATCTTCTTTAACATCATACAGTGAACTTCTGCCTTGCTTTGTAGGGGTGCTAACACACACTGTCAAGTCCTTTGAATCTTGTGATGCACACGCGTTCGCGGATAGTCCGCCCTTAGGGTTCTCACCAATCGAGCAGTAGACGGCGTTGTGCTCACGAGCATTTGCAACCATTATCATCATCATGGTTAATGCAGTAGGGCCAGCAGTGACACCTGGCGACGATGCTTGCTGTTGGCACATGAGGCATGGGTGGTCTTGGGGACTTGTTGCCAAATTGTAGCGTAGAAGCTCTCACTAGGATTCTGGGCAATAACAGGCATTTCCGACAGCCCGTTGTCGTCAGAATGCGCTGCCTCGGCCATCTCCGGCGTTTTCGGCGGCGCGCAGGCCGCTCCCTTCTGCCGCGCATTCCACGCTCGCTTTCGTTTCCTGCCGAAAGCTTGACGAGTGTTCTTCAGGCGAGCTTCCCAAGCCATGCCGGCCAAATGCAGAAAGACGTATACGTCGGCGACGACGGTACACGAGCGGGTAGCAGACGAGATAACACGCACGAGAGCAGGCGCCGACGAAGCAAAAAAAAAAAAAAAAAGAGCGAGCAACCGTGGCCGCGCCAGCCAATGGTAAGCACGAGACAGGGGGGGGGGGGGGGGCTCGCCGGCGCGCGCGCGCTCTAGCCAATCAGCGGTCCGGCAGACGGCTTCGCAAAACGGGGGAGGGCAGTCGTTGTGTTGGAGCTACGCCATTTTGAGAGCCCGCAAAACGCGCACAAAGGAACCAGCTTCAAAACAAGCCCAAGATGGCGCCGATCCGCCGGCTGCTTCGCTGGCGGCACGCGCGGGAAGTTCGAACAAATTTTCTGTTTTGCAGGTTGTTTAGCGACTCCTGTGATGGTTTGAAAATAGATTTTAACCTATTTTTTATCGAATTTAGCGTTAATAATTTGAGGAGAGGTGCTTATAGGTTCAAAGATTCGAAAAATGCGTTTTTCTCAAAATCGATTTTTTGGCCATTTTTTACTTTTCTAAGACCCGCGTCCCCCCTTAACATCATACAGTGAACTTCTGCCTTGCTTTGTAGGGGTGCTAACACACACTGTAAAGTCCTTTGAATCTTGTGATGCACAAGCGTTCGCGGATAGTCCGCCCTTAGGGTTCTCACCAATCGAGCAGTAGATGGCGTTGTGCTCACGAGCGTTTGCAACCATTATCATCATCATGGTTAATGCAGTAGAGCCAGCAGTGACACCTGGCGACAATGCTTGCTGTTGGCACATGAGACATCAGTGGTTCTCTTTGGTGTGTGGGGGTTGGAGCGAGTGGTCCTTTCTCGCAGTGGGCTTGTGCGGACGGCACCGTGGGTCATCGCTCACGGGCCCTCGTGGCAAGGCGAGCATTGACGCAGCCGCCAGTGTGTTTGTTATGTTGTTGAGTGTTGTGGAATATTGTGTAAGGTTGTTTTAGCATGCTGATCATAACTGATGTATTAAAGGGGTCGTGAAACAGTCGCTGTACAACGACAATGCGGCACCATCGGCAGCCACACGCGCTAACTATATCATCAACCCGAGTGGACCTGCACAGAGGCTTTGCCTATCGAGGAAGGCGAAACTCTGCGGCATATCGAGCGCACGCAAGAGGGGCTTATCGGCGTCTGCCATACGCTATCTGCATCCCCCAAGAACGCTGCCTAATATATTGTCAGCTGGAAAGTTAAAGTTAGCACCGATTGTGTATGGCAAAGACTCTGATGGGTGTCCCAATTGCACGCATCCACAAGTACTGAAGAGTTCATGTTCCTCGATAGGCAAAGCATTCCTTATGATGACGTCACCAAGTTATGCGTGTGGACACATGTAGTTCTGCATTGTTGTTTTAGAGTGAGCGTTTCACTACCCCTTTAATTCAGCTGGCGATATCGTTGTAAACAGTTATTGAATAAATGTGTTGTTTGCTTTGGTCCGACATGTCTGCTGTGTCCATTCGCTCCGTGAGCGTCGTGCTTCATTCTGAGACCCCACAACTTTGCTCTAAAAATCGTAAAATTAATTTTTTGTTGATTAATCCCAATGTGGTAAAGAGAAGCGACAAACTAACAATCCAAAATCTGTAACCAGTGAGTGGAACCAGATCAGCCTGGCCCTAACAAAGTCCACGACCGATAAACCCAGCGCCCCATAAGCCCAGCACCGGACGGGAGCAGTAGCGGACAGGCTCCGCATTCGACAAGTCCACGCCCGACAAGCCTGCACCCGACAAGCCCACATTTGACAAGCCTACACCCTACAAGTGCGATCAAATCCTATAGTCAATAAAACCCAATAGAGTTCAGTACCCAATGACGTCAAACGAAAAAGAAATATAATAGAGTGCGTTACACAGGGAAGCACATTGTCAGAGTGGCTGGAAGCCCTTCCACGTGAAGAATTATAGAAGCTGCAAAAAAGCAGAAAAGCTCACCATGTTGTTCATGCTGGCGTGAAGATGCCTGAAAGACGAGGCAGCCTGAGCAGGTGGACAAGATTCGATCATGGTGCCAACTAGTCCGGTCAGCGCTTGGATGCGGGCATGCTTCTCCACCGTCTCGGGCAGTGCGAGCGCTCGCTGCAGAGCTGCCTTTACCTCGACCACGAGAGTGGCCTGCGTGTCAGGAGAGTGGTTGGCAGAGGCCAGAGCTGCCACCAGAACTCTAGCCAAGGCGGGGCTGTCCTTGTCGCCTGCCTTCTGGCACTGCGGAAGTAGGTTGTCCAGCAGGAAGCCCAGCGCACTGATCTCCTGGACGACAATCACAGTGCCGTCACACTCAAATACCTCGTACCAGCACTCACATTTAGGACTAGTGCCACAATGCAAATTTGTGCTTCATTTTCGAATTTCCCAACGAAACAGTCACCAAGGGGAAATGCTGATGCCAGATGCTGATGCCTACCCTAGGTTATGCCATAAGAATGAAGCAGTCATTGTGACGCGTCCTATTACCAAGCCATAAAGCAAGCAATCAGCCGCGTTTGCACGAATGCTACAGAGGCATATCGCATCAAGCTTCAAGCACATTGCATCTCGTGAAGGCACAAGTAATATGGAAGGACATACCAAAAGCACCAAGCAGGGCAGTTTGAGTAGCAACACATGCATTCAGCGGCACGTGAAAACCTAAGTGTGTCATATCGCGAATTGCAGGAATCTATTAGCCTAATCAATCGGCCAGTGTTGGCAAGCACATTATGCAAATAAACCCAAGCAAGCTTCTGTTACAGTTGTATCGCTAAGGTTTTGCTTCAATGGCACTACAGGTTGTCCTGCATGACAACTGTGAGGCTGTAGCACGATTGCAGTACAGAGTCAAATGGTCTCTTGAGTGTTTACCTAATGGCACTACAGGTTGTCCTGCATGACGACCATGAGGCTCTCACGCGATTCCAGCACAGAGTCAAATGGTCTCTTAAGGGGAGACGCTCCTCGAAAGCACTTTTTTTTTGTTATTCAACTTAGAGCTTCAGAAATTGGACCACTGATGCAGTTTTTCCTCCTGATTCCAAATCTGTAATCAGTTTTACATAAGTGCAATAGTTTGGGAGTTGTGTTTCAAGTAATGGTGAAACTTGATAAGTTTTCCGGGAACTTTCGCGCATACTAAATGTTCATGCAGAGAGTTGTTCAATGGCTCCTTTTGCTCCCTATTAGCCATAGAGTGCCGATATCTAGCTAGAAATTGTGCTCCAACTTTGAAACTATGAAAAAAACATCTGTGTAGCAAACTACCCTTTTTTTTCCACTCGACCACCATTAAATTTATTAATAGATATTTACAGCTGACAGGTTGTGCTGATTCAAGTAGATATCGGCACCCTACGCACTCTCCTCAATGTGTGTGCCAAATTTCGTCGTCGTATGACCATTCTAAGTGCCCGAAACACTTCCCGCAAAAAATGCAAATTGGCCAAAATTGCGAAATGAGAAAAACGCGTTTGAAAGTTTGAAAGTCTGTATTTACAAAAATGAAAAACGCAGTAGCACGAAACTTGTGCTGAACACATACACACATGTCCAGAGGGAATATCAGTTGTCTAAAACTCTCCAGCACCGTAGGTTTTCCCTTCCCGGCTGGTGCGGCAGGACTCCTCCACCCGGGCCCTCTTGGCTGCACTGCGACGGTGTGCCCTCGCCTCAGCGGTTTGACGCACATTCATCTTGTGCATGCGCATGCTGTCTCGGCGGTCGCTGAGGGTAACCAGGGCCTCCGAAGGAAGCACCCCAAGCTCTTCCAGCACCTTTTCAAAGCTCGCGTGGCCCCGGTTGAACCACAGGACTGCAATGGCTGTGGCTGTTTCCACAGCAGTCCGGGAAGCAAACCGGGTCTTTGGACACAGCAGCCATATTTTGCTGTTCAGGGACTCGGCCGCGTTCTGTGTCTTGCCGTGGAGGCACCGGGCAAGCAGCTTCGCATCTGTGAGACGCTTGTAGATTGGGAGGACTGCCAAACCCTGGGCCTTGGTCAGGAGGGGGGTGTGGCACGGTGCAGGCTGGCCCTGCGCCTCAGCACGTCGGTGCTTGCACCACGAGTCTGGGCCTGCAGGACAGAACTTGTGACTTCCAGCACCGTCTGTTGAGCACGAGTGCAAACATGAGGCCCATATGGCAGTGTACATCTTGTGGACATTTCCCCGATTGTTCACAATGGCCACCTGAAAGTAAGTTTGAAGCTTCTGGATGGTGGTCTCCTTCAGCTTCTCCCCTCGTGGAAGTGGCGTTGGCAGCTTCCGCAGGCCGGTGCCCAGACGTTTCGCCACGTGGTTGGTGCACTCCTCTTTTTCAATTGGAGTGTCAGGGTACACGTTGGCATCACAGACCCCGTTGTAGGCCTTGCTGTCTCCATCGCTTAGGAAGATGGTGAACCGCAGGGGTGTCTCATAGTCCACAGTCCTCTGCCAAATGCGCACTGCAGCTTCGGCCTCCATGGCATGCGAAGAACAGTCGCAATTCTTCTCACAAACGGGATGATGAAACGCCTGCCATGTTTCTTCATCGCCTCCCATGTCGTTATGCAACTGCACGCCAGGCAGAAGTTGGAAAGCACTTCATAGTCCAGGCACAAACCAGTGTCCAAGGACACTACAGTTCCCACACCATTGTGGCTTTTGTGGCCTCTTTTTTGCCATGTGCCGTCAAACATGACTGGCACGTCACTGTTACCAGCCACCTCTTTGGTGACGCTGCGTGCCCTTTGCATGTTTTCACAGACAGCCTTCACTGCCGCACTGTGAATCTTTTTGCCGATAGCATGGAAGGTCTTATGGTGCATAGGGTTTGGCAATCCAACTACTGCACAAAATCGTGAAAGTTGCTCATGCCCGATACCGACGGCACGCGCTGCAAGCACCACTTTCAGGTTCACGGCAAAGGCGTCACGCGAACTCCCGCTGTCGTAGCTTCTGCTTGCACCGCGGCCGCCATCTGACGCGACCCGCTTCGACGAGTACGCGGACGAAAGGATGCTCTCCGAGCACTCCGCATTCTCGCAGTGTAGCTCCAGAAACGCCGAAAGGCCTTTCCGCTTTTTATTCGGTGCCCGAACTGCGAGTTTACTCTCGTGACAAACGGGGCATGCCGCGCCTGCGACGACGGCCGTCAATGCACCCAACTCGCACAGCACTACGCTTTCGGCACGATCGGCATTCGGCCTGACGTCGTTTTCGAATAACGCGATCTTTTTCTGCGATGCACTCACAAAATTCACTGCAGCGTTGATCTCGTCGTCGCAGTTGCCATGGTCGACGTTGCCGTGGTCGATGTTAGGCCTACCGGCCGCTGGCCCGTCGCGGACATTTTCGTTGGCGGTGGCTTTCTTGTACGTCCTCCGCCGCTTCCCTCTGAACTTGTTCTTACTTCTGTATTTCCGATGGTCGGCAACGGCCTTTTTCGGGCTTGCCATCGCACGAAAACAGCGAAAAATAACTCCGGAAAACAGTGAAGCGAACTACGGCAAGAAAACACGGGTGCTGTCAGCCAATGGCGGCCCTGCGTTAGTGGCGCGCGGTTTGAAACGGCGGGAAAAGACTGTTTTTGTTGCTTTTTTTTTAGATTTTTCGTGAACGTACGAGACTTCAAGAACCGGGATCGTGGAGAGTAAGGACAACTCTACACGAGCCAGCGGCCGCAATATGGCGGACAGCTCTCTTCGCGGCCCCGCGAGCACGCGAACAGCAGCCCGTTTTGTGTAAATTTCGTGATGCCGCGCGTCACTGCCGCTCACTCAGACGCGTTTTTCACTGACTTCTGATGCTTATTTCGCTGTGATATTTTCAGATGTCAAAATATAATGTATAAAGATGATAAAGCAACAAAAAACAGAAAAGGTGAAATTTGGAAAAAAAACGCGACTTTTCGACCCGCGTCTCCCCTTAAGTGTTTGCCTAATGCGAATAGAGGAAGACTATTGATCTTGCCCAAGTTTTCTGCAGCCAAAGATGTTTTAGACTGCCCTGCCGCGGTGGTCTAGTGGCCAAGGTACTCGGCTGCTGACCCGCAGGTCGCGGTTTCAAATCTTGGCTGCGGCGGCTGCATTTCCGATGGAGGCGGAAATGTCGTAGGCCCGTGTGTTCAGATTTGGGTGCACGTTAAAGAACCCCAGGTGGTCAAAATTTCCGGAGCCCTCCACTACACCGTCTCTCATACTCATATGGTGGTTTTGGGACGTTAAACCTCACAAATCAATCAATCGATGTTTTAGACTACATCCAGGTTTGCGAGAATTGGAATCTTTCTCCATCTAAAGCAGTTTTGCAGTGCCTCTGTGATGGGGGCAGGCTGCTTTCTTATTAAAGCAAGCATTTCAAGCGATGGCATTATCCTATACATTTTGCATCATTCATGCTGACAACACCCTGCATCATTTTTCATGCTTGATGACACATCTAAGGCCCTTCTGCCCTTTTTTATATGAGCAGGAAAACAAGCAGACCACTGACCTCCGGCACGAGCTCTGTCTGGCCAGCAGTGTAGACGTGATCGGCGACCATCCGGGCACACGGGGCGTACGAGCGCACCAGCTCCGCCAGAAGCCGGCACACAGCTGACTTAGGCAGCAAAGGCAGGCTCTTGTCTTCCTTGGGGGCCTGACCGAAAGGGCGGCTTGACCCTGCAGACCCCGCACCCTTGTCCTCCACTCCGCCAGACGGGTCCAGGTTGGGCACAGGTTCCTCGTCCAGCAGGTCAGTGCCGCTGCCCTCGCGCACAAGGTCGACGGGCACAGTGCCACCGACACCACCTACTATTCCTGCTGCTCCACTGGAAGCTGAGGGCGGGCTCCCACTGGGGTCCGATGACACCTCTGCCTGACCTGCGGGAAAATATCGTCGCACACAGCAAGCTACTGCAGCTAACTACTGTACAGTGCAACCCACTTAAAAGACCCCAGATATAACGATCTATCAGATATAACGACCATATTTCGGTGCACTTAGGATTTTCCTACGCTACCCTTTGAAACTGGGTCCAGATACAGCGAACATTTTCAGCGCCTTCTACTTATACAACAAACGTTTCCAACATCGGTCACGGTAAAAATATAGCGCATATGAGGAGGAAAAAAAAAAGGTAAAACAGGCATTCTGAAGTATGTGATAGGGCGCGCTCATGTGTGCACTGATGCAGTTTGCTTGGGACGAAAGATATCACAGAACGCGGCGAGCACCACACGCAGATTTTGGACGTCGCGAGTGAGGTGGTTATCATTCCAGACGTTTCTTCACAGGCATACCGGAAGAGAGGGGGATAAAAAATAAAAGAATAAATAGGAGGCAGCATAAAAAATTGCGGTCAGCTTTCGCACGACGAACTTTTCCGACGCTGTTCTCGGCATCTACGATTGCCAACAATAAACCAACAATTCCTTTAAACGCAAGAAGCCATAAATGCGAGAAGCGATAACTTTTGTTGCGTGAAAGTTCCCTGGGAGGCTCAACTCTTCGACCCCACTATGAGACACCACCACATTGTGAGCTTTCTTCTACGGCGCGTTCCATGGACGCCTTCATTTCTTGCCGTGTGCTTGGCGAGTCTTCTTCAGGCGAGCATTACCAGTCATGCCGGCAAGAAGACTGAAAGTCGTGTCGATCGCGTAGCACGAGCGGGAAGCAGACAGCACACACGTGAGACGGGAGCCAGCGACCGACAATCACCAGAAAAAAAAAAAAAAAATCGCAGCCTCGTTCGCCACACCAGCCAATGGGAAGCGAGAGACTGGAGCTCGCCTGACGCATACGCACTCCGGATAAGGAGTGATCGGGAAGGGGGCTTTAGAAAAGGTGTGAGGGCAACCGTTCCATTGATGTGACACCATTTTGAAGGGCGGCAAAATGTGCACAAAGAAATCAGCCTCACAACGAGCTCGAGATGGCGGCGATCAACCGGCTGTTTCGCGAGCGGCGCGCGCGCGCCAAGTTAAAAAACATTTTACCTTTTTTGGGCCGTTTTGCAACTCCCTTAGTGACTTTATAACTAATCATAACCCATTTATTGATCGAATTTAGCGTTTACAATTTCAGAACATGTGCGTATAGGAATTAAAAATTCGAAAAAATGACTTTTTGGTAATTTTTAACCATTCTAAGGCCCGCGTCCCCCCTTCAAGGGTTTTCCACCTTTCGGTAACGGCAAAGACCGGTCGATTAGTGATAACGACTTGCGATGCCTCAATGAATAAGCATAAAAAAGAGTGATAGTGAGGTGGCCAGTGGCAATGAATGCGCCATTTTGACTCACTGCCAGCGAGCTTATCACAGTCATGTGCAGATAACTGCTGGGTGGAGTGACGGTGGTACAGGCACGTCATGGTGCCGTTTGCCGCCGCCGCGTCGTGTGAGGCCGCTTGCGCACATTGCTTGCAAAAACCGAACAGACTACCCGCCGCACCCTAGCACGATCCCGAGTGAAACATGTGCAAAGAACGCACAAACATGCACATACAATTGGACTGCAAGTGAACTGGTATGCAACTGGCGATAGTAGCTCGGGTAAGCGACATAGTGCACCAAACTAGCCAGGCATGACTGGTTCGACGTCAGTGGATTGCAATTCAGTAGAACGTGCGTTCATTGCGAACGAGCATCGTTTAACACGCGAGAAGGTTTAACTTGTCAGTGGAGGGGTTGTTCGCACTTTTCAATAAAAAAAAATGCACGCAACAAAAAAATATTTTGGCCGCTATGTGGCCGTTTTTATGGGCGACTCCATATACAACGAACTACTGATATAGCGACCATTTATCGCGGCACTTTCGAGTTTGTTATAAACGGGTGCGACTGTATAAACTCTCATATTAGGCGCACCCCAAACTTGGCCGCGATAAGTAGTGATGTACCGTATTCGCACCATTGAAATCTGATACCCTTTTACATTTCGAAGCGATGAAAAGGAAAAAAGAGTGCAAAGAGGGAGCTCTGCACCCGCTCTGCGGGCTCGCCGAGTGACAAAGAAGAACGGTTGCTTGAGTTTAGAAGTAACCTTTGCACCGGCACCGCCGTGGCTCCTGCTGCTAGCCGAGCAGCGCACTCAGCATGAAATGAGAGGTCACCTCCTAGTCAAGTGCGCATTGAGTTTGCTGTCGGGAAAAGCGTCATCCTTATCGCATTTGCTATCTTTCCGCAAATTTAAAAGCCTTTTGGATTTTCGACGCGAACTTTTGGCTATATACGTGGACTTGCACAAGCTCGGTGGACGTTTACTATTGATTTCCTGGCTGCAAACCTAAACATTCTATCACGTGCACTGCTCTTGGATCAGTGCTTGAGAGCGATCTATTTGACACACAATTTTCATGTTGTCTAGTAATAAACTTCCCGCGATAACACGCCAAATTGGAGGCTATGCCTAATCATTGTTAGTGCTTTTTTGTGAGAGTCGGGGACAATCAAAATTGTGGTTTCGAGCGGATTCAATGTAGATCTTTTCGGCGGCTCTACTTGAAGGAGAAGAGGCTTGGGTGGCATTTGTAACACTCATATGGTGGTTAGCTATTCCTTTGCAATGTCTTGGATATGGGGTGTGAGCCCATGAAATTGAACGAACGGTACCGTTCAGTGCTCTGCATTTCGGTTGTGATAATGTGCATTATCTAGGTGGCCTGAAACATAATCGGCCAATTTCTGCTAAGGCGCTTTTTTCGTAGTTTTTTAAGGGGGGACGCGGCCTTTGAAAACCGAAAAATCGCGAAAAAGTCGATTTTTGGCAAACCACATATTCGGGCAGTATGTGTCATAAACTACCTTTTCTGTATATATCAACGTCTAATTCCTCGCGAAACCATTTGAAATAAAGTTTAGAACATGCCGCAGCGGCCCTGGAGCGGCGCGCGAGCGCTCAAAATACCCCAACTTGGCGTGATCGCAGTTTCTCGACCGCTCGACGGAGCGCCGCCATTTTGGTGTTGTTTTGTTTGTGAATTCTTGCTCTTTCTTTCCCCGCCACCTGCGTCGCCGGCGGCAGCGCAGGAGAGGAGCAAGCCGCTCATGATTGGAGGGCTCGCGAGAGCTTTCAAGTTTCCCGCGGCTGAGGCGCGCAGCTGGGATTGGGCGAAGCGCGCGCTCCCCAAGGACGCGGGGGAGCCCGCGACTGCCATTGGCTGCTGCGCGCGATGACGTAGCGCTCTTGCGCATAATGCGGCCGATCGTCTGCTGCTCCTCCGTTCGGCGTCTTTGTGTTCCCCTCGCTTCCGTGTATCGTTGCAGCCGTTCGCATACTCTCCACGTTTCAACTGTCTTCGAAACGATTTTCAACCGTCTTTACGAGACCATTTTCAACCGTCTATACGAGACCGTTGTTGTGTTCGCTCACGATGCGCCCAACGAAAAAGAAGACGCTACAATCGTTCGGTGCAAGGAAGCGAGCTATGAAGCTTGTCCGCGCGGCGAGGCTCTCCGCTCGCACGTGCGCCGACGGTACCTGTGGGGCAGCTTCTGCTTCATCTACGCAAGAGAGTGGTCGCATCGACGCGCCTAGCAACGGGACTCCTGCTCCGCCGGTGCAAGAATTTGTCGTTACAAGTGCGCCTGGTGTCTCGTGCTCATCGACAGTGGCTTCCGCATCTTCTCTTTCATCGGCCTCGAGTGCGATCGCGTCGTCAACTGTGCATTTGCGAACAAGTTTCCTGACGTGCGAGGAAAAAGAGGCGGCGGATCAACAACGCGCTGCTGTGCAAAGAGAACTTGGCGCTATGCCAGCAACGGAGCGGAAATTTCAGGCAATGGAGCGCGATCATGAAGCTGCCACCGCTACAAGTGAAGGCGAAAAATTTTTCCTTGTGCAAATGAATGCCCTAGACGACCTGCTATCTCGGACCCCGTGCCACCGGTGCACCGCGATTGGGATGAAGGTACGAGGAGGCACCCAACTTGGACTTGCTGCAAAGCTTGAGCTAGTATGCTTGCATTGTGGAGTAGTTTCAAGCTCATGGAGTTCATCTCGTCAGGATGACACAAAGGCCTTTGATGTGAATGTAAGAGCTATTATGGCAACAAAACAAATAGGCAAGGGACAAACAGCTCTCAACGACTTTTGGGCAGCGATGAACGTGTCCCATCGTGGCCTCCATCACAAGACCTTTCAGAAGCACCTGAAGAAATTCAGGGAACCGCAGACACAATGCATAGAAAATTTCTACGCAGAATCTGCTTCTGCTGTAAAAGCCACTTACAAAGAAATGGATCAATATTTCACCAGGGATATAACAGTTTGTTATGATGGAACATGGCACAAGCGTGGGCACACATCCCATATTGGAGTCGGGGCAATTATCGAATACCATACGGGTTTTATCTTGGACGCCGTTGTTCTGTCTAATCAGTGCCTTGGTTGCCAAGTAGGGCCAAAGCCTGGAGACTCAGACTATGCATGCTGGCTGGAGAATCGTGTGCCAGAAAAACACCGACTCTAAATCAGGGAGAATGGAGGTTGAGGCAGCTATCATCCTCTTTTCACGCTCACTGTCGAAGCACAACCTCCGTTACACAACGCTCGTGTCTGATGGAGATAGTGCCACCTTCTCTGCCCTTGTACAAGAAAATGTTTATGGACTGGTCCCCATTTCAAAAGAGGAATGCCTCAACCACGTTCAGAAGAGGATGGGGACTGCACTTCGCAACCTTGTGCAGAAAAGTGACAAGGCTTTGGGAGGGAAGGGCAGGCTGACAAAGGCCCTCATCGACAAGTTGACAGATTATTATGGCTGGGCCCTACGGAACAATTCCGATGATGTGGCTGCAATGCGGCGAGCAGTGATGATATCGTACCACCATGTGACGTCGACGGATGAGGAGCCGCACCACGACTTGTGCCCAGAGGGTGCAGACTCCTGGTGTCGTCACAATGCCAGCAAGATTACCGGTGTTCCACCTCCGAAGCATTCGTACGAGCTGCCACGCTATGTTGCAGATGCACTTCTACCCATTTATGAGAGGCTCTCACAGGCTTCTCTTCGGCAACGCTGCCTGGGAGCAAAGACGCAGAATGCATCAGAGTCCTTTCACTCTGTGCTGTGGTCCCTCATGCCCAAAGAGCAGCATGCGTCACTGATTGCTGTGGAGACAGCACTGCATGATGCAGTGCTAAGATACAATGCTGGCTGCTACAGGGCCACCCAAGAGTTAGCTTCATCAGTGGGGCTAACACCTGGCCACCTGGCCATTCAACGGGCAGCCGAGAAAGATTCTCTGCGCTTGAAAAAGGCTAAGAAGCGATCCCTAGAGAAGATGGTAAGGCGGCAAAGAAAGAGAGTGCCAAAGGACACCTCCAGTTACGCTGCAGGTTCATTTTAGAACTGCCTATGTGCTCAAAACTTTCAAACGTTTTCTCAAAATGACTTTTTTGGCTAGTGAGGCTGCTTATTCCAGCCATATCTCTGGAACCACTCATTGGATTTCCATAAGTCTTTTTTTATAATGTACATGAATAAATGTCTGAGGGGGTGACAAGCCCATTTTTTTCAATATATTGTGTGTGTTATTTATTATATTTAATCAAAATTTGATTGATAATATCCTAGTCACGAACACAAAGTTTGATGGTCTACTAAAACTTTTCAGCAAGGAAATTAAAAAAAAGGGCTCTGTTACCCCCTGGAGTATCAATCTGGGAATCATCATAGTTAATTTCACAGTTCCAGCACCTTTTGAAAGTTCTCCAGGCCTGGAATAAGAGAACCATGTGCACTACCCTGATATTCTGCTGTAACTTGAAAACCAGTGAACATAACTTCATGAAATTTCGTAGTTCTTCTAATGCTTTTGCTATAAGTCTACGTTATCGACGTACGTTATAGACAGTCTATGCTGTAGTCAGAAATAAAATTTTCGGAAATTTTACCCAGAGTAATACGCACATCCTGAAATAAGAGCCGGACTTTCTACAAAAAAAAAGTGAGCCTTTTATGCAAGTAATTACGGTAAACATTCACGTTTCAAGATGTCAAACAGGACTACGGTAGAAAACTCTAGAAGACGTCAAAATTTTGTTCAAATTATCAGAATTTCTCATTAATGCGACTCTAGCAACATGTATATATATTTTTGTTCATTGTTCACTGCATCTAATATGATTGGTTTACAGCCACACGGAGACACGCTCGAAACAGAGCCACTTCTGTGACTTGGACCTTCCAAATGTGATGAGGAAAAGCTTTTCCCTTCCAACGACTGAACACTGAACTGTTCTGGCCACATATGCACGAATATAACTATGCTTGATATTGCTGTCTAAAAGCACTCGAACGAGAAGTCACTGGTTTTGCACTTGTGTATTCTGCACCCCTGTTGATGTCACACTAAATGATGAACACTTCGTGGAATTTGAACATTGTTTCTTTTCCTTTGGGTAACATTTAATCACATTCTATTGCAGATTGAGAACAGAGTGGGCAAACAGAAAATATAAAGATTTGCTTGACTGAACTGAAAGTTCAAACTATCATGGTTTGAATGATTGATGATGATATGTGGGTTTTAACGTACAAAAACCACTATATGATTATGAGAGACGCCGTAGTGGAGGGCTCCGGAAATTTCGACCACGTGGGGTTCTTTAACGTGCACTCAAATCCGAGCACACGGGCCTACACCATTTCCGCCTCCATCGGAAATGCAGCCGCCGCAGCCGGGATTTGAACCCGCGACCTGCGGGTCAGCAGCCGAGTACAGGTTCGAATGATAGAGCCTACCCTACTGTAGTGACAGAAGGGTCATGCAAAGAATGCTGAAAGCACTACTATATTCTGCAAGCACTATTAAGTTGAGAGAGAAGGGTAAGAGTGCAGGTCTAAGTGGACCATTATGGGAGCGGGATGAGAGAAAGAGTAAAGAATGTACGTGTGTTAGGTACAGGTCTCGAAGAATGATGTGTGGCTGTCTGTAGTTGTCATAAGGAGAACGAGGTAACGCAAGTGCAGAGTGTGGGCAGTGCATGCGAGTGTTTGTGGTTATACACTAGGAGAGAGGTGGGAAGACTGGACACGTGACAAAGGGGATAAAAATGTTCTTGGAATGTGTTGGTCCATCGTCAATAGTGACAAGAAAGAAAAAAAGTCTCAGACAAGCTCGGTTCAGCCGAGTCCTTGACACGTGCGTGAGTTTTTTTTTCGTTTTGTTTGCTACCCACATTAATTGCTGTCACTAACTTTTGCAAGTCCCCCAACTCCTCACTTGGTTCATTCAACTTAATGACAGCTCAGTCAGCAATGAAACGGCAAGCCTTGACTACACACCTTCCTGAGGCTGCGGAGTAGGCAGTGGGGAGGGCAGGACGTTGAGCAGGTCGCTCATCACCTGGGCGACCAGATCGCCCACGGGAGCTGAGGCCGTCGGCCCTTTGGCTGCGACGCACTTGAGGATCTGCACGGCGTTGCTGCTGGTGTACCGGCTTTCTTCCTCTTCGGCTGCAAAACAGCAAGGAACATTGCCTGCCTGAGACACAGCCCGACTAAACTTTTTCCCCTAATAAGACTGCCTACAAACAACTGTCCACCTTTTTTGATGTGGCAAAAGTTCGATAGTGTCATAAGGGACTTTGTTGAGACTGCTCTTCATATTTCAGCAGCTTGTGCAATGCTTACAACATTGTGCACTCACTGTGTCGAGTTGACAATGATATAACTTTTTCCAGCAGCCACTTCGGGTAAACTGTAGTCACTATTTGCACTATTTCAAGCAACTTTATGCAAATCCATATTAAAATTTCTCAATTTAACAAGCCTTTACTGCTTTCATTTTTAAAGTGAAAAGAAGGTCTAGCACTGAAAAACTGTAAGAAGGAACACACAAGCCCTTTTTGCTACAGCTAATTCTGCACCCGATTTCGGTCCCATTTCCGAATTTTAAGTAGAATCACGACATCATAACTTAGATAACATGAGAGCTACAAACTGCGGCAGTTTGGAGCTTGATCTCAGCATCATCTTTTCTGTTAGTTGAGACCCAGAACCTTGATTCATTGCGAAACACGCTAAATCATTATTTCAGTATGAATATGCATTTGAAGTTGCTGCAGCCCCAACAGACTCCACACAAGGCTGGCCCATGTTACAAAAATGGAGTGGCATAAAAAAAAAAACTTGGGCAAGAGATGGAGGAAGATCAAGATGCTTACGCCTTTTGGACATTGGCAGGAGAGAGATGCGGAGGACATTGGTGGCCACTTCCTGGAAAAGTTTTGGATCACGGCACGCAGCCGGACCCAACACCCGCAGCACATAGTGGAGTTCCTTGGAGCTCACGGGACTGCCCCCAGCTGTTGCCATGGTGCGAGCAACCTGCAAGAGAACAGCCATGCACAGCATTTAGTCCGATTGTTGGAGTCCAGTTTCTGCCGAAAGGCACGGAAGCAAAATGCCTCCTTTCCCCGACAGATGCACAAGTTGGCCACCCCTTTCAAAATTATCGGCACACTTAAATTTCAGACTTCCGCACTTTTTTACGTATTAGAATACTACACGTGTTGGCTACCAGTACTAAATCTGGGAAGCAGCGTTGCAACAGTGTGTGTGAGATTTGCACAACCATCGAAGGCTTACCGACCCCGCTATCGTACCACCTAATTTTGTCATCAAGCATTTTACCGTACAGTCGACTCTCGTTAATTCAAACTTGAAGGGACCTCTGAATTTTGTTTAAATTATCAGAAGTTTTTAGATATATGACTGTGGGGTGAGGTGACACCACGCACTAGAATTAGGCATTGATTTTATAGCATATACAGGTTTGTGGGAGAAAGTCTACGAAGTCATCAGAGCCCTTGGTTGACTCCGACGAACGATGTGTCGACGCTCCGCGGCCGTTCAACGATGGTGCGACCGAGCGCGTTGCCTCCGACGACGATGACGGTGAAGCGAACTCCGGACGACTACGAATCGACGCCAAGGTGGTGACAAACGCCGAAGTTGAAGAAAATCATGCCCGGGAGAAAGCGACGCTCGACCGGCTTTCATCGGCGCCAGCAACTGCACGGAAAATTGACTTTTTCACCGCGAGTTGTAGCGAGGCAACCGCACAGGACTCGGACCACGCTGCTCCTTATCTGCTTATGCATCTAGATATCCTAAACGCGATAATGGGTGCCTTGTGTTGCAAAGCCTGCCACGGACCGGCTACGATCGTCAGAGGGGATCGGGACTACGGACTTGCCATGAAAGTGCTAGTGCAGTGTGAAAGGTGCGGCGAGATCGCGAATGAATGGACTTCGCCCCGCGCGAACGGCACGAAAACGTGCAATCCGTTTGAAGTAAATCTTCTCGCTTCGAGGGCGATGGTGGCTACCGGCAACGACCAAACGAAAATGAACGATATTTTCGCAACAATGGGCATCTCACACCGCGGTATGCACCACAAGACGTTTCAGCGGCATTTGAAGAACACGCTGGCACCCGCTGCAACGCGAGCGGCTGAGTCCGCTATGAGCGAATGTGCGGAAAAGGTTAGAACAATTTATGATGACTTGTGCTTCGGCCACCGGGGCAATATTGCCGCTAGCTACGACGGCACGTGGAAGACGCGAGGCCATTCTTCCCACATCGGCGTGGGCACAGTTATCGAATTATTTAGTGGCTACGTGTTGGACTACGTCGTTCTTTCCAACTTTTGCCTAGGCTGCGAGGTGGGCCCAAAGCCTAGTAGTGAGGGCTATCAAGAATGGAAGGCTAACCACAAATGCCAAAAAAATACGAACAGCAAAGCGGGGCAAATGGAAGTGGAGGCGGCTCTAATTCTATTTCAGAGGTCGCTTGAACGCCATGGCCTGCGCTACACAACTATGCTGTCTGATGGAGACTCTAGGACATTTTGCGCCATACAAGACGCCAAGGTGTATGGTTACATTGACGTGCAGAAGGAAGACTGTATTAATCATGTACAGAAACGGATCGGCACCGCATTGAGAAACCTGGTGCAGAAACAAAAGTGCGATGGGAAAAGAGGCCTTGGTGGGAAAGGCAGGCTCAGAGGTGAGCTGATCACCAGGCTGAGCACATATTATGGCCGGGCTCTGAAATCGCATGAAGGTGACGTGGGCGAGATGCAAAAGGCTGTGATGGCCACATACCGCCACGTCACCTCCACTGATGAATGCTCGGACCACAGTCTGTGCCCAGCTGGTGAAACTTCATGGTGCGGCACAATGCCGCAAAGCAAAGGGTGAGACCGACCCCAGGCATGCCTACAATCTACCGAAAGACGTGGCAGAGGCATACTATTACCGGTTATACCCGCTTTCGGAAAGAGCCCTGCTTCAGAGGTGCGAACGCGGCAAAACGCAGAACTCCAACGAGAGCCTACATTCGGGTAATCTGGAGTTTGGCCCCCAAGGAGCACCATGCGTCCCTGTTCGCTGTTGAAGCAGGTTGCAGCAGCAGTGCTGTGCTTCAACCACGGGCAATTTGAATTCTGCAACGGCAATCTTAGGTGAAATGGACATGAATGCGACAAGTACTGGTGCCAGGAGAGCGAGAGAAAAAGGACCACCGTTCGCAGCATTGTTCCTCCAACAAGAAAAGAACAGCCTCATGGAACTCCGGAAGCTAGTGAGAGGAGGCATGAGCACAGAAGCATTCAGACTATGCTTCTGGTTGCATTTGAGGTTGTCTTGTTGCATCTCTTGCAATAAAAATGTTTGCCCACGTTTTTTCTCGATTTCTCAAAAACGACAATTTTCATGTGCTTCCCATTATGCCGAGCAATATCTCTATGTTCTATCTGGGTTATCATTACGATTTCTTTTTTGTTTCGAAGATAAATGCAGGGGATGTGTCGTAAAGTAAGTTTTATTGTAATAATTTTTGGAGAAAATTCTATAAATGGATCTTTTGTTTCAAGTGTAGATGGGGAAATTTTTCATGTCATATTCAACATCCCACAACTTTGCTTCGAAATAGCCCAGAACAATGATTTATACTTTATTGCACACTGTGAACATACCAAATTGGTTCTATAGGTTGCACATCAATATCCAAGTTACAGTTAATTAGCTAATTAGGCCTTAATTGAAAAAGTCGCAGTTCATTATATCTTCAAAACTAATTGTCACAGCAAAAAAAGAATTAGATTTTTGAAATCAGCAGTAAAATCTACCTAGGCTCTCCAAATTTGACTGAGGTACTCGCAAAAATAAAAGAGTTTTTGGAAGGTGTAGCATCCCCCCTTAATTCAAACTTGAAGGGACCTCCGAATTTTGTTTAAATTATCAGTTTTTAGATATATGACTGTGGGGTGAACAGTTTTAAACCCTAACTGCACGTAATGAACAGAAAGCAGAAATGTAAGGTCCACAACTTTATTGGCCATTCACTGCTGATCACACCTTTTACAGAAGTCGCAAATTGCCAACTGCTTCTTTTGCTATACGTGCCTTCAGAACAAAGCTCTCTATACCAGTTGAGAAGCATCACGGCTTACAAAGCGTGTGCTTCGTTTCAAACATTTGTTTACTTGTAAAACCTTTTTCCTTGAAAGCCTCAGGTGCTTATGTTTCATTTTTAGACAGTTAGGATTATATAAGCATGCAAATTTTTTAAACAGTAGGGGGAAAGCAGCAGATATTTTGCGGTATGGACCTGCAAAAAGTATTAATTAACCGAATGATGAAGGTTGAATTAAGAGGTTTTAAATACATTCAAAGAATTGAGGGCCAATAAAAAAATTAAATTTTGTTCGAAATAACAGAGTACGAATTATCAGAGTTTGAATTATTGAGAGTCTACTGCATTTATTCGAATCAAGGCCAATAGTTTTTTTTTTTTTTCCCAAATAACCTTGCATGAAACTCCAGGATCAGCCTAAATTCAAGGATTTAGATTTGCGGCATAGCTCAATGGCACCAAACAGCCGGTGTCATCATAGTGCTACTTATGAAAGAAACGTCCTAGCCGCAGAGCCGTCGTCCAAGGCTCAAGACGGGCGGGACTTTGAAGTAGAAAGTTGCCGAGGGGCCGCATCGTGGGACAAACCGGGAACTTTGACTGTGCCCTCAGCATATACAAGGCGCTTGATGGCACTGAGGATTGCGCACTGTTTCAAGACAGCGACAAAGAAGTCACCGACGAAAGCGGTGATGACAAGTTGAAATGAGTGCGGCATCCACAAACGTGGCATTTTTATAATCCAACTAAAAGCGGCGCGATAAAAACGACAAAAGAAAAACACGCGCAACAAGACTTGCGGCTCTATATTTCTCAAGTTATTTGCATCATAAACTAACTTGTTTGTTTCATCCAATGAATGTTTTCTCTTTGTGAACGCTGCCTTTGCTGTTTTGTCGGCCTACATTTGAGGTAAAGTGTTTTTTGTTTTGTTTTTTCCCCTGGCTTCGGACTTTTGGGGGTGTCTGCTTACAATCGGGGTCAGTCTAGGATTGATTAAATACAGTATTCCACACTTGACAAGGGAAACCTTAGTGTGCAGAATGGGTGAGGGGGGGGGAAAAAAGCTTGTCCTGTCAATTATGTAGTTTCAACCGGCCCTAATAGCCACATTTTTGTCATGCTTCACCAAGCTCCTCTTCTAAAGGAGATCTGACGATGCTAAGAACATTGACTAACAGCATCAGCGCATGGTACTTAAGTAACCGAAGCCTGAAAAAGATGTCTCGTAATAGACAATGGCACTGTGACATTAGTGTGTGTTAAAAAGCATGACAGCCAATGAATCAAACCTGCGAGAGCAGCCATTTACCTTGTCCATGGCGTGCGCCAGGGTGGGCGGTTCCTCGACCACGTGCCGGACCAGCAGAGAGGCGAGAGAAGCGAATCCCGAAAATGCTGACGCCTGGGTGAGTCCCAGAAGCAGGCGAGGTCCTCCCAGGGCAGCAAATGCCTGCGCAGCCTCGTGGCACCGCGTCAGCCGCAGAGACAACCGCAGCACACCATGCAGTGTGTCGGGCTCCACAGGGATGCTAAGCAGTCCGACGCATGCCCTGCACACGAACATTTGCGAAAGAAACTCGATTAAAGCCCAGCCAAGCCAGGATAGTGCTAGTATTTTTTTTTTTTCAGAGAACATAAAAACATGGTTGCGTTCACACCAGCAACTAGCACTGATCGTATGGGTGGTCACAAATGATTGTGAGACCAAGTTGGTCGCAAGCAAGTGCTTTGGCTTAGTTGCTCGATGCTCATTTTCTTGCCGCAAAGCTTTCGACCAAACCAAGTGCCCAGGAACAGCACGTCTGCTTATTTTACGGGGCAATGGCGATTTGAGCAGACATGTCTGGTGACGGACAATCACAGGGATGAATGTCGGCCTTTTTGAGCCACTTTCTAGCCACCAGTCGCAAATGGTCATCCAACCAGTGCTAGAGATACAAGTGTCAGTACACCGTAACGTTCAAGAAAAAAATGGTGCTGCAAACGTCTGCTTCCCACGAGTGATGTGTAGTACGTGAGCTTACTAAACCTTAGATTATAATTAAATTTTAATGTTTTACACATAAAACAATCTAATGAAGATGAGGCGCTTGGTACAGTGGGAGACCCCGCATTAATTCTGAACACCTCAAGTTATCTAACTTCTACTTGAATCAGAGCACAATCATATTGTTTAGATTTCACCTCCCACAGAAATATGGCCGTCGGGCAGAAGCATCTTAACATGGGTGCAAAATATGACTGCTATTTTCCTTTCATGCAACTCTTAGGAGCTGCCTTGTACAGGCACTATTCCGCCATGAATAAATTCGTGCAAGAACATTCTCAAGCAGGAGGTCTATTTTGCCAGTTTCAGTGCAGAACTTTAAATGTAGAGCAAGTGCTACATCTGAATATCAAAATGTTCCGTTATGAATCGAATATGAATACAGAGCTTCGATTACGAATCGAATATCGAATAATGAAGAGATGCAATTTTTTTCCAGCAGTAATTTTTTTACTGAATCATATATTTAGGTTGGAAACAGCACAGTTGTTATTATAGTCAGTTACTGCACACGAAAATAAAAAAAAAATGTCACCATCTGTACCAGCCAAAAACCACAAGACTAATGGTTGAGTTGTGACTGTGATGTTGGGTTCAATTCACACGATGAACAACCCTTCTGTATCTTTTTTTATGTGGTAGCACTTCATTCCAAAAAAAAAAAAAAAGAAAAAAGCTTTTGTACCTGCCTTGATGCCTGAGCATGAGGCCATTGGTTTGATTTTGTAACATTTAACACCCGTGTACCTAAATCTAAGAGATTATTAAAGCAGTCTAAGTGACTACAATTCATCCAGTTTTGGCTCGAAAGACCCCGATTTTATGGTTTCTTTTTAATTTTGTCCCCTATTCTCATATCGGATCAAGTCACTAAAGAAAATAGGAGTACTTGGTGCGTTTTTCAACTACACAGCAATACTCGTTATCTCACTTGCTTCAGTTGCCCTTCTCAAGGGCCGCGCTCGCCCTTTTCCAATCAAGAATGCTGCGCTACGCTGATAGCTGCACGGTTGTGATTGAGGTGTACCATGCGCACAGCAATAACGCGAGGTAAGCGCGCGAGATGGATGATTACTAATGTGTGATAAAAAATACGCCCCAAATACGCCTTTTTATTGACGGAGCCACAACTCTCGGCGGCAAGCGAACTATCTTGCTGCATCGCGACCCCTTTCGGCGCACTGGCTACAGGCAGCAGTAAACTGACATTGGCAAAAGAGCAAGATTGTACGAACGGTGTAACGGAGGGTGATTGCAGAAGACATTGCAGTGCGAGCGCGATGCTTGTACAACAAACTTTCAAAGGTGCTTTGGGGGATACAGCGAAACTACGTAATAATCCTTCTGTCACCTTACGTACGTCACCATTAGCAACGGAAAGCTATATGTGATGACGGCGTTGTAACAATACCGAAAGTGCATGGGCTTTTCCATGTTTACCTTTGCACGGAAAAACACTTCAGTTCATTCGCATGACAGTAACCGCTATCATGAAATCATTCTGGAACTAAGAGGGTATACATGCTAAAGTAGTGGCACAGCTGACAGACGACTCGTCAAGCTTTGACATGTGTGCGTGCGTTTTTACAGTAATCCATTGGCAAAAACTGGCGTGGCTACACATGAAACACGTTACCATCGTATGTCAAGCTGAGCGCGCCCCTAGCTAGTTGCACACAATGCATCGCCTCCTAAGCTCACTCCATCAGTGCTGCGCCCTGTAACGTATACGCGTGCGTTTCCCCTTGAGTAGAGATTTTTTTTTTTCTTCTCACTCACTCAGCACTGGACGGAGCAAAGGTGTGAAGACTATTTTGTCGAGCCAATGCGGCGGCAGCGAGTTGCCTTCCTTTCCACGAGCGATACGCACTAGCGGACCCGCGCACAGGGGCGCAGCAGCAGAGGGCGTGGTAAGTATGCTTATGTGAACCATAACAGTGCTAAACCACTAAGCCACACGTACTGCTGCGCAGGCAGTACATGTTTTAAATTGAGATATTTATCGTTGGTAGATTTGTCCTGATGACTTGCCGCCACTTCTACGCATGCATCACCAAACTTGCACCGAAGTCATAGTAATTACTGAATGATCTACTGAGGCTCTCAAGGGGGGATGCTACACCTTCCAAAAACTCTTATTTTTGCGAGTACCTCAGTCAAATTTGGAGAGCCTATGTAGATTTTACTGCTGATTTCAAAAATCTAATTCTTTTTTTTGCTGTGACAATTAGTTTTAAAGATATAATGAACTGCGACTTTTTCAATTAAGGCCTAATTAGCTAATTAACTGTAACTTGGATATTGATGTGCAACCTATAGAACCAATTCGGTATGTTCACAGTGTGCAATAAAGTATAAATCATTGTTCTGGGATATTTCGAAGCAAAGTTGTGGGATGTTGAATATGACATGAAAAATTTCCCCATCTACACTTGAAACAAAAGATCCATTTAGAGAATTTTCTCCAAAAATTATTACAATAAAACTTACTTTACGACACATCCCCTGCATTTATCTTCGAAACAAAAAAGAAATCGTATTGATAACCCAGATAGAACAAGAGATATTGCTCCGGCATAATGGGAAGCACATGAAAATTGTCGTTTTGAGAAATCGAGAAAAAACGTGGGCACACATTTTTATTGCAGAAGATGCAACAAGACAACCTCAAAACGCACCAGAAGCATAGTCTGAATGCATTCTGTGCTCATGCCTCCTCTTCACTAGCTTCCGGAGTTCCAATGAGGCTGTTCTTTTCTTGTTGGAGACAATGCTGCGACGGTGGTCTTTTTCTCTCGCTCTCCTGGCACCAGTACTTGTCGCATTCATGTCCATTTCACCTAAGATTGCCGTTGCAGAATTCAAATTGCCCGTGTTGAAGCGCAGCACTGCTTCTGCAACAGCTGCTTCAACAGCGAACAGGGACGCATGGTGCTCCTTGGGGGCCAAACTCCAGATTACCGAATGTAGGCTCTCGTTGGAGTTCTGCGTTTTTGCCGCATTCGCACCTCTGAAGCAGGGCTCTTTCCGAAAGCCGGGTATAAACCGGTAGTAATGCCTCTGCCACGTCTTTCGGAAGATTGTAGGCATGCCTGGGGTGGGTCTCACCCTTTGCTTTTGCGGCATTGTGCCGACACCATGAAGTTTCACCAGCTGGGCACAGACTGTGGTCCGAGCATTCATCAGTGGAGGTGACGTGGCGGTATGTGGCCATCACAGCCTTTTGCATCTCGCCCACGTCACCTTCATGCGATTTCAGAGCCCGGCCATAATATGTGCTCAGCCTGGTGATCAGCTCACCTGTGAGCCTGCCTTTCCCACCAAGGCCTCTTTTCCCATCGCACTTTTGTTTCTGCACCAGGTTTCTCAATGCGGTGCCCATCCGTTTCTGTACATGATTAATACAGTCTTCCTTCTGCACGTCAATGTAACCATACACCTTGGCGTCTTGTATGGCGCAAAATGTCCTAGAGTCTCCATCAGACAGCATAGTTGTGTAGCGCAGGCCATGGCGTTCAAGCGACCTCTGAAATAGAATTAGAGCCGCCTCCACTTCCATTTGCCCCGCTTTGCTGTTCGTATTTTTTTGGCATTTGTGGTTAGCCTTCCATTCTTGATAGCCCTCACTACTAGGCTTTGGGCCCACCTCGCAGCCTAGGCAAAAGTTGGAAAGAACGACGTAGTCCAACACGTAGCCACTAAATAATTCGATAACTGTGCCCACGCCGATGTGGGAAGAATGGCCTCGCGTCTTCCACGTGCCGTCGTAGCTAACGGCAATATTGCCCCGGTGGCCGAAGCACAAGTCATCATAAATTGTTCTAACCTTTTCCGCACATTCGCTCATAGCGGACTCAGCCGCTCGCGTTGCAGCGGGTGCCAGCGTGTTCTTCAAATGCCGCTGAAACGTCTTGTGGTGCATACCGCGGTGTGAGATGCCCATTGTTGCGAAAATATCGTTCATTTTCGTTTGGCCGTTGCCGGTAGCCACCATCGCCCTCGAAGCGAGAAGATTTACTTCAAACGGATTGCACGTTTTCGTGCCGTTCGCGCGGGGCGAAGTCCATTCATTCGCGATCTCGCCGCACCTTTCACACTGCACTAGCACTTTCACGGCAAGTCCGTAGTCCCGATCCCCTCTGACGATCGTAGCCGGTCCGTGGCAGGCTTTGCAACACAAGGCACCCATTATCGCGTTTAGGATATCTAGATGCATAAGCAGATAAGGAGCAGCGTGGTCCGAGTCCTGTGCGGTTGCCTCGCTACAACTCGCGGTGAAAAAGTCAATTTTCCGTGCAGTTGCTGGCGCCGATGAAAGCCGGTCGAGCGTCGCTTTCTCCCGGGCATGATTTTCTTCAGCTTCGGCGTTTGTCACCACCTTGGCGTCGATTCGTAGTCGTCCGGAGTTCGCTTCACCGTCATCGTCGTCGGAGGCAACGCGGTCGGTCGCACCATCGCTGAACGACCGCGGAGCGTCGACACATCGTTTGTCGGAGTCAACCAAGGGCTCTTATGACTTCGTAGACTTTCTCCCACGACCTTTGCGTTTCCTGCGACCAAATGCGTGCACGGTCCGATACTTTTTGGCGTTTCCAGGCATGGCGATACGATCAGAAGCTTCAGAGTGCTCTGCCGATTTCGAGGCGTCACAGCGGTAACCCTTTCAAAATGGCGTCGGGTCGCTTATGCAGGAGCAAGCCGCGAGCTTCCAGCCAACCGGAAAGCGCCATTTCAGTCACGTGCGCCGTTTAGCCAATGGCAGTGAGCGCGGCTCTTCGTCTTTGAGGCCCCGTTTTTCGAGCCGGGGAAACGCTCAATAATGCTTACTGAATAAAAAAAAACAGCTGAAAACGCGTTCTTTCAAACAAGACCAAAATGGCGCCGATCGAGCGCGTAGTTCCCGCGTATCGTAGAGCCGAAACCTGCGCTATTCGCCCTCAATTTAAAGGGCAGGACGCCCGTTTTCGGTTTTTTAAAGTTGAATAACGATAAAAGTTGATGGTATTCGGCTATGAAATTTTGTAAATAGGTGCGCAATGATGTCGGGAACGCGAAAAGAAAGTCCGCGAAAACTCGATTTTTTGGCCGATTTTCGGTCCCGAAGTGCCGCGTCCCCCCTTAAGGCAAATGCGCAAAATCCTAAGTTCTTCACAGTGACATATGCGAACGAATAGGCTTGTGCAAATAGTGAATTTTAGGCTCGAAGCGAATAGTGATTTTGGTTGAATAATTTCATATCAAATTTGAATAGTATATATGACTAACATTAATACTATTTTTTAAAAAATGAAATAAAGCCTCTATGAAAAGTCCCCTCCCCCTTTTTTGATTCAAAAGAAGTCGGAAGAACTTTGAGTAGTAGCAGGATTTTACTTTCAGCAGAATGCGAGTCATTACCTTTAAAATGCATAACATTTTAAAATTTATTATACTTAGAGCATATAACCAGTCACTACAAACTTTTAAGCTTAATAAAATGAATTAATTTGAGAGTAATATTTTCACTTAAATGGGCCGTGCAACACTTTTTCAAGTAGCCATGGACTGCATTCACTGCTTCATGAATTCACCGCCGCAAATATATTTAGAATCCCTCCAGTACGCGGGGAGTTGCAAAGATTTGTCACGCACTGCTAGTGCATTCTCCCTTCTTATCCCGACGAAAGCACTGGAAGCTAAGCATGGAGAGATGGCATGGGAAAAGAAAATACGTCACACGTGCTTTCTGAGCTTGCGGAGTCATTTGTTGAGAGAAGAGCAATTTTTAGCTGACTTTAAAGGCTTATTGTGAATCGCTCGTCGCGTGCTGCGCTATAACATTTGACTTGCGTGTTCTCGGTAGCTTCGACTACTTATCGGCCGCGTTTTTTGACAATGCTCGAAAAGTTGCTGGGCCCCTTTAAACTTGAAAAAAGGCTTCCCGGCAGAGCACATTTCTCCTGGACAGGTGTTTTCACGGTTAGACACACCTACACTGCAGTGAAGCCATCTTTACAAGCAGTACATTTGGATTAATATGCATTTATTCGTTCCTTGCAAATACTTTGAATATTCTTTTGAATACTTGAAGCATTCAAATAATCACACAAGCCTACGAACAAATAAATGTTAACCCATTGGCTTCCGTTGCCGGAAAACCGCCGATAACTGAAGCCAATGGGTTAACATTCATAAGGGTTATTTCACCAGACTTCGTTGAGAATGTTGGCAGGATGCTGGACAGTGCGAAAGAACACCACCCAAACCATGCCATTTGCTTCAACTGTGATTTTCCCAAACCCTTCTGGTTACAGGGGCAAAATTAAAGACTAGACATCGAACATCGAATATTCGAAATTTTCAAATATGCGGTTATCAAATTGAATATGAATATTATAAATGCAATGTTTGCCGAATATTCGAAACTTTTGAATATTCCCACACCTTACTATACAACCTTTATAACGAAGGGCTCCGCAAATCAAACTCTTCATCATGGAAACCACTGATGAGATTGTAAAAGACACTTTCACGGATGTATCGCAAACAGCACATATTAAGTGTGCTAGGCTAGTACGACACAAACCACTTCTAATACAATAATTTGCTTAGCTGTTTGTAATGATAGAGTAATGTATTTTCAGGAAAGCCACGAGCTTAAGGGGGGACACGGGTCTTAAAAGGCCAAAAATTGAGAAAAAAACTACTTTTTGAAGTTGACATTTTCAGTATCTGCAACAGTTTTTGCACTTATCTGAGAAGTTTCTAGCTTCTCACGTCATTATTTCTGGCACAAAATCAATTTATAACATCCCTGTGAGGTGAATCGGAGCACAAATAGGCACTAAAGTCGGTTTTTCTATGCCGAACCGTTGCCGGTACACACGAGCTATCGTGGACATCTTGGTCTCGTTTGGAAGGGTTGTTCTTGATCTTTAATTTCCCGCCACCAGTGGCTCGCCTTGCTCATTGGTTTTTCAGCAAAAACGCGTCATCAAGAAGCACCGCCGCGCAATTCTATTGGCTGCTTGGCGCACGTGACAAAACCTAGGCACCCGATTGGCCAAGTGGCGTTTCCAGCGTCTGCTTTTTCATCGTGAAGCGCACGGACATGTACCATTTTGTCATGGGGCTGTCGACCGCCTGCCGCAGTAAAGAAGTTACTCGCTGCAATAATTTGTGAAGCAGGTGTAGCGATCGTTCGTTCACTGTGAACTTCAGAAAGAGCCCCACTATTACTCGGGACAGAGAGGACAGCAAACTTGCGGCATTCAACGGCGGTCGCCGAGTCACCGGTGTAGGCCTCACTCACGTACGAGCCCGTCGGTTGTCGACAACGTCGCTGAAAGCGGCAGTGTTTTGGAGCTTCAACAGTTACACGATGGCAAGTAAAAAAGCAGAAGTGAAGCTACGAGAGATAGCAATCTTTGCAACGATGGAACGGAAGCGCAGTCTTATCGCTAAACACGCCGATGCCGCGGGTTCCCCTCGTCCGACATGAACTGCGCGACGGGTCACCAGAGTGGAGTTCGCCGCGTCTCGGCAAACAGCACAACATCAATTCGTTTACAGTGAACGTGCTCACCGCCAGCGCAATGAAGGCTACTGGTAACAGGTAGAGTGCTTGTAACGACGCGTTCGCAATGATGAACATATTGCGCCGCGGCCGCGCCACTCGAAAATGTAGCAATCTTACGTGAAAAGGAAACTAACACCTCGTTGCTCTTGCAGCCTTGAAATTGGTGAACGAGTGCACAAGTTCAGTCTGGGACATCAACAACTCAATTTGGACAAGCCGGAAAACATCGCTTTATCATACTACGGATCGCGGATGGCGCGCGCACATTCGTCGCACATAGGCATCACCAAATTTATAAGCAGCCTAGTCGGCAGACGAGCCCCAGGCGACCGCATCAGCTCGCAAGTGTGCGTCTGCGGAAAACATGCAGTGGGCATTGAAAAAAACGTCATTTAGGTGACGCAAAACGGGACTACATGCCTAGTGCCTACTGAGAAAGCTGAATTTGCAAATCATTGTAAATAAACATCTTTTCCATGCTCCTGTCTGCCCAAAATGGACTTCTTGTGTTTTTGCATGATTTCTCAGGATTCAAATTTTGCTGCAGTTGCAAACTTGTCTAAAAGATATCTCTGCCTTCAAAGCAGCTAGGACTGATATTTTTGTTGTGACATGTAGCTGTACCTCTAGTTTACACAATGGTAGGTGGGATTTTTTGATTGAGACCTTCAAAAAATTTAATTATTTACCGAAATTGGAGCATAAAGTGGGTGTGTCCGCAACACTTAAGTGCAAGGCGCGACAAACCTTGCTAAAATTCTCAAATCAAAAAAGCACTCCTACCGTTGTGTGGTTAATGTTCATTAGTAAACAGGCATATGCCGATAGTAGCTCTGCAATAGAAATTTCTTGTGCCATCATACCAGCAAACAATAGGTAATTAATTTTAGGATATCTCAAAAACTACACTCAGACTTCGTTATAACGAAACCGGGTATAGCGAAATGTCGGTTATAACGAAATAAATTAAAAATAGTGTTGCAATATAGTGTTAAAAAATAAACCTTTGTAACGAATTTTTGGATATAACGAACTTATTTTTATGCAAGATGCAAGTTTGTTATAAAGAGGTTTGGGTGTAATTGGTTTAGAGGAAAAGTAATTACATTTTTGAAATCAGCATCAAAAACTCAATCACACTGTGAACTTTCTTATTAAACACATGAAGATATCTGGCATTTCTTCTTAAGTGCAGTGTCCCCCCTTAAAATACCTAGCAGAAATTACTGCATTTACACAATTGTAAGTCAACTCGAATGTAGGTCAACCTCACAAAAATGGCACGCCATTAAAAGAAGAGAGAAGAGCAGGAGAACTATTTATTAAAAAAAATATAGTTTTTGACATATCACGATCCACAGATGAATGAAGGTGGCTTTACGGCAGTACTTGAAAGCTGTGCAGAAAAACTAGCTTTGCAGAAATACGTGGAGATTATTTTTAGAAAAACTTCCCAGCCAAAACTCTTTTTCAATTCTAGGTCGACCCTCACAACTTCGGATTTCAAAATGGGTCGACCTACAATCAAATTAATACGGTAAACAGTGCCAGCCAGAATGGTGTCGAGAACCATGCAGCCCTGCTAACCTGATCAATGTCGAGCACTGGTGCGGACTCAGGCCCTTGACTGTTGTTGGTGTCACAGGTGTTGTCGACGATCCCGACGCATTTCCCGAGTCGGCACCTGTTGTGGGGACTGTGCTGGCCACGTCAGCCGAAGCAGACGACAGCGTTGGCACAGAAGCAGACGCACCCACGGAAGCGGCAGCACCGACTGGTGCAGTGGGATGAACTGCGGTGCTGGCACTGGTTCCGGCGCCGGCATCGACTGCTGTAGCTGACGAAACCCCCGTCGTGGCACTCGCCGTAGCAGCTGGTTTCCCGTCCCAGGCAAGCATTACGGGGCGCCAGTTTCCAGTCTCCTCGTTGATCTGCACCATCGTTGAAAACTGCACTGTGTACTTGCGCCGCCCAGCCGTAAAGTGAACGCTGGGTTCGACTGCGCAGTAGGCATCATCAATGGCTTTGTTGTTCAGAGCAGTATAGGCGTTCCACCGGCCCGTACGATCGTCAAACCACTTCCACTGCCTCTTGGGAAGCTGCAAATGAGGAGCAAAGAAACGAGCATCCACAATGAGCTGACTAAGCTAAACGGTGTCATACAGAACCAACAATTTTTCAGTAACTGTGTTCAGTAAAATATGAACGCTCACTAACATAGTTCAGCAATATCTGCATTTTGCTTTATGCATGTTGATGTAAGATTAGAATATGAAGGTCCAATACAAACACCTACAGTGGCAGAAATCAATAGACAAGTACTGAAAGAGCTGACCTGAAGCAGGGGTGCTCTTCTCTTGGACGCCACTGACGCCTTCTCATAAAGGTCAATAAGCAGGATCAGCGACACCAGCCACCTGGACGTTGTGTAGAAGGGCAAAGACCACGCATTATTAATGCATTATTGATAATTAGTACTGTCGTCTGCTCTGCTGACTAGAAAAAACTAACTGCATGACAGACACTAAACTACACTATTGACCCATTGGGTTCCGCCCTCTCTGCAACCATTCCCGCTAAGGAAAAAAACATTAAAAACTATAAAACATGAACAACCATGTCCATAGAAGAGATAATATACCAAGCAAAAGGCAAACGCAAAATACTGTGCTGCCCTCTATGAAACAATGTTGAAAATAATCCTACGCGACCTAGACGGCCGACGCTTCACCAGTCAAAGCGCTTTTGACCTCGCCAACCCTGCCGGCTGATCGCTGGCAACGGAAGCCAATGGGTTAACATTTATAAGGGTCATTTCACCAGCCTTCGTTGAGAATGTTGGCAGGATGCTGGACAGCGCAAAAGAACAACCCCCAAACTATGCCATTTGCTTCAACTGCGATTTCCTAAACCCTTCTTGTTACAGCAGCAAAATTCAAGACTACACATACGCACTTACGCCTCAAGTGATCGGCACCGAAAAGCCCTTACTTAGGCGTGGTCGGTGGCTCCTTGGGTGGAGTCGGCAGCACCAGCACGTGCTGGGCTGCGTCTACCAGTTGCACCAGGAGATCCACCAGGCTCTGCTCCTCGAGCAGGGTGGCACACGGCAGGCGCATCTCCTGCACCATGAGGGGATTGCCAATGTCATGTCGATAGACGACACTAGCTATTATGCGGCAGCATCGCTATGCATCAAGCACGCGTAGTGCAGCAAAGCCAGCAGGCGACTTGATGTGTGACATGCACAGAGAAAGCCTGGCAATCATCACTTTATCACGAGCAAACAGAACTGTTAAAGGGTGACGCTGCCGCAGTCTATGGTGGGAAATGCACACAAACACAATGTGTACCTCGTTGTGATGACAATTATTGAATTCATTGTTGGTTTGCCAGTGTACAAACATGTTTGACAGTTTGCTTTACACTTAGTAAATTCTTTAGATTGTACGTTCTTAGTTTCTGCTCACAAGAATCTGCTGACCAAGCCATGTGGGAAGCAAGATGCTTTGACACCATCACAAGCACAACAATGTTGTGGTTCATCCCTAGCAGCAACATGGAGCTGTTGGACAGCCACAACACTGAACATTAATTACCTTTCGAGATTCTTTTCACTCAGTTGAGATATTGCATTCATTTTATGTGATTAGAGTAGGTAATACAAAATTGTGGCTGACTTTAGATAAAGTGCACCTAAAAAAACACACAGCGGGCACTTTTTACAAAGTAAGGTGGCGTGTTTGATTGAACAGGATAAAGCATTCATGCCACCACTGCAGCATTCTATACATCGAAAAAGGCAAAGTGCCTCACAAACAGGATATGTTGTGCTAAAGGCTTCAGTGAGCAACCTAGCATGCACCACTGCAAAGGACACGACTGCCTCAACATCACAGCATGAATCAATGTTAAGAGTACTTCACTCTCACCTCAAAGAGCAGGGTGAACAGGTGTACACGCACAGCAGCCATGTTGGCCACAGGCAGGGTGGCGAGTTGGACAGCCTGCTCCGCCTGGGGCAGGTCGTCACGCGTGGCTATCTCAAGCAAGGATGTCACTGTTGTCCGAACCTGCCAATATAGAAACACACACGTCGCCTCTGTGTACAGGCAATTATTTGTAGAACTGCAGCAATTCGTTATCAAGAATAATTCTAAATAGTGTAACGAAGATAGTGGACACGCCGCTTCACATGGAGAGAAGAGAGCGACTACGATGAGCGATAACTACTCGCGCTGCTAGTTAGCCCTTGTGGTAGTAAAACCGATGTCCACTTGTCGCGACAGCTGCCTTCAAAGCACCCTTGTTTGAATTGTTGGAGGTGCTGGGTAACACATGACAGTGATTCTTACAAACCTATGCAAGCGATACAGCGCTTTCACACGTATATGCCGCACAAAATAATACAGAAAATTTTGAGCAAAAATCAAGACCAACTACACGAATGCTAGTAGGCGATGACTTCCCAACAGTGCCTCACAGCTATGCAAAGTAATACTTGGTTTTCTATCAAGTTTTCCACATATCATTGCTGAAGGTGTGGGTTGTATGCAAGAACATGCCGCAGTTATTGAAAAACTCTGAAGCTTGACAGTTGTGCGGCTTATGCTAACACTGCACCTACAAGCCGCCCAACCCTGATCTCTAGCCCCTGTGCCTGAAGCATCTGGTGCAAATTCCTTCACCGTCCTATGACAGTCATGAAATAAAGGTGATGCAACCGAGTAATATGACAGAGCTCATGCATCGCTCAGCGGTATTTTAATCCCACACACGAAAAAAAGAATCTCGAAATGGCCACTTTAAGGGGAGATGCGGGTCGAAAAATCGCGTTTTTTGCGAAAATTTCCACTTTTGAGATATTGCTGCTAAAATCACTTTTGATCATTCAACTATCATTTCCCCAAAGGTCATAGCTGAATTCAAATGAGAAAGTGGTAAAAAATCGATCTGCGCTAGTGAAGGTAGCTGCCGAAGTCGCGAATTCACGCATCCGACGGCTATTTTTGAAAATCCGCCACTCGGCAACACGATGACGTCCGCCATCGGGGTTTGTTCGGTGGTGTAGATCAAGGCTCCTTCTAGTGTACAGGCGTCCCCCTAGTTTCGTATTTTAGTGAGGAATTTCACAAAACAGTCGTTTCCAAGTCGGTTTGCAGCCAAGCTGCAGCCGCTTCGCGCATCTCTACCGGTCACATGGTACGCTACCGAGGCCGCCATTGGCTACATCTGATCGGCCTCGCTCGCTGAGCGCTTGCGACGATCGGCACTTGCCGTGCGTTTCTATGTTTTTCCGAGTTCACCATGGATAACTCGAAGAAGCGAGACTTCCGAGCACGAAAGTTTGCAAGCAAGAACAAGTACCAAGGGCGTCGACGTAAACCGAAGCGCAAAGCAGCGATAGAAGAATGCGAGCCGCGGGCCACTAGGCCTAATCAAGGCAGCGGGGATACGGCGGCTTGCGGGAACTTTGACGAAATCGACGCCGCGATCAAGTTCATCAGCGCATCAGAAAAAAAGATTGAACAGTTCGAAAGCGAAAGAACGATGTGTGTTTGTGGCTCTGTGAGCGGAGTATTTTGTGACATCGGCGCACTGACATCGATGGTAAGCCGTGCTGTTTGTCCAACATGCCACACCGCTGGACTCGTCGTTCGCGACACCGCAAGTAAACGTAAGGGCCTCTCTTCGTTCCTCGAGCTGCACTGTGATAACAGTGAGTGTCCTGAGTCAGTGGTTTCTGCCGCGCATAGTTCGCGGCGTGTTCTGCCGGAAAGACAGCCCACCGATGCCGGTGATGACTGGAGCTACCGAAGCGGCAGCTCGCGCGACAGCTTCGCTGTCAATGTGAAGGTAGTTGTGGCTGCGCGTGCAATAGGCATTGGGCATGAACAGCTGTCGCGTTTTTGCGCTATTCTTGGACTGCCAATACCTATGCATCATAAGACTTTTATTGCAATCGGCAAAAAAGTTCATGCTGCAGCTACCAAAGCTGTGCAAGAAAACATGGCGAAAGCGCGGATGATAACTAAAGAGAAAGTGGATGGGGCTGATGTTGCTGTCATGTATGATGGCACATGGCAAAAAAGAGGGCACAAGAGCCACAATGGCATCGGCACTGCTGTGTCTGTGGACACTGGTTTGTGCCTAGATTTTGAAGTGCTATCGAATTACTGCCTTGCCTGTAGCCGGCACCAGGACTTGGGTGATGAGGAAGAAATATGGCAAGCATTCCACACACCTGTCTGCGAAAAAAATACAGAGTGCTCCTCTCATGCCATGGAGACTGAGGCAGCTTTGCGCATATGGGGCAGGACATCCTCATACACAACACCATTGCGCTTCACCAAGTTCCTCAGTGATGGGGACAGCAAAGCTTATACCGCTGTCGCTGAGGCCAAGGTATATGGTGAAGCTGTTGTGGACAAGGAGGAGTGCACAAACCATGTGGCCAAGCGTCTAGGCACTGCACTTCGGAAACTGCCAACAAGACTTCCACGAGGGGAAAAGCTGACAGACGGCACAATTCAGAAGCTGCAGAACTATTACCGTATTGCAATCACAAACAACAGAGGTGATATTCTGAAAATGCATCGTGCCATCTGGGCCTCATATTTCCATTCATCATCGAGCAACACAGCAGGCAGCCACCGATACTGTCCAGAAGGGGCGACTTCCTGGTGCAAGCATAGGCGAGCTGAAGCGCTTGGGGAGGCCCCACCCGACCACACACCAATCTTGACCAAGGCTCAAGGATTGGCTGTGCTTCCCATTTACAAGCGGCTCACAGATGAAAAGTTGCTGGTGCGTTGTGTCCAAGGGAAGACCCAAAACGCTGCAGAATCTTTGAATAGCAAAATCTGGTTGTTGTGTCCGAAGACTAAGTTTGCCTCCCGGACAACAGTGGAAACTGCAGCTGCTATGGCCGTGTTGTGGTTCAATAAAGGACATTCAAGCTTTGAACACGTGCTAGAGGAGCTTGGTGTAGTCCCACCAGATCAACTGATCACCCTGGGCCGATCCCGCGACCAGAGGAGAATCGAAAGAATGTCTGCGTGTGAAACAGCCGAGGCAAGGGCCCATCGGCGGAACGTGGCAAAGAAAGCGCGCCTTGATGACTCCCTTCTCAAGCGGCGAGAAGGATCCACATATGGAGCAGGACAATTTTAGGTGCTCTAGCTGTGTCCCTTCTATGATATCACCAAGTTTTGTGCAAATCGCACTGTGTAATCATGAGTAAACATATTTACAACTTTCAAACGCATTTTTCTCGATTTCCATTTTGAGGTAATTCTCTCATCTTGTGCACAATCTTTTTTAGGCATAAAATAGTCCTATCTTGATGAAATTTTGCACAGAGCTTAATCAGCCACTCTAGAATACAAGTATCTACTTTAGGTTGCATTATACATCACAGATTTTTTGTTACACAACTTGATACACTGATAGAGAGATGTAAAATATGCATTTAGTACTTTTAATTTTTTTTTTAATGTAGCAAATAAATTTTCTGTTTGAGGTACTTTTCTGTATTGTACTGCTCAAGTGCAGCAAAATGAGCCATTTTGCAATTCTGTGTGAAAATTTTTAGTAAGCTTTATTATGTGCACAAAAAACACTATATTTTGATATCAAAGTTGTAGTAACTCCGGAACTACTATAGCTATCAAACAAATAATTGCAGTTATGAAATCAGCACTGCAAGCTTTACTAACACCTAAAATTTCAAGGAGCTGGGTTATGAAATAAAAAAAAACCTTTTTCGAGTAGCATCTCCCCTTAATAGTGACCTCTCACGGCTCCGCACTTCGCACCCACCTCCTGAAGCAGGCTGGCAAGCATCTGGTCTCGCCAGACAACTCCGTTACGCGACACCACGGCACCCAGCAGGTCACAGACACGGTACACGGTTTCAGGCAGAGCGTCCAGCAACCGCAGGCAGCCCGGCAGCATGTTCTCCGTGAAGCGATCCATTACCGCCGGTTCTGCCGGCTCCTCTTCGGGCTGAACTTTCTCGTCGTCCTCCTCTTCGTCACGCATCACTTTGTCACCTTCTTTAGCCTGCACGAACGAGGCAATATGAAATGTGAGAGGGCTATTTTTGAAGAAGTTGGTTTGCTGCAAGGGTAGTGGTGTGGGCTTCTTGGATGTTATTTTCACTTTGTAGTTGTGCAGCCAAAAACGAAGACGCACACGCAAAAAGATATCTCATGAAGCACAGCCCCATGTATCAGATTTCCGATTCCTTCTGTGTCCTCGTCGTTAGCTGCACTCTGGTTTGCTGGGCTAGTTAATAAGGCATCCTGACATGGCTTGTGCAAAAATAATTGAGACAGCACCTGATTCCCCCTTTTCTTCTCTCATGCCAGTTGTCCTCATGGCCCGCAACAAGAACTTACCTTCGATAGGCATTAACAAAAACACACCTGAAACTTTCACAAGCCAGCACGCTCCAAGTCCATATCAATCGGGCGGAATTCTATGTTCTGGGTGTAATACCGTATTTACTTGCGTAATGAACCCACTCGTATAATAAACCCCCCCCCCCCTCCCCGGCCTTAAAAAAAAACTTTTTTTGTGGTGTATCTGTTCATTTTATTTCGATATAATAGCCAGTGCTGTTGATGATCGAAATAACGTTGATGCAAGCCATTTTATCACAAAATAACAACCCAATGAAAGTCAAAACATAGTTTTGCAACCATGCTAAACAGTTGCGAGCAGCGCGAGCGTGGACGATGTCAATCAAAATTTGAATGTCATGCCTTTTACGGCAAGGCATCACCTGTCGAATGCAGGAGAAAACTCTTTGCTGATAGCACCACGCAAGCACAGAGGCAAAAAAACGCGTGGCCTTCAAACTGGCCCGCATGCATCGTACAAACACGCCGCGCGTTTGCCATCTCGAAGGCCATGCAAAGCGCAACCGCACCCAGAGTATAGTGCCTAGAATATACCATATATGTCTAAGTATATATATATCGGCCCCCAGCTCGTCCGAATGCGCCGACACGCGCTGACCACCAAAGGATAAGCGTGCGCGCTTATCCTTTGGTGGGAAGAATCGGGCGCCTTCTGCTTTGACCAAGGCGATTGCGTTTAGTCGCCAGGCGCACAAAGATCACTTTTTCCGCTGGAGAGGCCCCGTTTATGAAAAGAGCATGCTTTTAAAACACAACGAAGTAATAACTGGGACACCTGTTCGCACTCACCTGTACCTGTGATTATGTTTAGTGCGTCGTTTTTGTTTAGACAGCGCGTTATGTGTAGAGCGGTGGCTCTCGCTATAGTGAACTAGAATTTCGTACTGTGTGTTGTTTTCGTGCATTGTGTGCGTGAACAGCGCTGCACGTTTCTATCTGCCATTCTCAGCGTTACATTCTAAGTCGTTTCTATCCCATTCATTGCTTTGCCCTCGCGGCAAAACTGACTTTTTTGTTATCGGGTTTGTCAATGCAATTTTAGTTGGGACACCTGCTGCTCAGGGCACGTTCGGCCGGTACGCTAGCTGCATGGCTGGTTGCAAACAGCATGCGCTAGAGTATTAGAACCAAGCGGCTGGACGATACTTCGGCATTGATCGGTGAGTTTTCGTTACGGGAGGAAATAAAAAGCTTCGGGCTACAAAAAAGATTTGTCGTACATTTCATGGGACCAAACAAGCAGTCGCCGGGCAAAATTTTCGCTGTTATTACTCCCGTGACTTTCCTCTCCCATGTGATGAACCCTCCCCCCAAATTGGCGTCAACTTTTCTGAAAAAAAGGTGGATTCATTACGCGAGTAAATACGCTAAAGATGACCAACAACAAATTTTATCAGAAGCAGTAGAATAATAACTTCACATCCTAAATAAAGTGAGCACAACCAGTTTCCAGCCTCCACAATTGCTTCTGAAACACACAGCCCATTACAGAGAAGCTTATGAGATTTACAACTCCTGAAAAAGTGGATGCTGGAGATTGGCTATAGACACCACCAGCTGCCAACGATTACAAGTTATAGTGGGCATAACATATAAAGTTTGAGTCCCGGCATTTTGGATGATAAAACCCACACTACGATTATGAGGCATCTTAGCTGTTAACTACCAAAGTGCCATGAAATGAAATGACGAAAAGTTCTAACGGTGCATCGTGTTAACAGCACAGGTACAAATGAACATTAGGATGTTGCTCCTCACCTGTCCTGGTGTGACGTTTTCACCCAAGGACATGGCGATGGCCCGCATCATCTGGTCTTCCTCCGACATTTCCAAGTCAGATGGAAGTTCCTGGAACAGAGATGAGACATTGCTCAGACACAGCCTTTGAAGGTGGTTAGGTTAGTCGCGATTACTGGGGGCTCTCGACTAACCTATAACAGACAACACACAGCCCAGCTGCTGCACATAGCGCATTTTTTTCACATGTAGCCTGCACTCCCAACAACGAGCGGCGGGAAAATTCTGTAAAAAATTCGCCTCTGCACTGCATGATGCTAGCTTCCTTGCACTGCTGCAAAGCCGCCTTGCACTGAAATTTGTGCATTTGATCATGTCCTTAGCACCAAATTTCCTATACTTCTTGTGTGGCTTATACAAGAGAAAATACAGCATGTCCCTACAGCTTCATTACTGCAGAGCATAAGGGGAGCCCGTTCTAACCTCCTATACTATTTATCTGTCTGGTTTAACAAACACAGTGCCAATAAACTGTGATGTAAAGTCTATCACTATTAAGCCATTCCACGAAATCTCCTGCACATGCCAATATGAAACAATACTCCGCAGCTCTCAAACAGTAGCAAGTTTATCATCATAAAAAGTTCACATCAAATTATTTTCCCCAGTTCACCAGCACACTTGAAAGAAACCCGACGGCCACTTCGGAAGTTGACTGTAGGTTAAGCCCCGTCCTATCTCATAAATTTTACAAGACTTGGAACAAACAAGGAAGTGGTGCTAATTGTACAAGATATCATGACATTGCAGATATGCAGAGGTCACATGTGCTGTACTTCAGATGACGGACCGAATCGCTCTTCTGGCCTGTTGGTTCACAGTCATGTGACCCTCCACTTCCAGTTGGGGAGTTGAGAAACCATTGCACACTACTGAACACAACACAAGACGAAGAGAGAACAAGCGCATGTTCAAAGAGCCATCCCCACCCTAGGCTGCCAGCTGGGCTTCTCTTGTCTTCATCTTATGCTTGTTGTACTGCCTGCCTGTCGCCATCCGCAGCTGGTGGTATGCAGCTGGACCTTAATGTTTCATATTTGCAGGAAGCAACTGCAGGTTGGCACAGGCAGTTTCATGACCTTCGCTCGCTGTGTGCTGCAATGTCTCTAAACTTGCACCATTCGAGAACGCCACTATGGTGCACACATAATAAAATAAAAACAGGGGATGTGCCACAGGCAGATAAAAAGAAGAGCAATACCGCGCGTGGCGAAGGGAGGGGAGGCGGTAGCAAGCCGAGGTGGCCAAAAGGGGTTGGCATATTAATAAAGAATGAAACATCTAATGGGCAAGGAGGTGCCACGTGTTAGTTAGCGGGACTACAGCGGACTAATGAGGGGGGGTTCATTTATTATGCGAGTGCATTCATTGTGCGAGTATATACGGCATTTTTTTTTTTTTTCCGGCAGCTTAGGACATGTGGTTTCTCATTGAAAACATGTGCGCAGCATCGCCCACAGTTGGAACTGGCTTTGGCTCGGGTTCTCTCCCTCTCGTCTCTGAGAGCGCGCGTGTACGGCACATGTACACCATCACACAGTCAGAACACTCACCATCAACAGTCAGAACACTCACATTCCTGCTGTTGTGCGAATTGACCATCTACGAATCAATGGATCACATGAGCACACCCAAAGGGTGTCACAGGAAAATAACTTCCAACGCGTCGCTTTCATGACACTTACTGCCAATGGCCGTCCAGATGTGACCAGAGGTGATCCGGCCACGCCAAGGTGGGCTCCGGACCCGCTCGGTGCCAAGGCTGCTGGGTGGCTGAGCAGGTAGTCCGTGGCCTGCTCGAGGGAGGCAGAGTGCGCGAGGGCCTCCGCGGCCAGCTCTCGGCAGAAGCCCATGTCCATCAGCTGTGCAAGAATGACCGAGTGAATAAATGTAATTTTTCCTCTTTCCACGCGAAAGGAAGCAGAAGATTACGGTTGTGGCCTGACAAGCTTTTTCTGCTACCATTCAGCACAGAGGCCGCATGCACACAAATCATGCAAACATACCGTACATATGAGATTGAACTAAAAAGCCATGAAAAGAAGAACCTACATTAATAGCTAAATCCTACGGTCAATTTTCAAAATACTGTTGAATTTCAGTAAAACGAACACCGGCCGCTTCAACGAAAAATTCTTGGTTCCCCGTCAGCAGTTCATAGGAGTCAATGCATAAATACAGCAAAATCTTGTTATAACAAAGTTGAAGGGGAGTCATAATTACTTCGTTATAACCATTAGTTCATTATATCCAATAACCATTTATACCAACAATTAGAAAGCTAGAGAGGAGGCACTCACCTCTTAATCTAACACCAGCATGTCATGCAAAGAAAAAACTGCCGGTGCCCAGAGAAAAACTAGAAGAAAGCAGCTAGGAATCACTACTTCATTCCCGTGAACTCTGTTTAGCAGCTGGCGGCTCACTTTGTAGAGATAAAGGCCTTGATAGATTTCTGTAGGAAGATGGCTTTTTCGGCTGCAGCCGCTATTTCAAGTCCATCTTCGCCGTCCTTGTGAGCGTCGAAGAAGCGGCGCAGCAGGTCTGCCCCATCCAACTCTTGGGCGGACGTAGGTATGTCGGGTTCGCCCCTCGGGCCATCATCGACACACTCGTCACAGTCCTCATTAAGCTTCCCGTCACCGCGCGCACAATTTCCGCTTCGGTTAATTCTTCAGTGGACACCGCGTCAGCATCGGCACTGATGTACTTGCAAAAGGTGTTGCAGTCGGGCGCAACACCGGCATCAAGAAGAGCGTCCCACGACGCTAGGGCTTGGTCGTTCGTGTCACCGTCATTGGTGACAATACCAAGATCTTCGCCGCAACCGCCGCTGCTGACTCCAAATAAAGCATGCCGGAGGCAGTTGGCGACCATGCTTGAAGTTACAGTCATCTAAGCAGTCTGTAACATCTCGGTTGCTAAGTATAGGTCGATCGTGGTTTCGCGCTTCATTCTGATATTTAGAATTCGGCCGATTACTCGCTTGCGGTAGCCAGACTTCCAAGTTCATGATCCCCCCTTGGTTAAGGGGCTGCACTACCGTAGTGCTGTTTGGCGAAAAAAAGCACAGCACGATGTTCTTGAGCACAACGGCAGTGTGGTGGGCCGAGCAGTCGTCCAGGACGAGGCATATCTTGCGGTCTTGCTTGCCCAGCCACTCGTCCCGCTCAGTGCAGCCATTGCGCGAAAATGTCTCTCGTCATCCAAGAGTTGTGGTCGGACACATAACTCACTTCGAGTTTTCTTTTGCCTTTAAGTGGGACTTCGAAATAACCGATTTCGGGTTAATGAAATTTTACTGTAGTCAATTTAGTCGTTAAAGTGACTGGTGGCTTGACTGCAGAAGCTGGCGTGAAATTGAAACCTGCCCTTTATAGACTCACTCCTTTTGGTGCATCCACAGCAGAGGCCCGAGAAGAGCCAGTTATTCTCCCTGCCCAATTTACTTAATGACCAATGCCCCTTGCTCACCTGCTGCAGGTGGTCTTGGTTGATGTCCTCGTGTGACGATGCTCCCAGGGCCCCTCTGGAAGACCGGACACTTCCGTGTAGCAGCGCACCATCAGACGCCGCTGAGGAAGCTGGGCCTCCTGAAGCACCAACAGCCGACGCTGTTTCCTTTTCCTTGGCAAGCTTATCCTGCCAACAAAAAAGGCCATGCGTCATTACAACATGCCATCACCCATTATCACTAATAGCGCTAGTCCAAACTACTTGATATGCATTAAATCACTAAGTAACAGAAAAATTGGCAATTCGCTTCGCTATATCAAAACATTGTTAAGTTAAAATTTATTCTTTCAAGTGTAGCGTGGTCATTTCCTCCCAGGTCCTCAGTGCTCTGCACTTAGTACCTCTTGTACCACTTCAAAGTTACACCACAGATACCCGATTAATGCATTGGTTCAACTTTCCTCTTTATTCCGTTCTTTCCCTCCCTCCCTCCTTTTTCCTGTAGGCCGTGTTCACTAGCAGGCTGTAGAATGCACCTTCAATTCCTTTTATTAATGATAAGCCCTTTCTCCAGCGAGAGAAGGCGAGTGCTCACATGCTTCAAGTAGTTTCAACAAAGAACCGACCCGACCTGACCCACCTATCTATATATCTATCACTTTTTTGTGGAACTTGTTCATAAATGCTACTCCAATGTAAATACCTGCACATCTACTTTTACGTCTGGCATTCCTGCTACACATTTACTCAGAAAATCTACTATTCCTAAATGTAAACTGCCCGAAAGGTACACTACCAAACAACCACATCAAAAATGTGTACAACAGCTCACCCGGATGAGGCCTTCCCCACGCAGCAGGTGGCAGAGGATGGCCAGCATGGACTCGGACATGCGGTCGCCGTACACCTTCAGGGGCTTGCGATCCCACAGCTGCATGATGGCGTCGAAGGCCCGCTTATGCGTGTGGATCAGGTAGAGCACCGGGCTAAAGGCCGGCACCGTGCCGGTGGTCGCCGACCGGGCAGGCAGCGTGTGGGGCGACTCGAGCACCATGCGGGGGTTCACCATCTTCTCGAGAAGCATGAGCCAGGCATCAAGAAACTCGCCCGTGCCTTCGGGCAGGTCGGGGCTCTCCAGGCCTTCGCTCAGGGGCACCTTGCCGCCACACGTCAGGGCCCAACGGAACGTCCTGAAGATTACAAGAGAGTATACTTTGAGGGGTACACTTATCCTAGACATTTTTCGTGTATTTCTTCAGTGATCTTGACCAAACTGCACAGGCTTATGCAATTTTGTTTCTGCTAATTTCAAATATGTAATTACTTTTCCCATAACTCATCTTGTTGCTGAGACAATTTAAATTCACCCCCTATTATTCAAGGCTGCCATAGAAATAAAAGCGCTGATTTAAAAGTGATGTTTAAGATATGGAAACATAGACTAATGACCAGAGATTGAAATAATGCAAGAGCTTTAGGGTTTTTTTTTTTTTGCCTTCTTATGTTATTTGACAGCAAAATGAACTTTTCTCTTTCAGAGGCAATTGAAAGTATGTTACAATTTTAATGAGTACCGTATTTACTCGCATAATCCTCGCACTTTTTCCGCCAGAAAATCGATGAAAAGTTGGGGGGTGCGAGAATTACGCGGGGAAAACTTTCTACGAAAACGTACAGAGCGAAAAAGAAAACGAAGTGGCCGCAAATCTTTAAGAAGTACTCATTAAAACTTACCTCAACAATAAAAGCAGAGGTTCAACACAAGACAAGATTTAATTGAGACACAAAAAGTGGAAGCAAATAGTCGAGAATTAGAATACCATACGCAAAGCTTGCAGACGTTACGGGTGTAGCGGTAGCGTTCGTCGCTCAACAGGAGCCCTTAAAAGGTAAGCGTGGGACGTCAGTATTGGGCTGATGGCTGTTTAATAGAATTGTCCGGAGTTTCCTTCTTAAGAAATAAAGTTTACCATCAATACCAAAGGCCTCCTGGCGGCCCTGTTTCCGTTCTTTAGTGCATTATCTATCACTTGCAACTTGAAAGCGGCCGTACAGCTTCAGTATCGCCTCATAACTTGACAAGGTTACTGACGCAACATACAAAACACGCCGCAACGCGCACTGGCCACTTCGGCTTGGCTTGAGTTGGATTGAATCGCTGTGCAATAGTACGCTTGATGCTTAAGAGATGGCGCCAGATGACGTGCGCTATCATCATCAGTGGCTGGAAAGAGCAGACGACATTATTGCAGCAGTTTTCGGGGGTGTGATAATAATTTGAGGAAAAAAAATCGTATTTTTGTTGGGACGATGGGGGGGGTGCGAGAATTGTGCGAGTGCGAGGATTACGCGAGTAAATACGGCAGTTAACTAAAAGGGCTTGCACTCTGAATTCTGCACGCATACTTGCATTCTATAGACGTACAGGTTTCCATCGCAGTAAGAATCATTGTTTGATTGCCATAGTTGCAGAGATATCGAGGCCTCAAAATTGAACAGTCAAAAATTTACTTTTTTGAAAAAAATGGAAAAAGCTGATAACACGCAGTTTCTTCAAAAAACAACAATCACGGTGTGCATGTTTCGCAACGCTCATGAAGGCACTCATAATTATTGGTAGCAGAGCTTTGAATACAGGTGCTGGCAAATTATAAAGAAGCCACGAAGTAGGTTCTCCATTTTGTGCAGGTTCTGCATTTTGTTAGCGCCAAGAATCTGGACAGTCAGATTGACATTACACAGAAATTACCACTTCCTGGTGTGTGAAAATTGGCAGAGAGATAGAAAAATACTTGTGGAAACCAAATATGTCAACCTTAAACAATAAATTTTTTGGCACTTTTCAGTCGCAAGGACCAGTCCGCCCCTTTAAAGGGCCCTACAAGTAATCGCCGAACAACCTCGCTATTGGCGTTTATTGCCCCGGGAAATTGACTGCCACAAAGATATTTAAACTTTGTCAAGTACAAACGGACTTGCAGGCCTTGTCGCATGCTTAAAGGGACACTACAGTGAAACAATGAATAGCTGTACATTAATACATTGTTCTACGAAAACTCTTTAATGTCGTTAGTCTTGCAATCACAAGTTTGTCACTACAAGAAAAAATCAAAGTACCATTTCTGAATTCCGCGCCGAAATCTGCATGCTTTACGTCATGAATTGCAAAGCTTACTTTTCTAATTTTGCCAACATTAGCTTGACAAAACAACTCAAAACGTACTACGAGCTACATAGGCCTCAGTAAACACTGTCCAAATTTACGACATGATGTTGAGTGTGGGAATTTCGGAGTGGCATCGCCACCCGCGATTACTTTTTTACATTCCTCACTTGCCAAGCGTCTGGTTGTGGAGAGCGTGGCGGGGTTTTGGAATCGCACGCATCGATACCTCGAGTATTTCCTTTACTAATTATCTGTGAATGTGTGCATCACTTTTAGTGAGAGCACAAGCGCAATCTGGACAGTGTGCAGGCAGCTCTGGTAACTACGTTGCTCGCAATGCTCAAATCAGCCAATGGCCACGTCTATGCGTTCCAGAGTTAAAAATTGACTTTTTTGGGGGGGAGGTGGGTGGGGAGGTGCAAGTGGTACACACATCCATTGTCAGGAGAAAAAACGTGCGATTCCTAGCAGACTGAAATTTACTCGTAAATTCTATTCCACAGACCCCATTAAAATACTTCGCTCACATGTTCGGTGGAGCCTCTGCTTTTGACCAGACGCATTTTCTGACTACATTCAAAAAGCGTTGCTGGCACGTCGAGTTCTACCCGATTGCAGCCGATTTAAGTCACTAGCATGACAAAAAGTGTACGACAAGCCAAAACCACTACGCTATAAATACCGCATTTACAGTTTCATGCATGACATGCAACTTCTTCAATGGACATTTGCCATCTTTGCCCATGCTACATCTGAAACTATCAGATGCACTGCAAAAAAAACTAAGAGCCGCCACTCAATTTGGGAAAGAAAAAAGCAAGAACTCACTCGAAGAAGGCGTCTTGTCCTCCAGACGAGAGGAACCGCTGCAGCATCAGGTGGTACGGGTATTTGCGTTCGTCAAACAGCATCGGCGATGTGAAGCCCACCGAGCAGATGTAAAGGTGAGCCTGCGCAATTATTGATGAATCAACCACTCCGTTTGTACCCGCGTGTCGCGAGCGATCTGCCAGTACTGTGGTTAACACTGAGAAGAAAGACGAGAAGAAGTTAAGAGAATGCCGAGTAAGATCGTCGCCGACAGACAATTCAGATCGACACCAAATTTCAGGAGCGTCCACTTAATGCTTTATCACCTTTGCAAGGTGATCAACCAAGAGCGCAAATCAACTTTGCTCTCTGAGAATTGCATTTCAAGGACAGTAGACAAAAGCCGACCGAAAATGCAGTCTGAAATGAAAGCTACAGTTAAAAAAAAAACTATGTATTAGCCTGCTTAGGCAAGCCTTGTTTTAGGGCAGTGGTTCTTAGCCATGGATGTGTCGGGGACCCCTTGTTGACTGGAGGAAGTGATGGGAGACCCCTTGGAGCAGAGGGAGGGGGGATACGTAGGTAACTTAACAAAACTGGAGGGTGGAACAGGTGGCTTTTGTTGCAAACAAAAGCATCAAACAAATGTGCCCTTTCATTTCGGACAATCTATCAATACATGGCACAGTCGCAATTAAACAGAGTTGCATAGGTAAAAAGTTTAATACGTAAAAAAAAAAGCGAATGAGGGTTTCGCGGATCTTAGAAATGGCTTCACGGGACCTCCATTTGAGAACCACTCTTCTGGGGTATTCAAAGTGGCACTGCTAGCAGTGCAAACGTGTTCCATACAGAGATGGTTTGACTGTATGCAGTTCACAGTCATATCACGGCAACGGTTCAAGGATGAACTGATTAACCAGGCTTTCGTAAAGGAAAGTGTAAACTTAAGGGCTCGTTTTCTGTGCGAGATACGATATTAATGTGGACTAACAGACAATAATACCAAGAGAAGTATAGGGGATATTGCTAGTAGTAATTGTAACGTAAATGTAAAGAAAGCAAAGTGGACGAAAAGAAACTTGCCTCCGGCGAAATCCGAACCTGCGACCTTCGAATAACGCGTCCGATACTCTACCACTGAGCTACGGTGGTGGTGGTCCCCCCGCCGCCCATGTGTGCATTTAAACGTGAAAGTGTCAGCCAGTGCCACCTGTTCCCTTTGTGGCGAATGTGGACGACTCGTTCTTGCCTGTTTGGCGTCAAGTGGTACGTGATCTTATTTACGAGACGGCAGCTGATCAATATTCCCTCGCATAGCACCGCTTCTATTAGGTACACTTACCCTTGCTACAACACTTTTTACTCCGCCTCTTAAAATTAAGTGCCTTAATTTCTGGTGAGCTCTGGATTATCAGTCGACAACATTGTTCCGTTGAATCGTCAGTGGTTTAGTATTTCGTGTAGCAGAAAAGATGCAGTCACACAAGAGTGAAGGCTAAGTTGTACAGCACAGTTCCCATCAAGACACACAACACAATCGCACACAAGTTGACGCACAAAGACTTGACGCAGTACCTGGGACAGCCCGACTCATCGGGGGTTAGCACCTAGTCGTTATTTCTAGACAATAAAAAATGCGGGAGGGGGCCGAGTCTTACAGCTCGAGGTCGATCCAGGGTTCCTTTAACCTGTGGTCGCATACAAAAATGCACTTCAGTTCGATAAATCAAAGGGATTCACGGAATGCTGATGCAATTACAAAACTAACTTACACCAAGGTGACTGTAAGCCTCTTCAAAATGGCGGCAATGAGCATGATGCTAAAAAAAGAAGGAATCAAAACACATTTATAAAACATCAGCTTTAATATTGCAATGATTATAACGACGGGTGCCCACTGTACCATGAGCTTGTGATGTTTTGCGAGATGGAACACTTGTAACGATTCTCTTGTGACACTATGTCACTAACACCATTTTCTCCTGGATGCCTCTGTGGGAATGGAGAAATACACTAAACACCAGCTAAGAAAAAAATAAAGAAAAGAGAGATGATGAGGGTCACGGCACCCATCTCGCAAACTATATCGATGTTCACAAAGCAAAGCTGGTGTTCCAGCCTTCCCTGTGCCCCCAATGTTCCCTACAGCCTTCCAACTCGTGGATCACAAGTGGACCACGCTGTTCACTTCTTATGTGAAAAACTATGTCATGTCCCACAGGCTGTGGGACTCCTCTAGGACCTGACAAGCTGCCAGGTCCTACAGTCTCTGTTGTGTCCTACAGGCACAGAAATGACGTGTACTACTAGTCGGCAAGGTTGCGCATATGTGCAGCGACGGTTTCGGCGACTTGGCTTGGCTTGTGTGTCGGGAGAGTAACGACGATGGGACAATCCATCCACGACACAGGCACAACAACGATGAGGACATGCACACGCAACGTAGTACCAATACAGAGAAGCTGTATAAAGCCACGTCGTCTCATTGTAACGGCTTGGTGATTTTCAAAAAATAGTTGTAAAGCTCAGAATAAACATGGTTAAGGGGGGACATGGTTCTTAGGGCTCTCCCATTTATTTTTGAACCAAGTGTGACAAACGTTGGCATGCTTACTTAGTTTGTTCTCCGGATTCTAAAAATGTAGCTATGTTTTCTGTACCTTCATTAGTTAATTAAATAATCAAGATAACAATTTCTATTGTTCTTACCATAATAGAAAAATAACCACCTGTCAAACATTTATAAATAACATAGGGATTGACAGTAGAAAGCATAAGACATGCAACATAACAAGCACTTTTTTGAATGGGTCATTATTTCTTACTTTACAGTACACTAAACTTCACAGCCCTGAATGTGGCTATTGTGTGGTCACACAAAAGACTAGTTTGAAAAACTTGCATCAAGAGAAATCAAAATCTGCTTCCTGTGTTGTGTGCTCCAAACGAATAGCTTCATGCTGCAAAATAAAATATTCTGCTATCTGTAATAGTTCCAGATATACTGCAGTAATTTTCATGCAGAGTGTACGAAATTGCCATTTTCAGAAAATAAAGAAAACAAAAAATTCTAACATTTTTAACTGTAAAAATGTATGCACTTATAATTACATAGCCATTGACATATAAATAAATGCTAGAAAGCCTAAGGAGTGCAATGCTGCAAGCTGATCGAAAATTGAACGAGTACTTCTCAAATTACAGCACAGTAAATTCATTGCATGTAACCAAATACAGAAATTTTTATATTAAAATAAAAAAATGAAGCTGCCCATTAAAAATAGGCTCCTAGCATTGTTTTTTGTGCACATTTAGCTACACTGTGCAAAAACAATTACAGCTCTAGCTGTCCTAGGTCTACTTTTACCGAACAAGCAAAAGAAAGTGGTCAAAATCTGTCCTTTGAGAATAATGCTGTTAAGGGGAGATGCTCCTCGAAAAACTTTTTCTTCAGATATTTGTGACAGCTCAATGAAACTTTCACCAGTTATAGAGTTGGAGCTCCTTTTTTCAAATCTGCTTTTATTTTTTTCATGGCTCACTTAGTTAATTTTTTGCAGACCATGCATTTGTAAAAACAATGCATTCTTGTGCAAGCTTAGGCAACAATAGTAAGCACAAGAAAGCTCTAAAAAATAGCCAATGTTGCTCCTAATGAATTGCAGAATTCAATAAAGCAAAGAAACATTGTGTAACATTTGTGTGCTGGCCTAGAAAAAAATTCTAATGCTGAATTTGAATTTTGCAATACTCAAGGAACAAGCTTCTTAAATTATCCAGCTGAATATGCTTTGGAGACCTATGAAAGTTGTTTATTTGAATTCAGGACATGTTAAACATTAAGTATGCCAAGTTTCATTGCAATCCGACTATGTAAAACGCACAAATTATAGTGCACAAGCTCTAAAACGCCGAAAAATGAGGAACTGAGAAAAAGCGGTTTGAAAGTTCAAAAACATGTTTAATACTATACTCTTCAACCAATCTGAATGAAATTCACAGAGAATGTTAGCAAAGCTATCTTGAAAAAGTTGAGTTTCAGAATAACCCAGCACTATATATTGGACTCTTACAGTCTCTGCAAGCTGTCTCCTCCCAACGAGCATTTTTTTTTTTTTGGTACTACGGCGACGGGCCTATGCTCTCAGGCTCATTCGAGGTTTTGGCGGCGGTATGCACTTCTTTTTTTGCAAATGGCAGTTCTTGTGACGCACCGGTTCTTTAACACCAATGATTGCACCAAACCCGCACAAGCTGCTCGCGTCCGATGCCGATCCCACGCGGTGCGACCACCAACTTCACGCTCACAGCGAAGCTGTCCCGTGCATTGCCACTGGCGGACGTCTCCTCGCTCCCACTGCATGACTGATACACGCGGCTTGACGCATATGTGGACGAAACAACAGTTGCAGCACATGCGTCATTTCGGCGCTAAAGTTCCGAAAGCGATGCCTGTCCTTATCGTCTACTTGCCATTACCCAAATAAACAGTTCGCACCGCCCGCAGTTGGAGCATACTACGCCACTGACGAGGTTCTGCATCGCATCGGTCTCACAAATAAATGTTTCCGCGTTCGTCCTGACACTTGCTTTAGTCGACGAACATCTTTATCTTTCCCTCTGAAGCGCTGACGAAGTCATCGACGGTAGGAATAAAGCTCGAACAATCAAAATCGGGTGTGTCGCTGCTGCCGCGGCTAGGCCTAGCAGCAGACGGACCTCTCGCCGGCGCTCACTGTGTTTGGGGTGCCTTCCCTCGTACTGGTGCCGCGTAATGAACTTCAGTGAACGAAAGTAGCATTTCTCGCCGGCATCCATGGCGCGGAAATAATAACTCCAGCGGTTGTGTTCGTCGATGTCTCTACACGAGTGCCGAGGTGTTAGTTTCTTTTCACGTAAGACTGCCGCATTTTCGAGCGGAGATCACGACAACGTTGCGAACACGTCGTTAAAAGCAGCATAACAGTTGCCAATAGCCTCTATTGCGGGGGCGGCGAGCATGTTCACCGCGAATGGATTGACTTTCTGTCGTTCGTCGACGTGCGGCGTACACCACTCCACCAAGATGAAGAACAACCCTTCCACACGAGACCAAGATGAACACGATAGCTCGTGTGTAACGGCAACAGTTTGGCGCGGAAGAAGCGCGATTTAGCGTCAATTTGCGCTCACATTCATCTCACAGGAATGTTACAAATTGATTTTGCGCCAGAAATAATGACGCGAGAAGCTAGAAACTTCTCAGACAAGTGCAAAAATAGGTGCAGATTTCGAAAATGCCAGCTTCAAAAAGTCAATTTTTTTGCGATTTTTGGCCTTCTAAGACCCGTGTCCCCCCCTTAAGCATAGTTACAGGAACTCCTGCAAGAGCAGAAGAATGACAACATGCACAATTTGCAAGAAAGGCCATTGCCATCACTATCAATTCTCAGCGTTGCTGGATGAAAGGACTCATCCGTATTTAGAGCATTTCAGATCGAAAAATACTGCTTATAAAATGACTACGTGCTTTTGGGATTAACTATTGCAGCTACGAACACTGCGAATGGTAAGCTTTCTGTCGCGCCAAAAAAAAAACTGGTTCAGAAAAATTGTCAGTTGTCGGACCCTTTAACGTGCCCCGCAATCTGTGTACACAGCTTCATGCATTCTCACCTCTACCGAAAATGTGGCTGTCGTGGCGGTGATCCCATGTGTGGCAGCTTGGGCTAGTTAGTATGGCATGACGATAGTTATAGCGCGAGAACAAAACGACAACACAGAGACAAGGAGGACACGAAGGAGCGCTCGTGCCCTTGTCTCTGCGTCATGGTTTTGTTCTCGCGCTATAACTATCGTTGATCGATCCCACAACCTTTGGAAGAGCAGTCAAGTACCATAGCCACTAGAACACCACAGTGGGTGTTTAGATATGGTTTTGATTACTGAAGCCTCAACCGCACCCTTGAGTCAATGCCAACAGGGTCAAAAACGAGTTCATTTGCATACCTAAACTTCGGCATGGGAGAGGTAAGAGGTGGCTCCCAGGATAGACCGTTCGCCAGTAGTCTGGTCAGAGCCGAAGCCACTGCCCGTGCAGAAGGGGACGGAGCCGTGGGGGATGGCGGCACCTGCTGACCACGTCGCTGACGCATCGGGGAACCCACACAGAGCTGGCGCACCGGGGCAAAATGAACAAAGACGTCATGATGATATGTGCGGTTTAACGTCCCGAATAAAGACGTCAGAAATGCAAGAATGCACACATTCCAGCACTGACATCATATCTGCCTGAATAAGAATGCCCTTAGACTGTACATTTCTCATTCACATTAAACATTATTTCCTGGCATTGTGTTTGTCTTAAAGTATATCTCTATATATAGAAACCAGTTTTGGCAGCAGAATGCAACAGCTCGGATGCCTCCCAGCAGTACTCAGCAGAGAAAAAAAATGAAAAATCGGTACCATCGAAACAACGCCATACAGTATCTGTCCGATTTCCGGTTTAAAAGTATAAAATCCTGAGGACATTCTTTTCTACTGTCACATCACAGAAATGAGTCAGCATAATTTACTGGCACACAAGCACTTCACGAGTTGGACAGAGCAGCGCATTCTAATGAGGCTATCAAGTAACCACAGTTCATTAGATTCTGATTAATTTTCCGATTAACCTCAACATCATTGAAAAAGTGATTTGATAAACAAAACCAGAGGCAACACTTTGAATTATGCTTTTGGCACACTACCAAAACATGTTTACTGAAAGATGCTTCCGGACAAACAAACAAGAAAAGCAGTTAACGGCAAAGTTATTTGTCAAACACAAAATACAGTAGACTCCTTTTGAACGAAATCTGCAGGGACCAGGAAAAATGTGTCCTTTAAGAGGAGTTTCATTTACTGAGAGAGCAATGAGGGTACAATATTCAAGTAGGAAACCAAACATACCGAGTGGCAGTTGTTCCATTTAAGCAGTGATTTCATATAAAGGGGTATGTGCCTTTCGAAATGAATTTTGTTTCTTGTTGGATGTTGATGAAAATTGGCACAGACACTAAAAAATGACCTCAAAGTGGTTCCATGAAAATTTTGAGGCGATAACACAAAAACTTATTGAGATACAAGTTATTTCTTTATTGAACTTCATGGAGGGGCTGGTGAATTATCAAAATGACAAAAATTGTGGGTAATTACTGAAGCACAGACAAATGTTTGCTGAAGGGGGCTGCGTTTTCCAAATAATTTTTTTGCAGCACTAAATCTTGTAGTTGACATTTTCTAGAGCGACACTGCAATGAGCCCACTTGCACTACAAACAAAAACCCTACGAAAAATTGTTTAGGGAGTAAAATGAAAAACTAAGATTGCAGCCCCCTGAAACACAGTTCAAGGAGCGTTACAAACTGAATCAAAATCGGTGCAGTGGTTGCAAAGATATCTGCTTCTCGAGCGTTTGAAGTTTCATCTTCTCTTCACGTCTCTTAAACACCTAAAAATTGTGATCTTAGGTTTGTCCTGTGATATTTGACTTCTCAGGCATCTGGCCTCTGCCCAGTGTGCCTTGGTTGTCAATATATATATTTTTTTTTCATAACTTTTTTTTTTATCTACAGAGGAAGTATGGATTTTAAACCAAGTTCTCTGTTAAAGAAGCGGTGTGATATTACAAAGCACAAAATAGATTGCAATTGAATAAGACCATACACTGAAATGATTAGACTTTTGTGTTCATGCTGTAATTAGCATAATTAGGTACTTCTTGATTACAAATAATCACTGAACATTTTTTATAGAGAGAAGTTTATTGCATAGGAAAAATGGCTCACACCATGACTGCCTAAGCCTTCTTTCCAAAATAACAGTTATGGGCAGGAAACTGGTGGCACAGAATTTTTTTAGCAGTTTATTTAGTGACACGAGTCGGGCATATAAAAACTCATGCCCCTGCTTCATACATGCTCTTTTGCCACTCTAGCCGTAAAAAACATCATCATACGGCCAGTCACGAAAACGCTAATCTACAAGGCTTTCATTGTCTCAGAACATTCATAGACTCTCGCGGCGATACCAAGCAACGCTCTAAGCACGTCTAAATTGCATCACAAAAGCTTATTGACAGCCCTTTATATGACCGAGAAGTGTGCGGCTGCGTGGACAGCGCAGCCGGCGCGTGATGCACTTGCCTGCGGTGTTCGGTGACAATGTGCGAAATGTGTACCTACGATGACAAAAAACTGGCGCACACTGCACTTGTTATCGCATTTTCGAATGCCGATGCGCGAAACTGCTAGCCGCTGTTCCGAGCAATCCTTGGCAGCATAGGGGGTTGGGGGTGCTGACGAGCTTGACAGTGAGATCTGGTGCCAATGCGTAAAATGCCCATCCGTGGTTCTGAGGAGCTAGCAAGTGATGTGCTTCCTTGCTTGCGAAAAACCACATTTCCACAAGTGTTTTAGCGCAGCGTTCTTGCCCGCAAAGTTCGTATAGCCGTCAGTGGAGTTGTGCCCGCGGTTCGTACACAGCGCGCCCGCTCGCGTTGACAGGCCGCGCTCGTAGACCAGGCGCCCGCTCGTAGTAATCTGATCGTGAATCCGCTTATAGCTTTGTTGCTTGCGAAGAAGCACGTCGCCACGAGTGCACTAGTGCGTCGTTCTTGCCCGCAGTCTCGCCATCAGCGCAGTTTCGGCCTAACGACACCCCGTTGACACACCGCACCATAGACCGCCCGCCCACTTCTAGTAAACTGATCGTGAATCCGCTTACAGCTCCTAACTAAAGCGTAATTATATCATGAGTGATTGTTGAGCCGTGAACACGTCCTGAAGTAGCGATTTTTGACAACCATGTCCTCGCGACGCACGAGCAGCAGACGATCTGCCGGAGCGAGCTGAGGAAACATGGCGGCCACAGCGAATCAGGGGCCTCGAAGCGACCTTCATATATTTGCTTTTTGTGTGCTTGTTTTTAAACGAAGGAGCCAGCTGGGGCAGGAAATTTGAACACGCAGAAACTCTCTTTCCGATGAGCCCAAGAAGACTGCTCCCGGACGCGCCCTCGCGAAGCTATAATTTTTTGAAAATTGATGTTTTCTCGCCATTTCCAGAAACTTTTGCTACTTAGCAGGGTGAAACGAATTTTTCGAAGCACTTCTGTGCGGTTTTCAGTGTTGATATTTTGGAATCAGATAGAAAAATTGTTCCAGAAACTGAAAACTTCATTTTTTAAAAATCGACTTTTTTTTTGCCATTGCTTGCGCTACCGAAGCCGTGTCCCCCTTAAGGGGGAAGCCAAATAAATTGTATAACATGCCGCCGCAGCAGGCGAGTGGCCAGCGAGCGCTAAAAATATCACAACTTCGTGCGTTTGCAATTTCCCAACCACGCAGCCCAGCGCAGCTATTTTGATCTTGTTTTGCTCGTGAATTCTTGCTTTTTTTTCGCCACCCTTTGCAGCAGCAGCGGCGTGGCCATGGCGAGAATCCCTCATGATTGGAGGGCTCTCAAAGTTTTGAAGTCTCACGCGGCTCGAATGCACAGCCGCGATTGGAAGAAGCATGCGCCTCTCGAGGAAGTGGGCGATTGCGCAGCTCCTATTGGCTGCTGCGCGCAATGACTATCTGTTCCCCTGGCTCGCCGTCTGCTCTGGCGCCGGTGCTCGCTCGGCGCGGCCTTGCAAGCACCGGTGTTCCCTGGGCATGCTTGTGTGTCCCGTTTGCCGATAATGCGCCTCCACGCGCCGCGTCTTTTTTCTATCTGACAACGGCATCATTCCGCTCAGTTCTCACACGTGCTCTTAAACATTTCACTTCACGAGACGATCTTTCGCCGTATTCACGGGATGCTGATTGTTGTTCTGTCGCTAACGATGGGCAGGGCAAAGTACGGAACTTGGCATGTGTTCTGCTCAAGTAAGCGTCCGATGAAGCCCGTAAGCATGGTGAGGCTCGTTCGCGTGCCAACACGTGGGCAACAGTCGCATCGATGCTGAGCAGCTTTTCTTCATCTCTTCAAGACCATGACTGCATTGATGATTATCGCAACATCGAGAATTCGCGCAACGCTCTGTCGTTGCAAGTGAGGCTGGTGTTGGTGTTTCGTGCTCAACTGCACCTGATGTAGTGCGCTCGCTCTGCAGTGATTACAACTCCAAACAGTGTGACCGCGTTGTCGACTGAGCATTTCCCAACACGTTTTTGGACGTGGGAGTTGTTAGCCGTAGAGGACAGCGAACGTGTTGCTGTGCAACCAAAGCTCGGCGCTATGTCGGCAACAATGGGCAGCGGAGAAAGACCCTTTCCATGTGAAAAAGGCTCAGGTACGGCTGCAACACAAGCAGGAAAAGCGGAAAAGGAAAAGAGTCCTAAAAAAAATTTCTAGCTACTTTGCAGGGTCATTTTAGACCAAAATATGTGTTTGAAACTTTCAAAGCTGCTTTCTCGGAATGACCTTTTTGGCCAGTGGGGCTGTTTAGTCTGGTGATATCTCTGCAACCGTTCATCTGATTTCTATCAGATATGTTTTACTATGTACCATAATAAATAGCCCACACATTGATACAGCCGTTAAATTTATTGCATCTGTAATTTGTGATAATTAAAATTTAATTTATAAAATCTTAATCAAACACCAAATCCAGTGCTCTGCTAAAAACTTTCAACACGAAAATTTAAAAAAAAAATGGCTCTGTCCTACTGTAAAGCACCCATCCAGAAATCGTCACAGTGAATTTCACAGTGCTAGCATATTTATTAAGTTCACCAGAGACTAAGAAAGCTCTGTGGACTATCCTGAGAAATGGCTGTAACTTTGGAAGCAGTGATCCTGAATGCATGAAATTTGGGGTTATTCAAATGGCTGTATTGCTAGCCTACCCTTAAAGTTTCATGAGGATATCTCAACAAACAAAAAAGTCGCCCTTCCATGGTAGCCTCCCCCCTTAAGAGAGTTTCGTTCAATGGAAGTCTACTATATCAATGAAATTAACTGTACAGAGACAATGCAGTGGCTATAGAGACAAAAATGCTCTCTTGACAGTGCACAACAAGCGTAAACTTCCACCCTGTTCCCACTAGTTTGCTGCTTTTTCTTTTTTATTGCCACGATCAAAGGCAAGTTGCAAAAGCTAGTGTACATTGCAAAATCTACTTTGTTTAGGAGCTCCAATGCTATATGTTGATTAGAGTACTACTTAGAACACCTAAAAAGGAACACTTCATCCAGAGGCATGGCAAAGCTGGTGAATATGGCCAATAAAATCAGCAGTATGTCCAAGTTTCTTTTTCCTGTCTCTTGTTAAGGGGGCAGACTGGTCTTAAACATTTTTTTGTTTATTTCTTCAGTGATCTTGATCACACTGCACAGGGTTATGCAGTTTTTTTCTGGCGATTTCCAGTATTTAATTAGTTTTCCTGTAACTGATCGTGTTCCTAAGATAACTTAAGCTCACCCCCAACTGTTTAAGGATGCCATAAAAAAAGTGTTTAATTAAAAGTTATATTTTAGATATGCCAACATAAACTAATGACTATAGAGTGAAAGTATGCAAGAGTTTTTTGCTTTTAGGCCTTCGTTGGTTATTTTACAGCAAAATGAACTATTCATTTTCCAAAGCAGTTGGAATTGCATTACAAATTTGATTATAAATTAATTAAAGGAGCTTGTGCTCTAAATTATGCTCCCATACTTGCATTCTACACATACAGGTTTTCAAAAGAATTGTTGTACCTGCCCTAGCTGCAGATATATTGAAACCTCAAAATTGAACAGTCAAATTTGCTTTCTTGAGAAAAATGGAAAACTGAAAACACACAGTTTATTCAAAAAGCAACAATCATGGTGCGCATGTTTTTCAATCCTCATAAAGGTGCTCATGGTGTGTGAAAATTTGCAGAGAGATAGAAAAATACTTGTAGAAACCAAATACAGTGGAGTTCTCTGAAACGGAACTCGAAGGGGCAAGAAAATTTGTTCCATTTATGAGAAGTTTCATTTAAGCAAAGCCCACAAAATGAATGAAATATGGCTTTATTTCAAAAACACCAACTGTGGCCGACTTAACAGAAACATTATGAAGTATGCAATACTACTATAGTTGATTAGAAAGAAAAATGTTTTTAATATTGCTGACTTGGGAAAAAGGAGGGGATAACAAGTTGCTTGACCTTGTTCAAGCACTTTCTCACACTGTAGGAGCGCATTGCTGAAAGGTTAGGCAGGAACTCTGTGCCGCCATCGTGTTCAAAGTAGTGCTGCAACAAGATGACAGCATCTCTTGCTGCACTGTCAGCCACTGAAATGGGCTCTGGATCACACACCATCTCATTACCCCTTGAGCACAGGTCCTCATTTTGAACTACAGCTATAAGTTCCTTAAGGCTGTCCAAGCTCACGACGAGACATCAATTGCTGCTCGAAGAGCGCGGACATGTGCAATCACTGGATTGGCTTGGCTTGGCTAGGCTAGCTTTCACATTTGTTTCATGGTTGCTAGACTGCCAAGGCCACTTCCGCCGTTCATGAATTCTGCCCGTTTTAGTTTCATTTAACTGAGGCAAGCTAAAACCAATGTTCCGATTACCCGAAAGTTTTTATCATTAAATATACTGGATACCAACTAAATGTGCCTAGATAGTTTCGTTTATGCGGCTGTTCTGTTTAACCGAGTTTCGTTTAATGGGCGTCAACTGTAAGTCAATTTTAAAAAATGAAAACCTAAGACTAACCAGTCTGCCCTCTTAACCATTTATTCCGTTGGTCTTTTAGAGATACAATTACTGAAGCCTAACTGCGTTGAGAATATTACTAAGCAGTTCGCTAGCAACAACGAACCGGCCTACCTTGACAAGAAGGCCAAACAGTTCGGCGAGTGCACGTCCCAGTCGCGATGCTCCCGTCAGCAAGGGCTTGATTTGCTTAACAGCTGCCTGCGAACGTGTCTTGTTGGCCTTACCATCCACAGAGGTGGATGATGCTGCCCCTCCAGGGCTGTCCGCTATGCCCACATCCACCTCCATGCCGTTCTGTGGCGGCGAGTCGTCCAGGGCCACTGCAGACGTGCTCGCCACTGCGTCTGGCATGTTCTGTGAGAGGTAAACATGCAATCCCGGTTAACGATCCCCGAGCCCAAGTTCACCCCTTGTGTACTTGCCACTTGCAAAGAGCCTGGAGACATATGTAAGAGGTGTACACTAAGGGAATGAATGCCCAACCTTAAGAAGCAGCACACATTTACACCTGCATGTAGCAATCAACCTGCAGCAAGTTTCAAGCAGTCCAAACTTAATATCGATACACTGCTTTGACACTAAGTTCTTCAGCAGCACTGCAGTTCCTGCTTTCGCCTGCTCCATAAATATTCTGAAACTAACTGATTTGATGCGCTTAGCTTTGATTGGATATGCCGAACATTCTTGTGAACACAGAACACTAACAGCTTGAACTGAAGTTTTAAGACCAAGAAACAAGCCCAAATTCATTGACACTGAAGAAAACTTGAAGTATCCACACTTGCACAAGGCAGGTCTCTTGCATGATCTTTAGAACAGCACAAAGATAGCGCACAAGTGCTTCTTGTGTGTTTGTTCATTGTTAATAAGCTGCTTCAACGATCGTTACTTTGACTGGCCCACATTGCCGCCTTAATGAAGTCCTTCAGAAGACGTCAAGAATAACTGGAATTTTACGTCCCAAAACTAAGACAGAAGCGTGAGAGACACGTAGTTGAGGGCTCCGGAAATTTCGACAATCTGCTGCTCTTTATTATGCACTGACATTGTACACCAAACATGGGCCTCTAGTATTTCGCCTCCACCGAAATGCAACCATTACAGCCAGGATACTTTCGGGTCCTCCGAAGACTTGAGCGTACCTGCAAGGTGCCCTGAAGCCTCTGGAGTTGGTGTCGGCCAAAGGGGCAGCCGGGAGGCAGTGCTGAGTCATTGCACAGAGCCAGCAGTACCGTGCTCTCCCATACGAGCGAGGTGTAGAGCCGGGAGAGGCCTCGCAGCACGCCCAGGCCCAGCTCAGAGCCCCAGTGGCTCATCGAGATGGAACGGATCTCGCTCTGCACAAGGTGCAAGGACATTAGGCACGCCACAGCACTAGGTTTGTTGGCATACTCGAATGCTTCAATTATTCAAATGAATAATACGCTATCTATTTTCCCTTCAAATCGAACGAATAAGTGCATATTAGCTTGAACGTGACACCCTGTAAAGGTGGTTTCACAGTAGTCGTGTGGTGCTAAGCCGTGAAAGCACTTATTCACATGTATATTAGTTTGCGTGTACCTCTCCTGTTGAAGTGACATCACTGCAATAAAGTGGTGTTAAGCCATGAAAACACATATCTAAAATAATTTGCACTGTTGTGAAGCCCCACTTTAAGGTTAAATGAGGACATTACCTTCACACCGATCTATTTTTTCAAATTTAAAAAGCTTCTTATGCCGACTTATATAGCGCTATGTTTAGCAAATCTTAAAAAGTAACATTTCATGGGCTATCACTTGCATTCAACAAAAAGTCAAATCTTGCTACCGTGTAAACCGGACTATAGGTCGAGTGGGAATATAGGTGAACCCCCCCCCAAGTTCAGGTTACTGAAAAAGAAAAAAAAGGAAAACAACCCAAAACTGCCGCACCACATTTATTCCTGAATTGGGCGCACCACACCCCGATCGTCGAAGCTCCCCTCTACCATCATCGCAACTGGATCCTATTCGTACGATAAAGCACCACTGGCTTCCGAAGACGAGAGTTTGTCGCTTGGCCGCCTCCTACAGTGCGTCGCCCTCCGCACCATCCAGCAAGTTGCTGAAGCAACATTTCTTGAAAGCCATTTCCACAATGGAATCTGGCAAGGAACGCCAGGTGGAAAGCACTCAGCCACAAACAGTCTTAAGCAGTCGCAAGTAGGCGGCCCGTCGGTGTCTGGGTTGTCGCCGGACATTCACTCTTGGAACTCCAGCCTCACTCGGTCCTTGAACAGCTTGTTCAGCACAACCTCGAGTGGCTGGAGGGAGGACGTCATACCACCTGGTATCACGGCGGGGTCTGTTTTCCAGTCGCCAAGTGCGCGTTTCACAGTGTAGGTTAAGTGATCACGAAACGCATCCAACACCAGCATGCTGCGAAGATGCAGCAGTGCACCTGGCCGACGGTTCCACACTACTTTTATCCATTCGAGCATCATGGCCTCGTCCATGTATCCCTTCTAATTGACGCGAACGACAACACCGGGCGGGAGCACTTCCTTCGACATTGTCTTGCGTTTGAAAATGATGAAGGACGGAAGCTATCTACCATCTGCCGTGCATGCCAGCATGACGTTGAAGCGCGAGTGCTCGTTGCCAGTGGACAACAGCTTCACATCCTTGGCGCCGCGGTGCGTGATCGTAGTCAACGAAGGCATGTCAAACCACACAGGGTCTCATCGGCATTGCCAATCTGCTCCATCATGTAGCCGCATAAATCGACGCACCCAAGAGTTTGGTGCACGAAACTCTTCTCTCGTGCGCCCAGCTTCTCGAGCGAGTTCCACGGCTTTCTTGCGAATGGTATCCACAGTCACTGGCAGCGAGCGCGCACAAATTCCCCGCACAAAGTGCGCTAGCTTATCCTCCAGCTACGGATGAACGGCACTTCGTCCACGAAACGACATTTTTCGAGGATTGCACATCTGCAGCTTCCCTTTAAAATTCGTTTTCGCCAAAATCTGAAGTTTATTGCATCAGGCAGGTTTAAAAAAGTCCTTGATGCTGCCTTGCCTCAAACTACGCTTGGAGGCAATTTGGTTTGCCCGTATTTGCGCCAAGGTGACATCGTCGCCGTAAACGCTCGACAAAATTGTCACCGCGTTGGCGATCTCCGACGGCTGCGGGCGGTCGTCGTTGTCATCCGACGACAACGACGACCGCCATCCGGCGTCGACCGTCATCCAGCGACATCTAGCTGCGAAACGTCCACTCTCTATTAGCTTGATTATGGCAGCTTTCTTCTCCATCGTCAGGGTCGTATACTTCCCACGCTTCTTCACACCACCTGGCTCCCGCGATGGCACAGATAGCGGAGCCATGGCACCGAGAACACAAAATTCGATGCCGCAGATAGCCGTGCAGAATGGCGACTGAAAAAAGCTGCAACGACAATAAAAGAATCCTTCTTTCGCCTCCTCCCCGTGCGATGTGATGACGATAGTGCTGACCGAAGACGAAAAAACGGCGTCCATCACCGCGTCTTTTAAAAAGCAAACACGGCCTCCGAAACTTAAAACATGGCGTGCGCATTCTAATCTCGGAGGCAGGAAAAGCATCTGAAGACCAAGCTTAGCCAAGCCGACAGAAAATAGCGCATGCTTTTTTTCCGATACACCAAAGCAGCGCTGAGCAGCCATATTCCCGTTCGCTTCTGCGAACTGAACAACATTTAGTTTAAACGCAGCTGAGTACTGCCTTCTCGTACCACTACTCATATTGAGTGAACGAAAAAAAAAAAAAAACAACACTAAAAATGCAGTGCAATCTCAAGCGGAGCGAAAACTTTGAACAGATTGGAAGCAAATCACACAAAGAAAACAGACAGAGAGAAAAAAAAAACAGCCTGCGATTGGATTTGGATGCGGTTATGGCCGCGTCCGGCTTCTCAAGCACATGCAAGCCACATGTTGCTAGACAGCGGCGCACTTTCGGCTGGACACCGCTATATAAGACGAGGGGCGACTTTAGGTTAATATTTTACTGAAAACATTTCGACTTATATTCCAGTATATACGGTACTATTCAAGTTGCTTCTACTTTTTTATTGAAAAAAAAAAAAAGGTATTTGCAGGCAGAGGCCTTGTGTCATTTTTTTTTAATTGAGCAGGTTTGTCAGCGCACAAATACAACTCAATATTTGCTACTTTACTTCAGGTTAGTTAGGTCATAAAAAATATACCAATTGTTTTTAAAAATGTGATATGTAAACTTCTTGAATTTGACTTGAAATTATTCGACCAAAATCACTGTTAGCTTTGAACCTAAAATTCACTATTCACACAAGCCTACACAGTATGCTTTTCCTGGTAAGGTGACAGATGGAGCGTGTTGCATGAAGAAAAAAGGGAGGGGGGGCAAATCCGACATTGCGTGCAAATCAAACATGCATGCTTGTGGTGCTGCTGGTCTCTGACATTTACAGCAACAAAATTTTGGTAGCCGACAAAATATTGTCACATCCACAATAGGTTAAAAACGGTAACCGGGACTGTTCTTTGATAACACACACAGCAGACCTCTTTAGTCATTCCTCTAAATTCAGACAGGTGTTACGATTGCAGTTTTCACTGCACTACAAATGAGGCAAGATCTTTAAAAAGAGAAATGCAATCAAACTGAAGTAGCTCATGTCCTAGTTTTCCTACGAGTGTTTTCATGAAATGGCTACAGGGCACTCAAAGACAAGCTCAGGAAAGAACACACAGGTTCCGCACTGATCCTTGTTCCATTCTAAACTTCAGTATAATTCTTCTACGCTGTTCTGGGCTAACTGCCAAGCAGCCCAAAGAACTCCACAAATAATCCGGAACCAGGGCCTCTCACACAAACTCACCTGGCCAGTGCGGCAGACGTGCACAAACATCACGATGTAGGCGTGAGTGGCAGCCATCGCGTGAAGCAAGGGCGATTGCTGCTGCGTCGTCACTGTAGCCGCTGCGCCCTCACCACCTTCGCTGCCCGATGCTCCTTGGGAGGTAGCCAGGGCCCCCAACAACTCTTCGAGGAGCACAGAACCCCCCGGGGGATCCAGGGGCTTGTGCAGGGGCTCCAGGCTTGCCAACACAGCACCCAGGTGGCTCAGACCCTGCTGCAGCACCTGGGCCTCGTGTGCCAGGTTCTGAACATGGGGCAGAAAGAAACAAACACATTTGACAAAGGCTGCAAGTACCAGGCTTGCCAACTTTCATGTTATAGAAAGCACAGCAAAAGGCCAAGACATTACGGTATGATCACTTCAGTCTAAAAAGTTTAAAACTTTACAGGCATTTATGCTCAATTATTTATGATGTTGCTATGACGTCGGCAAACAAACATCCAACACAAGTTGACATGTAACCTTGAGTCATATTTAAACTAATAGCTCTAATAGCTAATTTTCAAACAAAATCCTGAGGTCTCACCATGTTGAGAGTAGTATAGATAATTACCGTATTTACTCGCATAATCGGCGCACTCGCATAATAGGCGCACCCCTAGTTTGGTCGCGGAAAATTCGATTTTTTTTTTAATACCGCGCATAATAGGCGCACCCCGAACTTGGCCGTGATCAGAAACGATTTTACCCCCCCAGCGGTACAGTTGGAACGCGGTCCCCGTACCCTGAAGAAAAAAAGAAGGCAAATCGACGAGCAAATAAAAATTCGAAGTGCAACGACCTAACCAACGTGTTTGTCGAAATAAAACTTGAAAAAAAAAAAAGCGTCCATGAGCGAAAAAAAAAAAACAGGCTGTTCCATCAATTACTGATACCTCCAAAATCGCTGCGCTTTTTGGAGGTCACGTGTACAACACCAGGGGCTCGATCGCCATCACCACCATCAGAGAAAAAGAAAGAAACGCCATTTTGCACGCGGTGTGCGTATGTTGTGGTCGTGCATTGAACTTTGGTTCCACCATGGGGAAGTACGCGAGCTACACGGCTGGGTTTAAACTGAAGGCAGTGCAGTACGCGCTGGAGCACGGCAACCGGGCTGCAAGCAGGCATTTCGGCGTTGGAGAAACCAGTATTTGGTACTGGAGGGACCAAGAAGAAAAACTTAAGGCGACGAAAAAGACACGACGGGCTTTCCACTGGTGCCAAGACCGGCAGGTATCCGAACGTCGAAGAGCAACTGGTCCGGCATATACGGGAGCTACGACAAGACGGCTGTGCTGTGTCGTTGGATATTGTGCAGACTGAGGCGTGCAGAATAGCCCGAGCGCAGGGCATCGAAGCAAAAGAGTTCAAAGCCAGCTCCGGATGGACAACTTGTTTCATGCGGCGCCATGGCCTCGCACTGCAAACCACCTTGTGCCAGCGCTTGCCCGCAGCATATGAGGACAAAGTCGTGGACTTCCACAGTTTTGTTATAAAGCTCCGACAGCAGAAAAACTTCATTTTGTCCCAGATCGGCAACGCTGATCAGACCCCTGCTTTGATATGCCGTGGAACATGACAGTGGAGAAGAAAGGTGCACGGAGCGTCATCGTCAGAACGTCTGGCGCTGATAAACAACGATGCACCGTAATGCTGGCGGTGACAGCGGATGGGCGTAAGCTACCGCCTTACGTTATTTTTAAACGTAAGACGCTCCCAAAGGCGAAATTCCCTCAAGGCATCTACGTCAGAGTCCAGGAAAAAGGCTGGATGAGCGCGGAACTCATGGTGGATTGGGTGAAAACAGTCTGGGGTCGGCGGCCGGGTGGTCTGTTGTTGCCGTCCATGCTTGTCCTGGACAGTTTTCGTGGGCACCTAGTAGACCGCGTACGAGATGAGCTAAAGGAGCTGCGCACAGATCTGGCAGTGATTCCGGGCGGCCTCACATCGATACTGCAGCCTTTGGACGTGTCCTTGAATAAACCTTTCAATGACAATGTTCGAAGGCTGTACACCACCTGGATGGCTGGAGGACAACATCAGCTGACTACAGGTGGTAAGATTAAGAGGCCGCCTGTGGAAATGCTGTGCGCTTGGATCGTGGAAGCGTGGCAGGCGATCTCCGACGAAGTCGTCAGGAAAAGCTTCAACAAGACGGGTATCTCGAACGCACTGGATGCGAGTGAGGATGACATGTTGTGGGGTGCGGATGATTCGGACACCGAGAACGAATCCCCGCTCGGCGAGGATGAATGTGTGATCTCCGACTCTGACTCCGAATAGGGAAAAGGAGGAACAGCTACGACTTTTGTGTAAATAAATTTTACGTGTGTGTGTGCAGTTGACGGCTCTCGCTTGTTCATTAAAAGGTACGTAGGTATGTTTGTTTTATGCTGAATTAATTGGTAAACGATAAAGTTGCCTTTTACTTGACAAGTGTGCAGATTTAAAGCGCGAGAACCGAGTTGAAAAAAAATTTCATTTTACCCCGCGTAATTGGCGCACCCCTAACTTCGAGCCAGATTTTCTGAAAAAAAAAGTATGCCTATTATGCGAGTAAATACGGTATAGAGGCTCTACTGTAGAGGCTCTACTGTAGGAAAGTGTCACTGAGCAACATTTAGGGGGGCCGCGAGGATCAGATTGCGAAAACCGTGAAAAAAAATCAATTTTTGGAAATCACTCCATGCGGCATCTACAATGCTTATTCTATGCTGTACCAAACAGATTTGGCAGAAAACCTACTCTAAATGCCCGGAAAAACAAAGACAAAAAAGGACGTTTTTCAGTGCCATTGGTGAGAAAGAGGCTCAAAATCGCACAAGAACACCGATGTTCATAAAGCAATTGTTCATCTTTCGCGCCACCAATCAGTCGCCATCTTAGTATTCATTGAAACATCGATGCTTTGCTTTCCTGTTTTCGCACATTCCAAATGTCACCGGCAAGAAATAAACGCACAAAAAGCGAAGAAGGAGCACATGTTCATACGGGCAATCCGAGGGCCGTTTTTTGAAAGAGCGCCTCCAATTAGCTGGCGCGCTGTAAGGCTTTCGTTGGCCGCTGTTACGACAACAGACGAGTAGCCACCGCTGTTTGCATCGCAAATCACGTTTTGTGCACGCTTTTTTTACACATGTTGATGAATATATCACTCATGCCGTTACGAAACGTCGCTCATCAAAAAAGTTTGAAATGACTCACGTGTTTGGAAAACGAAAGTTAGCCTCCTACAGCGAAACCGTTAGCGGGAGCAGTGGAACATCTAACAACTGTATTGGAATCAACGGAATACGTGGATAACATGCCAAGTTGCCTAGCACTGCGCCACTTCAAGAACCCAGCAGTGAATCCAACAACCGCACTGTGACGACATCAATAACACCGTTGTGTAGTGATCGTCACACAACACTCAACGAAGGACGCATCCGATGCTTCCCCGAGTACCATGACCCCCGATGCTCGACGCGCAGGTGGCTTGCTTGCGTAGCCAGCATGAAATGGTTGACTGCCTGTTTGGATGATAAATCGCCATAGAAGTCTGTGAAATTGCGCCCATTATGTACGAGCAACTTTCGATTGTCGACAAGCTTCGACGTGTGTGATCGCTTCAAGTTGCTCAATGGCACCGAACACGCACCTCAATGAAATCACCGACAGTCGTTCGGATCAAAGGTCACCGTCACGGCAATGCCTGCGGAAGCGCACCTCTCGTCAGAGCGAACGATCCCCACACGTTGACGTGCTTCGACGGGAACTTCGATTCACTGTGTGCCAACGGTTCCAAAAGTTACAAAGCGACGTCAACCGTTCATCGCACCATTCAAGCACACTTGGTGACATGCTACTTGTCAGGGGGAACGGTGGAGGCGCCAAGCATCAAGCGTTCACGACTCTCTTCACACTGTGTCGGCTACTCTGCGGAAGCCGTCTCTGGTGGGCCAGCAAGGCGAAGAATAAATTTCTGGGACACCTGGAGATGAATTTACACTCATGCAAGCTGCTGTTATCAACGCAATGATGGCTGACACTTTCTGTCCGAAATGCCGAAAAATTTCTGTGAGCGTGAATTTCGAAACAAGGCTGGGCCTGGCCGCGAAAAGGGCACTGTCATGCAGTACTTGTGGCAGCATAATCCCCCACTGGAAGGATGATTCAAAAGTGTTTGATGTGAACATTCGCTCAAGTCACATAAAACAAACCATTGGCAAGAGACAGACTGCTCTTAATGACTTGTGGGTCATTATGAACATTTCTCACTGCGGCTTGCATCATAAAACCAACCAGGGGGATTTGAAGCTGTTATTCAAGCCTGCAAGCTGAGGTGGTTTCAGACAACTCATTAGCAGGTGCTGTTGGTGCCGTCAAAAGAGTGCAAGGAGAGATCAACATTGGTTTTTCTAAAAATGCCACCATTGCCTACGACGGTACCTGGATGACACATGGTCATCCGGTCACATATAGGGGTAGGGTGCATAACAGAGTTCCATACAGGGATTGTGCTTGACAGAGTTGTCTTATCCAATTTCTGCCCCAACTGTGATATGGTACCAGCAGAGGATGAACCTCTGTATCCCCAGTGGAGGCAGCACCATCAGCGTCAAAAAACCCAGACATTGGATTTGGTCGCATGGAGGTGGAGGCCGCACTGCAGCTTTTTGGCGGGTCATTGACTAGCAAGTCGAAGGAACTGCAGTGTGGTCTCTGATGGAGACAGCAGAGTTTTTTCAGGCCCTATACAATACAAATAACTAAGGAGTACTGTACAAATCCTGTGAAGAAAATAATGGGCACTGCACTCCTCACTTTTGTCAGAAAAGCAAGCAAAAGGGGGCCACTAGGCAGAAAAGGAGGCCTCACACAAGGTCTTATCAAGAGACTTGCCAATTACTAAGCAATAGCTCTTCGCAATAACAGCAACGATGTTGCGGCAATGCACAAGGACGCGATTGCGACGCACCACCACGACACATCCACAGATGAGAGTCCCCACCATGAGCTACGTCCCCCTGGTCCTACGAAGCTGGTGTACGCACAGAGTCGCAGAGGCAGAAGGACGAGCACAATCAGCCCAGAAGTACAAGCCTTCAAGCAAAGTTGCCTAAGCACTGTTGCTGGTGAATGAATGTCTTGCAGAGACACAGCTGCTTGAGCAGCGAATGCAGCTGAAAGCTTGCATTCTGTGGTATCGTAAGGACCAACATGTCTCGCTTTTTGCAGTAGACACAGTGGTAAAGAAGGCAGTATTGAAGTAAAATTCAGAGTGCATATGAATGTACTCGAAAATGTGTGCCACATTGGGTGTACCTCCTGGTTTCATTGCCCTCCAGAGGGCTCAAGAAAATAATCGCCAACGTCTCAAGACAGCGCGCAAAAGTAAAGCAGCCAAGAGACAGAGGTCCAAGAAGATGCTTCTTGGCAATGATGCCAATTACTACAGGCCTGGGGCATTCTAATAGTCATGCAACATTTCCAAAACTTAAAAAGCCATTTTCTGTAATTATTTTTTTCAACCACTTCGCTCGTGGAAAGCATTGCTCGACTATGGCTGGACCGATTTTCATTCTGTTTAATTCAAGCTCATGGACACATGCATATCAAATAATGTGCAGCTGAAAATTTATAGGCCAGTAAAAAAAAAATCTGCCACTGTCTTTGGGTACAAGCAATACTTCTATACATACACAGTTGTTCCAGAACTTTAGCACGTTTCATTGCTGTGCCAGATTCTCCACAAGCGACGAACTTGAGAACCTTTATAAAATAAAAATTAGCAGAGATATTTTTACAAAATTTGCATTTGTCCCTTTATTGTGATTTGTAGTGTATAAGCCAAATTTCATCAACCTAGGCCAAGAAACTAAACAAACTAATAAGTTAGAAACCATCCCAATGTCCCCCTTAAACAGGAACAGCAGGAACAGAACACTAGCAGTACTGCAGCATTCTCACGTTCACCAGGTTCTCACTACCTGGGCAGTAAAACCTTGATCAGGTGCACCCTTAGAGCACAAGTCACACACAAAACTCAGAAAGAATGGTTACTGACCAAGATAGACTTGCAGACGGACGCCACCGCCTGACAGGCCGGCGAGACTGGGAAGTCGACGGGCAAGTTGGGCAGGCCCAGAATGCTCATGAGGGGCACAAGCCCCTTCTGCTGTACAAACTCCCGGCAGTGGTCGTCGGTCGAGTTGTTGCTCAGGATAGCGTCCACGAACCGCATCACATTCAGGATGTAGTCCACCAGGGGCACCGGGGTGCGCGCCTCGGCTGTGGTGCCCCCGGTGCCGGACGCCGCCTTGCCTTCATCGTTGGCCTTGGGCGTCGACGGCACCGTGGGTGCCGGGTCCACGTCCTCCTCCTCTTCTTCTTCGTCCGAGGAGCCCGCATCGTTGGCCATTCCAGAGCCTCGACCACCGGCTCCACTTCCAGAAGCCCCGCCCCCGTGGCTGGAGGCCTGGGCTCCGCTGCCGGAGACTCCGCCCGCCTCACTCTTAGCTGCTGGCCGGGAGCACACGAAGGCCGGATTGCGGCCCACGGAGCACAGCTCTTCTAAAAGCTGCGCAGATCAATCACGAGAGTTAGCTGGTAAGATGTTCCCACATCGAGTATGTTAAGTACCAGCAGACCTGCATGCTTAAGGACTAAGCATATAATTTCTATGTTGAAGAACTGTACCATTTTCTTGGAAAATGCGCGCATCACGCTTTGACGTACACGCTGTAGATAGTAATGCAGCTCTGCAACTATGCTCACCTAATCGAAGTACAATCACTTTTTGCATTGCTGGGAAATATTCATGTTAGAAAACTGGAACAGGGCACTAAATCTGATGGACTGTGCACGTCAAACTATTAGTGGCTTGTGCAGCAAGTATTTGTTTTCAGTGTTGCCCGAATAACGGCGGCATCTCTTGTGCTTCAAGTGGAGACCAGGTTCTAGTTGCAAGCGCTTGGGTTGTCTATAATGCATGTTTATATCAGAAGAACTGATTTGACCTACAACTGAACCATCATACTGCGAGAAGACACACTTGAACTCACTATTTAGAGAAGCAACTAGTCGCCATTTGTCAGGCTGAACTGCATCGAAGGAAAGCCAACTTTACTTTTATGAAAACTGTCTATTTTACATGGCTAACTAAACAAAACCTCAGTAACAACGTACTGTCCATTTGACCAGTTCAAAATTCGCTGAACACATAAAATGCCCGATGATGAGTTCTATACATAGCGTCCTTCAAACAACTTACGAGAGGGGCTGCTTCTGCAAGCAAGAAATGGCCTCACCTTGATAATAGCTGCGGTGGCATCAACCCGCAGACTCGGCTGATGCCTCATCAGTTCGTCCATGGCATTTCCCAAATTGGATGCAGTGTCACCCATGGGGTCTGACGAACGGCGTCGACGCATGGCCGCCAGATAGTCCGGTGACAGCAAAACCTAAGAGTGCACACACGGGCAAGGTTAACTTGAAACAAATGACTCAGCCAAAAAGAAATAATGGAATACTTTTACACACCGCAAATGCTAACAGATGATGCATTTGGCCTCTGCTGCAAGGTCTCTTATTACAAATCCTTGACTCAGTGAGTGGAAATACAGTGAAACCTCGTTAAGGGGGGACGTGGCAAGTAAAACTAATTTTTTTATTAATGTACTGTTTGTGATGAAATTTGGTGTGTGTATGTGGATGATTGTGAGGATTCCAAATATGAAAACCGTTTTCAAATACCTCTTGTACTTTTTGAGTTACAAGCATAATTATACTAATTAATGCTCTTTACACTTAAAGAGATAATTATTGCTAAATGAAATTATTTTTTCATATTATTATGTTCCCAAAGCATCAACTTGTGCAAAGAAGCTATTAGTTGATTTTTCTAGTTCTTGTAACCATAAATAAAATTTCCAAAACATGAATGTTGTTTTGCGCACACATCGCAGTAATTATAAAATGTGTTCTAAAAATTTTAAATGATGAGTAAGAAGAGAGATAAAGCTTTATTGCACTGCTAAAGGCCTCCTGAGCCTAGTGCAAAAAACGGAACGACTCTATCAGTCTTTGTTAGAAAATGACGGATGTTCTAGCGAAGGCACATAGGCGAAAATCAAGAGTTGAGAAAACTGACTTTGAAAGTTCACTCTTGTTTGGAAGTTCACAACATGCCTAAAACACTCAGAATCCTCCTGGGCAGTAATCCTGAGATGCTGTGGCCTTGGCCTCTGTAGAGCGCAACCCAGTTTTGCGCTTCTTTGTCGTGGAATCTGGGCCGAAACTCGCGATAGAATGTTCGACGCGCGCACGCCCGGAGTTGCAACGGCTGCCGACGCGGTGCCACCGCAATCGGGTTCGCGAGAGCGTCCATCACGGTCGACGGCATCCGGCGGTCTGACATACGACGATGTGGCACCTTCCACACTCTCGGCCTCACAACAATCAGCGAAGGGTCTGAGTAGAGGCTCCGTGACGCTTGAAGAGCATGCTCCGTCCGGAACTGCGACTGGGACGGCAGCCGCAGTCGTCTGCCCTTTGTTCCAAGCTTTCCGACGCTTGCCGTACTTGTGGACGCTCCGGAACTTTTTTTGCGGCAACATAGCACCGCAGTATGAGCAAGCACTCAGAAGAGACCACCGATGTAAACAAAGCTTGGTAAAAAAAGCACGCGAACTATCACAAAAACAGCAAACTGGCAAAAAACGAAGCGCACGCCGGATGATTCTCGACACGGCGGCCGCAGATGCGCTCGCGCTTCCAAGGTTGCCAAGGTGCGCGGCGCAGCTTTGACCAGTAAGAGGTCGCGCCTGCTACCACGTGACCCGCGCAGCCAATTGCCGTTCTTCGTTTTCGTTTTTTTACTTGCTCCTCGCGCTTTTATTTTCACTCGGCGAAATACGAGACCGCGACCATCGGGAAGCCGGCTTTCTCCTCTTTCCAAAGCTACCAAAATGGCGGCCCACGGTCAACAACTTGGCGCGTTTGTGCGGCGTGAACAACACCGTTTCAGGGGCTTTTTTTTTCGCACTTTTCGGCGACTAGCCTCGGCAAAAACACTATTTGCGGGATTTGTAGCGCACGTTTCGCTGTAATATTTTAGAACAAGGAAGTTGAAGGTCTGAAGATTACGAAAAAAAATAAATCAGAAAATCGCATATTTTGACCAAAATCGGCACTTTACTTGCCGCGCCCCCCCTTAAACCATAGTTGGTCGGAGCTCGGAAAAAGTACGTACTAAACGGTAGTACTGCTTAACCGAAATAGCGTCAGGTCGCTCACTTACCTGTCAAAAAAAGAAACCTTCAGGGAGTGCGATGAAAGAACAAAAAACGTGCAGTAATTTATTAACTTCGCGTGACAAAGTTTGTAATCTTCGTTTGACTGATGCGGCGGCCTAGCAGCAACGACTGCGGCCTCAAACTCACTTATGAAGAGGGGGCTGGCTCACAGCTCATGCTGTGAGCCAGTCCCCTCTTCTCGGCAAATACCCGCATGACGCTGACGCAATGCGCAGCTTCGGCCACTGTCGGACCTGGATCACCCAGTGTTGTCGCTTTCCATGTCGTCCTCATCACTATCATTTGGCGACACTTGGACAACCGAGGCAACAATGGCTTCGTCAAACATGTCCGCAGATGTCTGCACATCGCTGTCTGCGTCTCTGAAGTCGGGGAAGGGAAATGCCTTCCGTAACGCCCTGCCGCTCCAGCACTTCAGCTAGCAGAGTTTTGCAAGCTTCGTCTACGATGTCCGAAGTCTGGTCGATGGTGTCACTGGCGTCCTCTGCGTCGCCCGCACACACACTGAAGCCAGCACGCTTGAAGCAATTTTGAACTGTCGTTGCTTCAACCTGCCGCCACGAGTATTCGAGCAGGTGAATCGCGCCAATCAGGTCGATGGAGAATAATTTGCCACATTCAATGGCAAGAAATCTGCACAGCAGATTCTTCTTGTAGAGCTGTTTTACAGCTCGAATGATGCCTTGGTCCAAGGGCTGGGCAATCGCTGTTGCATTTGGTGGCAGAAACGCCAACTTCACAGCCTTCAGGTTGTCCAGGGACGACGTGCGCCGAAGCGTTGTCTAAAATAATAACAACTCTTCTGTTCTTAGCCGCAAAATGATGATCGATGAGGCACGAGTACTTCTCAAAGAGTTTTGCCGTCATCCGATGCTTTGGTGTTGCTGCGATAGATGACCCCTGATGGCAACCGGGCGCCTTTGAAACATCTAGGCTTCGCCGACTTTCCAATCACAGAGGAGCGGAGTTTTGTCGATTCCAGTCATGTTAACTCAAAACGCCACTGATATTCTGTCTTTTGCATGCTTTCCGCTAGTGCTCGTCTCGCCTTTGAACGCGAGCGTTTTGTCTGGTAGCAGCTTAAAGAATAGCGCCGATTCATCCATATTAAAGATGTCATCAGGTGCGTAGTCTTCCAAGATGTTCTTCAGCTGACCATTTTGCCACTGCTCCACGCCATCCACGTCAGCAGCAGCACCTTCTCCCGAAACAGTCCTTGTGGTAATGCCGTGCCTCGCCTTAAATCTGGCCAGCCAGCCATTGCTGCATACGAAGTTGTCATGGCTGAGCTGCAAGGCAAAAACCAGGGCCTTCTCCACGAGCAGGGGTCCGCTGATAGGCAGGTTTTTCTACCGTGCAGCTTTTAGCCACTTCACTAGCGCCTCCTCTACATCCGAAAACGCCGGCACCTTTTCGCAGCCGGCACCTTTTCGCAGTTGCAGCAGCACTGCCAAGCAACTTCTCTCTGGAATTCAAATTTCCACACACCATGGTTAACGGCAGGTCCTTTTCGCGTGCCAGCGCCGATTTTTTCATGCCATTTTCAATAGCACGAATTATGTCTAATTTCTCCTCTATTTTAAGCACTCAATGCCTTTGTCCCAGCTTCGGCATGACGCAAGTACGAAGCAGCACAAGCACACATACACAACACGTAAAAAACGACGCGAGAGCTGTACGGCACGGATCAACCAGAGAACACCTATGCACGGCGCCAAAGGAACAAAGAAAGCAAAGCAAGCGCACACCGTGTTTGCGTGTTTGTGCAAAGCACCATCGCGTGGACATCAGAAGCCTAGCCGGCCAAGTGCTTCTTGTTGCAGAAAAATCCAAGAGATGGCGCTCACCAACACAGCTGCCATCATCATCAACACAAACAAGCGAGGCGTGTTTCAATCTCTGGGGCTTGCTGTTCTGTCGGGACGCCCAGTGGGGGACGACATGCCGCGGCGAGTGCGCAACGAAAATTGGAAAAACTGCTTATTAACCGATACATACGCGATAAGCTGGTACAACTTATAAGGATACAAAATGCATTATGTTCAATGGCCGCCGAGTCGAAGATTTGACTGCACTACTTTTAAAACGAAACTACTGTTTACGCGGGTACTGTTTAACGAGGTTTCACTGTACTGAAATAAAAAGGGAGAACTAACAAACCAATTAATAAAGAAAACCAACAATACAGTCCTTGCTACCGATTTTCACAATGAAGGTTGTTCGAAGTCCTGAATAGACTGCACGTCATGATCACTTCACAGTAGAGTAGTTAATGCACAAAGACACCAAAAATTTTAAAATGCACCAATGGGCTATAAAAAGCAAAAACAGCAACTGCGCTTCGTGGCCACGTCCACAACTTTTTGCAAGGTGTATCTTCAGTGGCTCCGAAATAAATCATGGCTAGCGATTCATATGTTTGCACACACTTCTGTGTCCCGTTGCTCAATAAATCTATTTCAATGAAACGTTCCCTCTGGAAAACCAAATCAACAAGCTACCCTATTTTTCAACTGTCGCCTCATGGTTTCTTTTGCAAGGGCCTATTATGGAATTCCACACTCGTACCCACTCATTAGTCGTAGAACTGTGCCGTTCTATGTAATGTGGCATTCAAGCAAGGATGAACGAGAAAAGAGGTATGGGCTCACCTTAAACAGTCGTTCAAACGGCCGACAGGCCACAAATGCTTGCAAACCACGGGCGTTGAGGCACAGTGCACTGAACACATTCGGGAGGGATGCCAGGACTTCCCTCGTCGCTGGCACCTGTCATAAGGAGAGCACACGAGAGTCAGCAGAGGACACAGCCGAGCATGCGCAAATACATAGCTTTGTAACATTTCACCAATCTCACTGCAACAAGGCCGTTATAACCTACAGCCTTGGCCATCTGCCAGCCTCAGTGTGCACTAAATGAACTGCATCACAGCGAAAGATGCACGTCTCTTTCACTTCTGATGTTTTACCTTTACTACAGGATTCTTAAATCTCTGCTTTGTTGCTTTCTCTGCATGACATGCCCGTAATGATGGAAGTCAACCGTTGCAGTTCACACCAAACGAACATGTGCTGCCTGGAGAGAGCGAAACATTGGTTGGTAATATAAGTACACTCATGCCTGAATATAATAAAATATTGGTTATAATGAAGTACAGTGAACTCCCAATAAACAAAATTCGCTTCAAACAAAATGCCTCATTAACAGAATTGAATGGGCTCATATAGCTGGATTTCTATGTGATGCGCAGTAAAAATCATCGGTTAATCGAAACTAGTGCTTATTGGTCACCTCCGGTTAAACGGCACAAACTCTAAACACGCATAGACTCGCTCAGGCCAAAGGTAGTCTCACAACCAAGACAACTCGAGGCAAGCCAATCCAGTAGCCATTCTTGCTTCTGGCTGCTGTAAGAGCCTAGTCGGCGAGACAGTTGTGCGTTAAGCCTATTTGTGCAGCTAAGTGCGGTCGGATCACAGTGTTATTTCAACCCAATGAAAAGGAGGTGGCCGCACCATGCACTCTCGCTTGAAAAAAACTGAAAATTTTTCAGGAGCGGCCTGCCCAATATGATAGTGGCGAAAATATACAACATCGCAAAATCGACGCTGTCGCGAATCTGCAAAGGCAGAGAAAAGATTGAAGGCGCTGTAAAGAACGGGACCTTTGCATCTTATGAATGGACGACGCCTTATGAACAACTAGAAAGAGTCCTTTTTCTGTGGTTCAAGAGCGCACGGAGTTTCAATTTGCCCATAAGCGGACCGAATTCTCGAGCAGAGAGCTCGAGAGATCACCATGCAAACAGGGTGTTGAGAACTTCGTCCTAAGCGACAGATGGCTCAGCCGCTTCAAAACACGCCATGGCCTAGTCTTCAAAGCAATCTCAGGTGAGAGTGCTGCAGTCAACAGGGACATTTGCACCGACTGGCAAAAGGGGCGGCCTAAGAAAATTTTTATGAGCTTTGAGCCATGAGACGTAACGTCGACGAGATGAGTCCTTTTTATAAGGCGCTTCCATCAAAGACTCACCTTCAAAGGCGAAGCCTGTAGTGGAGGAAAATGCAGTAAAGATCGCATCACTGTGCTGGTGGGTGCCAACAAGGCAGGAGATGAGAAATTGAAGCTGTTGGTAATAGAAAAATTAAGGCACCCACGTTGTTTCAAAGGCGTTTGACACCTTCCCATTGCGTACCATGCGAACAGAAGAGCGTGGATGACGATAACCATTTTCGAAAACTGGCTACGAGAGGAAGACGCAAGATTTACAGGGCAAGGCAGGAATGTTGTCGTCATCGTGGATAATTGCCCAGCCCACGGTCAGGTTCAAGGACTTCAAGCCATCACTCTGGAGTTCTTGCCAGCCAATGCACAACGGCAATGATCCAGCGGATGGATCAAGGGGTTATTCAGAACATTAAAGTTCATTACCGGAGACAATTGCTCCATCGATTGCTGCTTTGTGCAGACAGCGGGAAATGCTACAGCATAGATTTATTGGCATCCATCTACATTTTGGCCCATGCCTGGGAGCAAGTGAAGGTAACAACAATATACAGATGCTTTCATCATGCAGGCTTTCATGTGCAAGCAGCAGTACATGATGAAGAAGAAAGCCCTGCTGATGCAGACATTGAGGCAGTATTCAGTGAGGTCGTGCCGTCTGCCTCTCATTCTGCAGGACTACGAATCAATTTATGAAAACATTCGTACCTGTCGTAAGGAGACTGTCGAGGAAATGGATGCCGAAGTGAAAGATGAGGATTAACCTTCCAACGATGAATGGGGGGACAATATTACTAATGTAGTGGTGCCACCAGACCGATCAGCTAAAGAGGCTGTTGAACTTTTGCAGCGATATTTTGAGCATAATGCTTGTACAGATTTTCTAGCTAATTTGTCACACATGGGTGCGTACCTTGTGAAAAAACAACTCAAGCTTGCCAAACAAACCACCTTTCACTTTTATTTTTCTCCCACTCATCCTCATGAGTACGGTGAGGTTTGTGCAATTTGAATAAAGGTTTCGATTCACTAAATCAGTGTACTTTGCTTAAACGAAACTTCTGATAAATGAAACAGTTTTGTGGATCTCCTTCGAGTTCCGTTTAAGAGGGGTCGACTGTAAATAAAGACATTGTTGCAACAGATATAACATCATTAGAAACAAACTTTTATAACGAACTCATTTTGGTCTAATATGCAGCTTTGTTATAATGAGCTTCGGGCATAGTGAGAAAATTAGCTGGCCTCAGTGAAATTTCATTGGTCAAAGCCATACTTCAAGATTCAATCCAATAGTGCACCTGCGCTTCCTCCCAACGTCAAGAATTTAAAGCATTCCACAGAATAAAGGCATCGACCTTTATCAAAACCAAGACTCACCTCTTTCACTAGAAGGGCATGAAGAACAACGTCCGTGAGGCCATTGTCCTGCAACGAAGACAGGAGCGATGGTTCCTGGAAGACGTACACTGTGACCACGTCGGTGGCTGCAAGGGAAAAAAGGAATGTAGGCTGACACAATTAGACTATTGCAGTTCACATTAAAGACATCAATGTAGCGCTACATTGTAATGATGGGAATGAGCCGCCGCCGCCACTACGGGATGTCACGGCAGCAGGGTTTTGGACTTGAAAAGTCTAGAGCGGTGTGGGTAAGAGGCTATGGCCTCTCCACCTTTACACTCTCTCAGCAATCACATGATGACGTTAAGGAATGAGAATCTGCACACGCACGATGAAGCCACGTGCTCCCGCATGGCGTGTTCCAACAACAGTTCGGGACGAGTGACAGCAACAGACACTACAGTGAATTGACGGTGTGCTCATTACAAGCACGCGTTAACATCGGGCAAGGTGCCCGTAATGAACGCAACTTCAAATCGACCCATGCGCTGCTTCGCATGCTACTTCATGCTTGCCTTTATTGAGGGTTCGTGTAATTAGTAATGTTTCATTTGAGTAAAGCACTTCTTATTTCAACAGCTATTCCGGGAAATATAAAGAAAGTGTCTACGGTAGGAACAGATGAAACGCAAGTGCTCACCTAATAGGAACAAAGACGGACCGTAGTACTCGGAGTTACTGATGATGTGCTTCAAGGAACGTGGTAAGGAGCCATCCATCACTGGCCATGAAGGAGAAAAAAAAACATACATATAAGGAGAATTCTCCACCATAAATCAACATTTGATCTAAACAAATCATTGCATCCAAAAAAAAAAACAGTTTCCAGGAGTAAATCAAAAGCCCTTTAGCCGGAACAGTTGCTGGCATTTATCTTCCTCACCGAATGCTACAGTCAGCAAGTCATTCTAATCATCACCATCAAAATTAATTGGCAGCAGGCATGCAAGTGGCAATTCTGGCTAGAACAATTGCAATTAATTGGATAGTACAATTCACCATAAGTAGGTCTTTGAAATCAATATTATAAATATCAATCTAATGAACAATTGCGAAAATGATGCACATTTAAGACTGGCCATTAAAGAAACACCTAAACATCAGCATCTATTGCATTTAGAACGTAGACCACGACTCGGAGTCAGAAATTAACGCCAGTTATAGTCACAAGTAAAAAAAAAAAAAAGACGATTTCCTCACAGTGCCGTATGCTGTCTGCAAACGATGGGTCCTGGATCGCTTTCTTGAGAAAGTTGAGCATCGACTTGAGGAGAGCCGCCCTCTGAGGGAAGCACTGAAGGCCTGCAGAGGACAAGACAAAGGCTTACCAAAAATATAAACACACACACACACACACATACATATATATGGGGAAGAAGCGTATACCTAAAGGCTCGTTTTTCCATTTTTTGACACAATCTCTGTCCGACACACACACACACGTGCGTGTGTGTGTGTGTGACAAAGTGTGCTGAAGGGGGGCATTATGCATCACACATTCACAAGGAATAAGAGGTCCAAACAGGGCAGCACTGGACGATCAGCAGAAATGGTGAGACCCTGAGTTAGCCTACGAAGTCAGCCAAAATGGCTGAGAGGGCTACTACTGAAACAAACATTTATCTGTTTACCATTTATTTAGTACGATATCAATGTTCAAGATGGTGTCACAGGACAGAAAAAAAAGTTTATTTGCGTCAGATGGAAGAAGACGATCATGGACCAACACTTGGAGAACATTTTGCAGCATACCACGAGATTTCGCTCACCTCTTCGAATTTCCGGTTCCTCCTCTAAATCACTGGATGCAACGAGCGACGTTGGCGCTCCGCCTTCGATGCCATCTACACCAGCATCACCTCTCGCGGATGTAGAGCTGCTCGAAGAGTCAACAATCAACACCCGTTTGCAAGAAGTCGAAGGAAACACAAAAGAGTCATGTAGTGAGCCCTAGCTCTTCAGCACTTAATATAAAAGTCTAACCAGCTGTAGCAGTCAAGCAACCTATTCCAGTAAAAAACACCATAGAATGCTCAAATAGTACAAAATCAGCCAACTAAAATATGCGTGCATCCGTGGAATCAAGGCTCAATGCTTCAAAGATGTATCAATAGACTCCCATGTTGCTGTCACTTTTTTTTTTCATGAGACACTGTTTTGTAGGATACCGTGCTCGCTCATGCAAGCTTCACACTTCTTTTCTCAGGCTTCCCTTGCTTCAACAATTCTTTTTGCTTATGCAAGGACACCCAGTGGAGTCCGAAACTCTGATTGCTTGCTACACAGAATACCGCAACAAACAGCGAGCGTGCTATTCACACTTCTAAGTCGGTCTTCCTCGCCACTTACACCGCACTCTCTCATTTCACAAGCTAATGGGTATTGTTATACAATTATCTGCCATGTCCATTCAAGATTCCTGCAGATTTACTTTGAAATCGCATGCCCTGCCATTACAACACATGAAGCAGGGGCGCTACCAGTTTCTGAAAGCACTACACAATTAAACCAGCTATGCAACGACCCACAGCACTGCTCGCACAGTTGGAGCGCATCAATGCCATGCTGAAACGTCGTTATTCGGCAATGTACAGCAGAAGCTATTCGCTTGTTGGCAGTAACTTTCACAGAGAAACTGCACCAGATGGGCCAAGCTTTGTCATGTCTTTTCATTTGAGTACTGCTCACTTCAACCCACAAGAAAAAACTAAGTTCACTCACGCTAGTGACTCACTCCTTGGCGACTGATCCACTTCCATTGGAGTTGGGTCCTGGGCAAGATTCTCGTCAGTCGAAGCAACCGAGGGCTCCCTGTGTCGTGGCCGGATGGCAAATGGCTGCTCTTTCCTACAATGCTCCACTTCGAGCTGCATATACAGTATAGACCACTTACAACGTAACCGTTTATAGTGAAGAACGGATTACAATGCGGTTTTTTTGGGCTGCCATTCACCCTCCCATAAAGCCCCATGTATATGCATACAGCTTATTGTGCAGTCCCCCCAAGATGAAATACTGGTTATAATGCAGTTGCTGGAAAATCCTTGTGACAGACGCGGTAGCGAGTGCGCGTTTAGAAGGAGACGCGCTGGGTGCGCTGCTGGGGAGCAAGCAACAAGCTCGTTATAGAGGAGGGGGGGAAACGGAATTGACGAACGAAGGACGGATGGAAAACAAAAAAAAACTGCACACTGCGAGGACTCGCCGAGAGAGGAGAGCAATTGCCTCGGCGACAAATAGGCCTTTGCACCAGCGCCAACACTGCTACAGAGTGCTTGCGTAGCTAGCGTGGCTACGGCCGCACGCGGCTCAACATGACACGTGCGATCCCGTCTTTATCAACTGAGCTTAACAGCTCCCTGTTGGGAAAACCTTCATGGTTTTCCAGCTTGCTACAAATATCGCATTTGCTACTTCGCCGTAAATTTAAAATTTTTTACGACTTTATGATGCGAGCTTGCACCTTTGCTTTCATGTAAGCTTGGCGCGTTTTTGTCGTTGTCCACCTCCCGGTATCGAACGCAAACTTCGTTTCACGCATGCTGTTCATAGTTCTATGCTTGAGTGCGCTCTTTTCAAAGCTAGGTCTTCATGTCTTGGACAAACTGTTACGCGAGAAGATACCAAACAGCAAGCTAGGCATGATCGGTGTTGGTTGCACTTCAGTAGTGGTCGCAGGCATAAAAACTCTTTGCACTGGCTGCACTTGACAGGAAGGGATACAAATCGTTAATGAAAACGAGGGTGGCACCTGTAGAGCTCAAATGTTGGTTCGAGATTCGATTGCGACGCCTTCAAATCGGGTGCATGCCCGTGAAATCAAACAATTGGGGCCTTTCAGCACATGAAATTGTGCAAGTGATTCTATGTTTCAAATGTGATTTTCACATAGTTTCTGTGTAATGCGCATAATCGAAGCCGTCCGAGGTATAGTCAGAGAATTCCGCAACGACGCTTCGTTTTGTTAAACCCTCATCCTCCCTTTTTGCTTTCATCTCGTAGGAAACAGGGTCCTTGAACTTAACATTAGGAAATTTGAATGGTTGTAAGCACCACGCATCGTATGCTTCGATTCTTAGACACGCGAGGACTACTTGCTCAACACGTTTTTTGCAAGTGCGGCCCTTAAAAAAAGGGTTCTGGCTACAGTGGGTACCGCTTACAGTGCGGATATTCGAGACTCCGGCGACTTGCATTATAAGCTGTCTATACTGTACATACACGTTGGGAAGATTCAGAGATGTGTGAAGCGAACAAAGTTCATGCACAACCACACTGTTTGCACCAGACTCAATGCACCTAACTACAATGATCAACATCTAAAACAGCCAAGTAGTAGGCACCAAAACATTTACGATGATGTAAACGCAACAAAGCAACATTAGAGGGACAATAAAATTACACACTAAATTATTTTAGAATCGCACATTCCTTGGGAACTCCACTGTCATTTAAAACTTCGTGACCAAAGGTTCCTCCTTACTTGAAAGATACATTACTTAAATATTGACCTTTGTTTAGTTTGCTTGCACTGAACCCTGTACCACTACAAAACTATGACGCCTCGAAATTCAAGGTACCTTCTCAAATTATAGCCATATCAGCCCGATGAAATTTTCCAAAACTTGCCTAAGTTGATTCTCTGGGTCCATTAGTACACAATGAGATGAATTCTCACTGAGAAAAGATTATACAGGCCCTAGCAGATGCCACTGAATTATACGACACCATGGCAAGACAATGCAAGAACTTCAGGGAAGTGCCACCACCAGTCACTTCTCGAACATTTTCTTGTTTACCAAAGGCCTCTGTGTGGCAACAGTGGCATTTCTGTTAATTTGGAAGGGCTGGAAAGGTGACTTAATTTTACCAGTACAAGCAAAACTATCTTTCCCTTTATAGTTTCTGTGCACCATTATTGACAAGCTTGGCCAAGCCTTGTACCTGCCAGCCGACGTGCCTTGACCAGGCCAACGTACCTCAAGTCGTCGAATGAAGCTGTTGAGGCCACCGTGAGCCTGAAAGGTCTGCATGTCCAGTCCTGTGATGAGGTCTATCACACGTACTGCGCGGGTTACAAACTGCAATGACAGAAAAAAACAATGTGTCATCACATATATAGCCACTCAAAAGGCACTCAAATGCATCGCATGTACTGAAAGAATGCATCACGGAATCTATGATGCGAGGATATAAACCTCACGTAAAGAATGAAGAATATAAACGTCATGGTAACATTTATCAACTTCACTTCACCCAACACACAAGTTATGGAAGAAACGCACTGGAGAGAAGGAAACAGCACAGGTGGCGCTAACAGTGCACGCTCACCCATACCACACGTCTACTTTACACAATGAGCAGGCATTATGTTGCATAAGACACAGGCAGTGGAACAATCAATTACGTACAGATGTGCTCATGACCACGCATGCATCCAGCACCACGACTCAAGCTATCACATCACCACCCCAACTACGAGTGAAGTGCTTTTGATCGTTACGGTAACATAGCATCACACTTTGAAATCACTCTGGTAGTTCTCTTGATTAAATGAAAGCGCCTTACAGTCCATCTTTCTGAAAGCAAGATGAAAAAAAAATAATAAAAATCTCACCGTGATGTGCTCCGGCTCGGTGCCGTGCCAGCCAATCACCTTCAGGAGAGATTCCACCATCCCACAGGACACCAGCGCTTCCCCACCTGCACAATCACAGGCAAGAGTCTGTCGAGCCTTGTGCAACTAACACAGCTAAAACCATGCCAGCCGACGGCATGCTTTACAAACGAGCTTGGCATGCTAGTTCCACTCCCACTATTACAACTCGGATTTTCTTGTGTTTAGACCAATCTTGCACTAAACAAGTTCTCGATACAGCCTATGTTGGAACTGCAGTATCATTAGAATGTATTTATGGAATGCCTGTATAAGTGACTTATCCCGAACCGGACCATTGAAATCGCACCACCAATGGCTAACAGAAGAACACTGAACAGGTCCATTATTCTCAGTGTTTCCTGCTTGACGAACTTCCTTTACGGCAAAGGCTTACATGTCGTTCAGCGTTACTTCAACAGGCACCTAATAAGTCAATTGCATTTGACATGCCTGATGTCAGTTTAGTGGAAAGGACAATTCTAAGCTGCCTTTTTTTTTTTTTTTCGCATTCTATCAACCTACTTTACTTTCTCCACAGCTAATGAACCAGACGCTGGTTTTAAAGGGGGAGGTGGGGATCGCAGTGCACAGAATGATTGATTTTGTGGGGTTTAACGTCCCAAAACGACTATTTGATTATGAGAGACGCCTTAGTGGAGGGCTCCGGAAATTTTGACCACCTGGGGTTCTTTAACGTGCACCCAAATCTGAGTACACGGGCCTACAACATTTCCGCCTCCATCGGAAATGCAGCCGCCACAGCCAATAGTTGATCCCGCGACCTGCGGGTCAGCAGCCGAGTACCTTAGCCACTAGACCACCGTGGCGGGGCGGAGTGCACCGAATGATTTACAAGGTTTCATTAGAATACTTCCAATAGTTGTGACATTACGAATGTTTACTTGCATCATAGCAGTACCAAACTGCCAAGAACTTGGCTTTGTTGCTAGCGAGGAAGCATAGCGTGGCTTGTTAATTTTTACATGTCCGCTATCATGATGCTCTTTTGGCTGCAAAGTTAGAATTCGCCATGAACAACGGCACCATGAGAGGAGTTAGGCCAGATAGGGCTAACCTTGGCTCCGAGCTGTTAGCTTGATTGTGGCGAGCATGGCCGCTATGCCTCTTTCAAGGTAAACTATGTTAAACGGCTCGTACAAAAGGTGATCCCAATGCTCGCAGTGGCCTTCATCACCAACTCGGAGATGCCGGTGGCCGGGACCGAGTTTGACGGGTGAACTCAATACAGATCCGAGGAGCACTTCGCGATGTTCGGGACGAGCTCATCGCGCTACTGTAGTCTAATGACCAAGTTCCCGGGAGTATCTGCTAAAGCATAATTATTATCGATCTGCAAACACACAAACAGTCCGAACACGACTAAACAGTTAAATTTTCAACAGCCGTGACCTCACAATGTAGAAGCTGCAGATAAAACACACGCACGGAGCAACCATCGGACGAATGGCGTGGCGTGCCGAAGCATCATGGCGATCCCAGCCAATCGAGGGCCTCGAAACCACCTTCAGACATTCACGTTTTGTGCACTTGTTTTTGAAGGAAAGGGCCAGCTGAGTCAAGAAATTAGAACAGAGAGAAATTCTCTATTAGACGAGCCCAAGGTTGCCGTGCCTGGTTGCGCCATTGTAGAGCAATAATTTATTGAAAAATGCATTCTTTTCTTTAATTTCCACAATGAATTCACCACCTCTGTGGGCACAAGCTTTAACAGCACTTCTGCGTGGTTTTCAGTGAAGATATTTCGAATTTAGATCGAAAAAGTGCTACCGAAACTAAAAATGAGATTGAGAAAATTGTTTTTTTTTCCCTAATAGGCAAGACTTAGCAGTTTCATTCCAATGCCTTTTAAAAAACAACGTACCAAGCTTGAGACCCCACAAAAGCACATTGCATAAGTCAGTTACCCAGATGGGACCATCTAAAGCTTCACTACAACAGTCTGGATGTGCAATGCTTGTCAACGAAGCATGGTCAGCCCCCACTCACCACTCTCATAGCTGGCCAAGTGGTACAGAAACGAAAACAGTGCTGTGGCGAATGGCAAGGGGAATGGGTCGGCACCAGGCTCTGCAAAGAGAAATAAAAAAGAATTAGAAGCACTAGAAGAAAGACTCACTTCGTGGTGTCTAGAGGTTTTATCAAAACTCGCGGCAAATGTGAACAGACAGTGTACAGTGCACACCCATTACTAGTGATTCAAACAGCTACAATTGTCATGTACAACACCAGCACAGGTTCTCCAGGGCTAAATGTAGTATGCATACAAATACAAAGACAGACCAAACAAAAGCTTTATTAAATTAACATTTATTTACACCATTCTCTTGTGCACAGCAGTTCCATAACATCAGGGTTCTGTTACACGACTCTAGATTCTCTTTAATGACACGACTGCCATCAAAACGGTGCACACAGACACTGATTCCACATTTAACTTTAATGCTCCAATTATGACGCTCAAGACCTTTCAAGCAGGCATTCCTAAACCACTAACGATGACAATGTCTTATCTGGTAGCGCGTGACTTCACAAACCTTCACAAGGGATCACAGGCACGCAGATAAGGAATGTACCCTCACCCGTGAGCGACTGAATGCAACTCCTGACGAGCACGGGCAGAAAGCCATGGTAGGATGCGGCACCAGTTGCATCAACAATGGCGCCGAGCCTAAAGGGAGAACACAGGACAGACGTGTCAGCTTTTGTTTGACACAGTGATTGATTATTTATTGGCTGACCGAGTCATTCATTCATCGTAACTACATGACTTACCGCAAAAAAGCTTACCATTGCACATTTCTACGACAATTGCCACCTCACCACCTTTGTATACTTTAGATATGGCACACCAATCATTCCAAGCACACACGGGCACATAGTATCGTGTGCCCTGACCAAACATTGCAGGCGACCTGAACACTCAAAGCTAAAACTCAAAGCAGACACCTACTCCACTGGAACACCAAAAATATCAGTAGCTTAGATAACAGCATTCAAATTACAATTTTTGATGCTATAAATCAAAACGCAAATGTGACATATGTATTTAGGAATTTGCACAACAGAACACGAATTACAGCATTAAGCCTGGAAATGGGCCCCTACAATTGCTCGCAAGCCTACGTAATGTGTACAATATGAATGGGTTGACAGCAGTTACAGCACAAGTATTGTTTGGATTAAAGTTAAAAGGTAACAAATAATGTCTGTATACATACCGCATTGGGCCGACCAGTTTTTGGGTGCTGTGAAACCAAGGGTCTAGCTAAGCCCCATTAACGTGTGCCACACTTTGCCAACCATACCATGAAAGAGTGCCCTGAAAACACCGCAACAGCAGTGACTGTCCCAAAACTTTGCCGCATACATAAAGCTGAAACTAGCCTCTTTTTTTTTTTGTACCATCACTGATGACCTGCACCTACAGAACAACAAACGAATGGTGAGATTTCCTAGATAAAGCAGGCTTGTGCAATGCAACGCAGCGGGAAAGAAAAAAGCCCATTACCCGGACAGAACATCAAATTACTGGGGTTTCACTTTGCAATGCTTACAACCCTGTCAATGTGGCCAGTACAGCCACTTTATCATGGGCAACGCAAACTGTCGGATCAATGTGCTCGCCTTCAATCGGTGTTCTGTCATGTCAATTATTCACTCAACATTGCACGATAATGAGATTTTTCTTACAATACAGGCTGAGAGTGACATTCAACTTCAATCTCCTCAACACCCCGCTGCTGCCTCTAAAAACCTTGCCACTCATCTGCCATTCATCATCAATGTGCAGGCACATTACAAGCACTGAAAACATCCTTAGGACTGGAAAGCAGAAGAAAAGCATGCGGAAGTAGTGTGTCCACCATCACAGTGTCCATAACATAAACAAAAAGTGACTGAAAGGTTAAAAAAATTAATATTAAAAAATCCACATCATGCTTAGGCCCTCCTTGCCATTTACACAACACTCCCATCTACCCCGATCCCTTTATATACCTACTTTAGACTAACAAAAAAGTGTACTTGGCCCTGTATAATTTCTTATTGTATTAATATAGTAGATGTTATACAAGCCCCTGTTAATATTGGTCTTTTCACAGACTGCATTATATTTAACAATAACAACAGCCCTAAGAGCCACTAAGTACTATACTGTCAATACTAATAAGTGGCAGCTGAAATACACTAACCTTGATACTTCTAGCTCGAAAAAATAAAATCGTTTAAAAAAAACAGTCGCGTGATCAACTGAAATGTGCACCTGCGGAAAACAAGATGAGCTTCACTGCAGCACAGCGGTGACGCGTAGGCAGCATGTCGCATGCTTCTCGCAACGTCAGTGCATCATGATTTACCCATTCTTTCTGGGAATATAAAGAAAAATAATAAAGGACTAAAGGACAGTCTGGCGGAATTCACTATGTATGCAAACCTCCAAGTTCCGGTTGCTCCAGCAATTTTCGCACTTGCACTGCTGGCCGAGTTCTTGCCTGCAACGCCTACTTCGGAAACTCGGTTCAAAAGCTTCAATGATCATGTTTTCTAGCCAAAACGCATAGCAAATGTCGTCACACTGTCCATTATTAAATTCTTTATTTTACTAGAAAGAATAGGCGGAAGCGAGAAGCAGGCGACATGCTGCGGGCGTGTCACTACTGTGCTGCAGTGGAGATGTCTTGTTTGTCGCAAGCGTGCATTTCAGTTTAGTTTTTTTTTTTTTTTTTTTTTTTTTTCGCTGGCAGCAGTGAGGCTCGGCGTTCCTTCTGGTTTGCAGAAAAATCGTGGACTGGTATTGCTTGAAAAATTAACCCTTTGAGCTGCAAACTAGCCGGAACAGCAAACAACCAGCCCTGATTATACTTCGAATAATTTCAAGTCCTTTGCATCCCACTTTTTGTATGTTCCATTAATTAACCCGCCTAACTCAAAGATTTCTCACGGTCTCAGTGAAAGGAATGAGCGCAATATAGATGACGATTATTGTTGTGGGACAAAATGACACCCTTTTTACTCACTCTTTTGTTAGAGTGTGTACTTAGAAGATGTCCGCACTGCCACAAAACCCCACTTCAAAATTAAATGAAGATATTACCCTCACATCGATTCATTTCTTCAGTTTGAACGTTGTTATATTGACTTATCTGCTCCTACTATAGCAAACTTTAAAATGCAACATATTTTACAGGCTATCACTAGCATTCTCCTGAAAGTCAAATCCTGCTACCATTTCAAGTTGTTTCCCCTTCCTTTCATGTAAAAAGGGGGCATTTGCACAGGCCTTGTTTCAATTTTTAAAAAAATATTGCGCAGGTTGCTTTCGTCATGACAAACAGTATGCCCCGTTTTCTTTATAATATGCGATATATTATACTACTCGAATTTGACTCAAAAATATTTGACCAAAATAGTTATACACTTCAAACCTGAAATTTACTATTCGCACAAGCCTACATCACATGTAACCAAGGTATTTCATCGTCTAATAGGGCTTCATCATACAGTGTGTAGTTAGGCAACTGCCACAGCAATGCATCAGGCAGGAAAGGAACAACACAGATCAAAGGACAGAAAGAAAGCATGCCAGCAAACCAACCTGAAGCAAGTCTTCAAATCTATGCTGGACAAGCCAGCAGGAGAGAAAGAAGAAAAACAAGACAAACAAGGGAAAGAAAGAAACAAGAGAACTCAAGTCATCACACCAGGCAAATAAATATCGGGGCGAGCATAACCAAACCGACGGTGAAGCATGCAAAACACATGGCATGCTGAAAAAAAATGACAAGAGCTTACTTTGGATTGCGGTCTAGGTGAATGATAGAGGTCAGTGTTCGTAGAGAAGCGGCCTTGATTTCCTAGGAAAAAGAAAGGTTATTGTGAGCAATCTGTTTGTATTGTGAACACTTTTGTGAACATGTTGCACATCAAACTTGAGAATAAATGTTTCGTAACACCATCCTTAGGTCGGATGGGGACAGAGAGGAACTGACGAGACAGGAGAAACTGATGAACCACCCGGTTCCATTATGCGCCTTTCATCGCTAAACGAATGTCAATGTTGTTCAAAATGAAATCGCACCTGCAGCCTGTAGCAAGAGCTATGACAAACCTATGACAAATCTGGAGAGCTTGAAAACATCTGTGCTGTGGATATAGTACACTGAAACCTCGATACAGTTAAATTGCTGATAACGAACCTCCATATAACGAATTCCTTGATATAACAGTTTTTCTATTCCCACCGTTGATCCATAGAAGCACATGTATTTGCGACCTCTATATAACAAAGTAACAGTGGGAGACAACCTTGATATATTGAATTTTCCCCACGGACAAGCTAGGAATTTCGCTCCACATTTTTTGCATTTTGGTACAAGCATGTATCTTCCGCGGCTGCCCCGCCGCCGACTTGAAGAGTGAAGCAGCGGCGGCGCGCAGGACGCACCAGGCGAAAGCGAACGCTGCGCGGCTGAGCGCGAAGCGGGCAGGCGTGCCTAAACCCCACGAATCGGCGTTGCCGCTATTCTCGCCTCCGCGAGCACACGCGCGGTGGTGAGAACCCGCCGATAGTGTCTATATAATTGGTGTCACAATAATATCGCACTTTTTTTAATGTAGAACAAGTGTTTTAGAGTTAGCTCTGCCTTCACTCCCCCTTTTACTTAATTTGCGCGTTTATTTTCCGAATTTTCGTACCGCACCTCCGTATAACAAAATCCTCTTTATAACAAATTTTTCTGGGGATTGATCAATTTCTTTATATCCACAACTATAAACGAACCCAGATATATCGAAATATTGGTTATAACAAAGTAAATGAAAATAACCTTGCAATAGAAATAGTGTTACGAATAAACCATTACAGCAAATTTTCGGATATGACAAATTTATATGAAAGATGCAACTTTGTTATAATGAGGTATGAGTGTAAACAGACAAGTATAGACCGAAGACACTACGGAATGAATTCACACCGCCAAAAACAAGGACAGACAGGGACAGCACTCCTGGTGCCCTGTCCTTTTTTCATTCAACCCGTTTTTTGGTGCAGTGAATTTATTCCGGTATGCCATACAAGCTCACACAAGCCTCCATGCTCGTCAATAGATGACATGGCAGCCAAATAGCGAATAATGTCTAAAAAAATTGTCCCAGGAAAAACAGCTGTCTCAGCATATGCAATGTGTTATACCCACTATATCAATACAATTGAAATTAATGAGGGAGGCTACCATGGAAGGGCAACATTTTTGTTTGTTGAGATACCCCAATGAAATTGTCAGGGTAGGCTAATAATACAGCCATTCTGATAACCACAAAATTTCATGCATTCAGTATCACTGCTTCCAAAGTTACAGCCATTTTTCAGGATAGTCCAAATAGGTTTCTTTGTCAGGCTCTGCTGAATTTAATAAAATTTGCTAGCACAGTTAAATTCGCTGTGATGGTTCCTGGATGGGTGCTTTACAGTAGGACAGAGCTCTTTTTTTAATTTCCCTGCAGAAATTTTTTTAGCAGAGCACAGAATTTGGTGTTTGCCATTGAGCATTTATCAATAAAATTTTGATTATCACAAATTACAGACACAATAAATTTAAAAAACGGCTCTGTCAGTGTATGGTCTATTTATTAGGGTACATTATAAGAAAATCTGATAGAATTAAGATGAGCGGTTGCAGAGATATCCCCCGACTAAACAGCCTCACTTGCCAAAAAAGTCATTTTGAGAAAACGGACTTCGAAAGTTTCGAGCACATATTTTGGTCAAAAGTGACCCTGCAAAGTAGCTAGAAATGTTCTTTAGGACTTTTTTTTTTCTTTTTCCGCTTTTCCTGCTTGTGTTGCAGCTATTCTTGAGCCTTCTTCACACGGAAAGGGTCTTTCTCCGCTGCTCGTTAATTGATGGCGTAGCGCTGTCAGTTGCCGACATTGCGCTGAACTTTGGTTGCACAGCAACATGTTCGATACCCTTCGTGTCTAACTGGTCGCGTGTCCAAAAACGTGTTGGCAAATGCGCAGTTGACGATGCGGTCGCGCTATTCGGGGCCGTAATCATTGCACTTAGCGAGCGCTACGCGCCAGGTGCACTTGAGCACGAAACACCAACACCAGCCTCACTTGCGACGACAGAGCGTTGCACAGATTCTCAATGTCGCGGTAATCATCAATGCAGCCATGGTCTTGAAGAGATGAAGGAGAAGCTGCTCAGCAACGATGTGGCTGTTGCCCCCGCGTTGGCGCGTGAACGATCCTCACCATGCGTACGAGCTTCATCAATCGCTTTCTTGAACAGAACGCGTGCAGAGTTCTAAAATTTGCCCTGCCCATCGTTAGTGACAGAACAACAATCAGCGTCCCGTGAACACTGCGAAAGATCATCTCGTAAAGACGGTAAAAAATTGAAAAGCACGCGTGAGAACAGAGTGGATTTATGGCAAACGTGGAAACAACGCACGCCAAGAGAACACCGCCACTCGCAAGGCCAGCGCCGGAGCCCTGGAGCAGACAGCGAGTCGGGGGAACAGATGCATCATCGCGCGCAGTAGCCAATAAAAGCTGCATGATCACCCACTCCCGAGAGAGGCAGGCGCTTCCTCCAATCACGGTTTCGCATCTGAGCCACGGGAGACTTCAAAACTTCGAGAGCCCTCCAATCATGGGCGATTCCCGCGAGGCCACGTCGCTGCTGTTGCCGCGGGTGGTGAAAAAAAAAAGAGCAAGAATTCCCGAGCAAAACAAGACTAAGATTGCCGCGCCGGGCCGCGTGGTTGGGAAATCGCAAACGCATGAAGTTGTGGTATTTTCAGTGCTCACTGGGCGCTCGCCAGTTGCTGCAGCATGTTATATAATTTATTTGAAGTACGTTGGTGATGAATTAAACATTGATATTTACAGAACTGATAATTTATAAGACATACTGCCCGAAAATGTGGTTTCAAAAAATACTTTTTTGCAATTTTTCGGTTTTCAAAGGTCGCGTCCCCCCGTAAGGAGTGCTCCAAGTGCCCAAAAATATTATTCCGCCAGCTCAGATGGCAAAAATGCACCGCAACGACATGCAATACCAGCACGGTTTGTGGAGACATATGTCATATTTTTCACCGCAAAGCACAACCATCTTGGCATCGCTCTAAGTTCTGCCAGAGTTCTGCATTACCATGGCATCAAAGAGACACAAATGAGCAAAAATCTTGGCATTCTCACAAATTTCACACAGTTCACAAGCCAGCTGTGACCCAAGGAAGTGACTGCCACCATCTCTATTAGAGGTGTGCTCATCCATTACGCCTTTTCGAGACTTTTTGTGGCCTTTTCTGAACAGCTCCGTTGCCTGGGGGGACGCGGCTTTGGGATCGCGAAAAATGGAAAAAAAATTATTTTTTGAAACTCAAGTTTTCAGTTTCTGGAACCCTTTTTCTATCTGGTTCCAAAATATCTACACTGAAAACAGCGCAGAAGTGCTTCGGAAAATTCGTTTCACCCACCTAGGTAGCAAACCTTTTTCTGAAAATGGGGAGAAAACGGCCATTTTCAAAAAATTACAGCTTCGCTATGCTTGGGCCGGGAGCCGGCTTCTTGGGCTCATCGGAAAGAGCATTTCTCCGTATTTAACTTTCCCGCCTCAGCTGGCTCCTCGCTTTGACAACAAGCGAGCAGAAAGCAAATGTCTGAAGGTCGTTTTGAGGCCCTTGATTGGCCGTGGCCGCCATGTTGCCTCAGCTCGCCTCACCATTGGCCCGATGCTCGCTCCAGGAGATCGTCGTCTGCTGCTTGTGCATGGCGAGGACATGGCTCTCGAAAATTGCCACTTCGTGACGTGTTCACGGCTCGATAATCACTTAAGATATAACTACGCTTTAGTTACGAGCAGTAAGCGGATGCGCGATCAGGTTACTACGAGCGGGCGGGCGGTCTACAAGCACGGATATCCAATAGTCTTCTTTTGAGTGAAGATCAACACCATTTACAGCTTCCTGGCATGTTTTCTTACAGCACTAGGCTTTCCACGAGCAGACCATATAAGTCGAACCACGTAGCATGATGTAACTTGAGAACTACTCAAGGTATCATGATGAAACTGCATATTTCCCTGTTCAAGACACTTATGAGAATGCATGCCAAATTTCATTGCTCTAGGTCAACAAACATAAAAGTTTTCTTTCAACGCCATCTCCCCCTTAATCTGTTCATCGTCCCTTCCATATCCTGGTGAAAATCAACCTTCACATCATTGCATAATAAAAAATTCGGCGCTCTGGACCAAGAAACAAATTCACAATCCCCACAACTAACCAAGCATAACCTCTTAATTGTTTCCCAGGGTGCAGCTGACTGCAAGAACAGCACTCACTATGAGATTGGGATCCTTCAACTCTAAGACATCCACGAGCTCCTCGATGAGGCCGTTGTACAGGAGACTGTTTATGTTGTCCTGGATTGCACTGCAGTACACTGTGTAGAGGAGAGAAAGGGGCGTGAACGGCGAGTACACTTGCATGCTAAAGATAGCACAAAATCCTGCAAGTTCATTCATACACTAGTACAAGTAGTACTTATGCATCGTACGAGCACAAAAGACGAATTTTCATTCAAGTTGATAAGAGTGCCGAAAAATAAATTCTAGGGTGTCCCATACCAAATTAGTGAAGATAACGAGACGTACTGCAGTGAGAGATCAAGGATTAAAAAATGCGCCAAATCAGCCAAATACGAACCTGCCTTCCCATGCTTAGCAATGCAACACCTTAGTTATAGACACCACAGCATGTTAGCACGCCTCAGCTAAACTGACCAGGGTGCTATATCGCAAGAGTTCAGATAAGAAAACAGAAGCCACATAGTGCCCGCCAACTTTTACGTCGTGGCTTACAGCGCGAAACACCCGGACATAGACTAAGAGAAAAAGACAGGGTACAGCACTGACTTTCAACTGAAATTTCATTGAAAAATTTGGCCCGAATCTACATGTTACACTGTAAATGTCGTCGAAAGACGACAGTCTTGCGTCCCGAGAGAGTGATCAAAACGTTTATTTGATGTTCTGCGCAAGAAAATCAGTGAATGGTATTCAAAAGGCCCTGCGTTAGAGTGCCTCGAGCGTGTAGCGGAGGCGGACAAGCGCATCTAGGCAAGTTCGACACGAGCGCTACCTGGCAGTTATTTTCGAAAACGAAGGCGTGCGCACCAGTCTCGGAGGTGATAAGGTGTAGAATGCAAAGCGACGGGCAGGTGCCGCCACCGTGTCGTCCTAGCAAAACGTTGGAAACACCTTCTTGAGCATCGCATTGCACTTTCAGCGCAGCGTGATAAACGCTACGCTAAGTCCTTAGAGTTACCTTTGTGTGCCTCTTCTAGTATAAAGGCAGACATACAAAACATAGACGTGTTGTTATGGCGCCTCAGATATGCGCAATATTTCCTTTTTAATTGACAATCGCACAACTATTAACGTGAAACCTTGAGCAATATTGGTGGCCGCTGCGGATGAGGTTGGCCGTTTGGTTCCGCTTGAGGTATCGTTATGGCGGACAAACAGACAAATGTACAGATAGACAGACAGACCAAACTTTTTCCGTCGAAGGTCCCCAAGAAAGACTATCGTCTTTAAAAACGAATATATATACTATATGAACAGAAGACCTCGTGACTGAGCCGGCCCACTCATTTGATCAAAATTATACCCGGGAACAAGTGGAAACACCTCGCAGGCTGCACAACCGGGGGGCCCACAAACAAAACGGTTCTCACCGAGTATGGAGAGCGCTTGAAGCCGAGCCTGCACACACTGTAACCGCTTGGGGTAGCTGGAAAAACTGTGCGCTAAACGAACATGTGTCAGCAGCAGCATCTGTGCAAGGAGAACAAAACGACAGCCCACGTTCATTCATTGGTATTTGATCGTGTTTGGATGTCAATAGAACACTTCCCATACAGCACAGGCCATGCTCAAAAAAACGTCGCACATTTCGTAACCTCCCGACGACACTGACGCAAGGCAGGAAAGAATTTGATGAGAGTGGTCAAGTACTCAAATCATGGTCTAAGTCCAGTTGTTAAAACATCGAATAATTACATGCGCGGAACTACAACGAAACTATTGTTTGCCACCACGGTGCATTAAAAGGTTGACTCAAAGCACGACCATGAATGGCAACCATTTCAAGGGCTCGCAGTGTCATTCACGGCAGTGCGTGAATATTGGCATCGGGTGTTCAGACTTTTCAGTGGTTAATACACATTCCGACGACTAGGACGGCGTCACTGCAACACTTCGTACAGCAAGAGCAATAGAGCTGCTTTAACTCTTTTGCATTGCACATTTGCACTTCTTTACATAGGACGGCGTCACTGCAACACTTCGTACAGCAAGAGCAATAGAGCTGCTTTAACTCTTTTGCATTGCACATTTGCACTTCTTTACATTAGGTGCGCTCTCCAAGAATCATTGAAATCAACTAAGACGTGGCCAGACATACGCAAAGTACCAATGATGGCTAGCGAAGACCATAGGACCAGTCCGAATTACAAGAATTTTACACTATCGGCAGATTAGTGAAATGACATCAATGACATCTTCTTTAGACTTACCGTATAATGCGGAATATAGGTCGAGGCGGAATATAGGTCGACCCCCTTACCTTGACCAGCAAAAAAAAAAAAGAAAAACGCGGAATCGTTCACTGCTTCACTTTAGTCAGTCCTCACAGTCCTCCGAGCTGTCGGAGCTCTCCGACGACGACGACTGCTTGTCACTAGCCGCCTCCCACAGCAGTCGTCTCGGTGCCGTCGAGAGCGTTGCTGATGCAGCACTTCTTGAATGCGCGCACCACCATCTCTTCAGGCAGAGACCTCCATGCCGCGGAGACCCAACCACAAACTGTCGCGAGAGGTGGCCTGCGCAGCCGGCCTGTCGGGGTCCGCGGGTGTCGCCAGCCATCCATTCGGTGTACAGCGCACGCACACGGTCTTTAAAAGGTTTATTGAGGACGACGTCCAACGGTTGAAGTGTTGATGTCATCCTCCCGGAATGACGACAAGATCCGTCCTTCCGTCGCGAAGGCTCTCCTTCACCGATGCTGTCAAATGCCCGCGAAATGCATCCAACACGAGCATGTTCCGGCGCTGCAGGAGGGCTCGGGCCGCCGGTTCCACACTGTGCGGATCCATTCGCGCATTAGGGCTCGTCCATATACCCCTTCTCGTTGACGCGGACGACGACATCCGCGGGAAGGCCTCCTTCGGCATCGTCCTTCCGCTTGAAGATTATGAAGGGGGGCAACTTTCTGCCGTGGCCGTGCAGCAAAGCATAACGGTGAAGCGCGGAATGCTCGCTACCGGTCGACAAAAGCCTCACCTCTTTTGCCCGCGTTCACAAACAGTCGTGGACGACGGCATGTCAAACCACACCGGCGTTTCGTCGGCGTTGCCGATCTGGCCTAGCATGTAGCCATGCTGCCGCCGGAGGTTGTTCACATAGAGTTGAAACTCTATCAATTTGTCCTCGTACATCTCGGCAGCTTCTGGCATATCGACGTGCGCCGTCGAAGCGCAAATCCTTTGCGTCGCATAAGCGACGGACCCAATAAATGGATCCCTTGAAGTCTTTCTTGACAGGCCGCTTCACGGGCGAGCTCGACGGCTTTTGAGCGAATGAGCTCCGCATTCACGGGAAGGGATTGGCACGGTACTCGCGGACGAAATCCGCCACTTTGTCCTCGAGTTCCGGGTGCACAGCTCGGCGACCGCGAAACGACGTCTTCCTCGCGTTACACACTGACAGTTTGGATTTTTGGTTGCGCCAGTATCTGACGCTTTTCTCGGACACTCCAAACTGCCGCTGTGCCGCCATGTTGCCATTCACTTCCGCGAATTCTATAACTTTTTTTAAACGCGGCGGTGAACTGGCGCCGCGTCCGGTATTCATAGCTGGTCGCAGAGTAAAAGTCGCCACTCTCTACGAACACGAAATGAACAAGAAAAGAAAAATGGCGTCGGCAGAGGCGTCGGCCCATGGAGGCGATGTCGATGCTGATGCCCAAAAAACATGCGACACTCCCTGTTGCCAGACGATCACTTTGTTTATGCCAAGGGCCGGTATATAGGTCGAGGGGTGACTTTTTAGCGAAATTTTTTGGAAAAAATCTCGACCTATATTCCGCACTATACGGTAGGTCAGGTTCTTAATGAAAAAATTTCAAATTTTAACAGAGAGAGTGAGGGGGTGGCAACATTTCTTTATGTTGAAACACAGCTACGAGCAGAGCAGGACGAAACTTACATCAGAAAAAGGTGGTCAAGAAAGTCACTAAGAGAAGGAAGCTTAAAAAAATTAAAAATGCAACTCTACTCCAACACTTTTGACTTAAAACAAGCAATAAATTACTCAAGGAATGACGATAAAAGAAAGGGAACACTCACGTGTTTGGCTGGTGGGACAGCGTATGTCTCGAGCAGTTCCTCCATGATCTGAGATGGGTTCTTGTTCGTAATCTACACAAGATAAGAACAAAGGCAGAGGTATTTAAAGCATGGTCCCACACCCTTTCTTTGCACAGTGTAAACATGCACACAACTCAACCCTACCTCAGGGCCATAAATGATCTGGCAAAGCCCGCTTCAGTTCATTTCTACCTGGTAAAGTTATTTTGTCAATTTCTACCCCGTAAAGGCAATTCCAGTCAATTTTCACCTGGTGACGTCAATTACAGCTTGTTTCTGCTAGATAAAGTGCACTTCAGTTCATTTCTACAAGGTAAAGTTGGATTCATTTAATTTCTACCTAGTAAAATTCATCTAAGTTCATTTCTACCTGGTAAAGAAAATGCGAGTTAATTTCACCACCACTGGGCACAAAGTACGCTCCATTTAAAAAAGAGAAAAAATATAATTCACACCAGTGAGTCATCTGGCAGTATTTGCTTGAGTTTGATAAATCTCTCTGTCGAGTCCATGCCCACACTTTTGTGAATTAGGAGTTTCAGAAGTAATGTATAGACGATTCAAACTAATTTTTATTTTTGAAAAAAGTCGTGTAGCATGCCATCGATTCTGCCAAACATAGCTAACCATACTTTTAGAAAACCAGTCCCTTATAAACTCCCTTATTACAGTATAGACCACTTATAAGGTAAGCCGTGGAAGTCGTGAATATCCGCACTATAAGCGATGTTTGGTATAGCCAAAACAACATTTCTTAAGGGCCGCACTTGCGAAAAACACGTTGAGCATACAGCCTCGCATGCCTGGGAATCGAAGCATGCATTGCGTGGTGTTCACAACAATTTAAATTTCCAAATGTTAAAAAAATTGATGATAAAAAAAAAAATGAAGTGAACGCAAAAAAAGGGAGGTGGGGGTTTCAACAAAAGAAAGCACCATTGCGAAAATTCGCCTACTTCTCAGACCACCTGAATTATGCGCATTACACAGACACCACAGTTAAACCTCGTTATAACGAAATTGGAGGGCCGCCGCTATTTGCTCGTTATAACCAATATTTCGTTATAACCGTAGCGGGCATTTACCGCAAATATTATGCCACTGTACATACCCAAAAAAAACAGCGGGCGAAATAGTATTCCGCCGCACGGTGGTATGCAACAAAATAACCGCATTCCCATATAAAAAGGAAAAAGTCATGCACCTGTTTTAATGCACTTCAAAATACACAGCTTGCATTTCAGGCAGACTTAGCTGCAAAGAAGTCCGTAATTGGACGTTGATGCATCTTCTTGATGCGAATGATGGCTCGCTCAGCTGCGGCCGCAATCTTCAAGCCATCTTCGCCGCCCTCGTGAGCGCCGAAGTAGCGGCGCAGTACGTCCACCGCGTCTAATGCCTTCGACGTCATCGGCACGTTTGTCTCCTGTTCGTCGACAGAGTCATCGTCACTGGTTTCGTTACGATCACTGACAGCGCGCACAATATCGTCATCCAGGAGCTGCTCCGTTGCCACCACTTCCGAGTCCGCACTCACATAATCGCAAAACGACTCGCTGTCAGGCACGACACCGGCGTCACGAAGTGTCGTCCACGATGCAGCGACTTCGTCTGATGTGGCAAAACCGTCCGGCACAGTGGGCTCGTTGGCTCATCGCTGGCGTCTGGTGCGGCGGCAAATGAGGCGTGTCGAAAGCAGTTTGCGATCGTGGTCGCCGTCACACTCATCCACGCCGCCTGAAGCATTTCAAGCGCAGCGTACAAGTCAACATCGGTGTCTCGCTTCATCCTCATGTTGAGCAGGAGCTTGTCTATCACACGCTTGCTGTAACCTGCCTTCAGCAACATAATCACGCCTTGGTCAAGCGGCTGTATTTTTGCTGTGCAGTTGGCAGGGAGGAACAGCAGCTCGATGTTTTGAAGCACGGCAGCGGTACGGTGGGCGGTGCAGTTATCTAAAACAAGGCACACCTTGCGGTTCGCCTTTGCCAGCTTCTCGCCCCATTCGCAAAGCTATTTTAAAAATCTCCCTGGTCATCCAGGCTTTGCGATTGGCTACGTACTTGACTGGGAGCTGCCTCTTCCCCTTAAAGCAGCGAGGGGATGCACTTTTGCCAATTACGAAAATTGGCAGCTTCTCAGAGCCGGTCATGTTTGCACAAAGTAGCGCAGTGATCCGCAGCTTACTTTGTTTGCCGCCATGGCACGGCTCGCCTTTGAGGGCTAACGTCTTGTGCGGCAACATCTTGAAAAAGAGAGCGGTTTCGTCCGCGCTAAAAATATCCTCCGCGCTGTATTTTTCTAGCAGCCGCACGATGTTTTCTTTCGCCCACTTGGTAGCCTCTGCTTCGTCGACAGATTGCGATTCGCCGCAGACCGCTCTCCCTACAATGTCATGGCGCTCCTTGAAGCATTGGAGCCAACCCGAACTTGCTACGAAGTTGTCATAACCCATGATGCAGGCAAAGTCTCTCGCTTTTCTTTGCAGCAAGGCGTCGCTCACCGGCAGATTCACGGCCTGCGTGTCCAAGAACCATTTAAAAACGGCCCTTTCGACCGCTTCAAAGGCAGGTGCCCTCATCCTCTTAGCGCTTCCTTTCACGCCACGTGCAACAGCGTCGATAATGGACTCCTGCTTGCTCAAGATGGTTGACAGTGTGCTCGTCAATGCCAAAGTCTCTTGCCACGTTGCCTTTCTTGGTCCCCGATTCGACGGCTCTTATCATAGCCGCCTTCTGATCTAGCGTTATGCGCTTTCGCTACCCGCCTGGCGCATTCATGTTGCTGGAATCACGAGCGCAGCACGATAAAAGATAAGGCAGAAGTGGTCGAAAAAGAGAAGAAACACGCACGCAAAAGCAACGCGGCTCACGTCGGCGAACGACAACACTGTGAAGAGGAAGGGGCAGAAGGGGCGGCGCTCTTTTGCGCTGCCCTCTAGGAACCGGTTACTCAAGAGGAAGGGGGTATGTAAGATTAGGAAGCGCACCTCAACGTCGCACCTCACCTCAAAGCTCGACCGCACGCACCTCAAAGCTCGACCGAGGTAGCAAACGCAATATCTGTACCAAGCTCAATAACGAAGATGCTTTTTCGGACAGAAAACTTAAGCGCAGTTGATAAAAGACGGCAGCGAATGTACTTTGTCGAGCCGCACGCGTCCGGAGCCACGCTAGCGACGTAAACACTGTAGCCGTGTCGGCGCCGGCGCAAAGGCGACGAGCCCGCGCAGCTTGTCGTGGTTCTTTTTTCCTTTTTTTTTTCTTCCTTTTGTCCATTGTTCGTTCACTTCGCGTCCCCTCCTCCTCCGTAACTAACTCGTCGCTCGCTCCCCAGTGGCTCTCCCAGCATGCCTCCTTTTAGACGTGCACTCTCCACTGCGATTGTCGAACATTTTCCGGCAACCACATTATAATTAGTCTTTCTTCTTGAGGGACCGCACAATGAGTGGTATGCGTATACATAGGTTTCTACAGGAGAACAAACGAGAGTCGAGAAAGACCGCACTGTAACTGGTTCTGCACTATAAGCGTTTACTTCGTAAGTGGTCTACACCGTATCTCTCTCAAGCTGCTTCGATCAACCAATACCACAAGAATTGAAAACAGTTTGCAAGGGTTACCTTGTCCACGTTTTCCATGTGAATGACGGAGACTGTGGTGGATGGCTGCTTCTTGGCTCCCGTGCCATCCGTAGGTTCCATGTAAAACTCAAAGTGAAGAGTCGTGGCACTGGCTGGAAATTTCTGCACACCCGAAGAACCAACCGAACGATGACATGATGCAGTAGCAGATCATTCCATGCTTCTTTTAAAAAAATTGTATATTTATTTTGACGATGTCAGTCAGCATTGTCTGAGCGGTGTACACTTCACAGCCTCTACATTTTCTTTCACTAGGCAACTGACTCGTCAAGGGTAAGATATGCTAATATTATGAGAGATGACACAGCCAAAGGGCATGGGAATAATTTTTCTCAGCAATATGCTTTTTGTGCTTTTTTGGTTTGTTTCCGATACTATAATAATTTCTGGGGTTCCAGGTCCCAAAACTACAATTTGATTAGGGGACACATTGCAGTACAGGACTCCGGAAATTTTGACAATCTAGTGTTCTTTAACATGTACTGGCATTGCACAATACGTAGGCTCTGGAATTTTTAAATTTTTTTTATACTAAACAGTACACAGGGCAGACACCATGAGCACTGCATGAATCCAAAATGCTTCAGCTTAGCTCATTCAAAGAACCACAAAAAAATAATGAAAGTACTGTAGCTTGTGTTGTCTCAAATGAAACTCTTTTCGACCAAACTCCTTACGAGTACCTAAGCCAAGTGAATGCAGTTATTGATCAAGAATAAAGATTTGCAACCACACTAACACACCCAACACTTGTTGGTCAACAAGTTGCAAGACTGTGCAACGTCACTTCTAACTTACGCTCATTGGAAGGTCCCTACAGCATTCAGCCAGGCCGAAGCCATTCTCCTTTCCCCCCCAGTTCTGAAAAAAAAAAAAAACACCAAAGCAGAGATGAGCCAAGTAGGTGACAATAAACTATTCTGGTATTAGCAATAGCTCATACTTTTACCCGAATTTTTTTTATAGGTAACAGTGTTGATAGTAAGCATTTACACAGACTGAGTTCATTCCTCCCAATTCACTTTCGGGATGTCACCACATGACAAAAACATTAGCTCCAACTGGCACTGTAAAAACGATGCCAAATGTTGCAAAAGAACAGTTGAAAACCAGCAAGTTGCCAGGTCGAACAGATAATGCGAACCTGACATTCCAAGAAGCTTGTACATGACTCTCATTAACGAGCATCAAACATGATGTGCACGAACTGACAATGAAAAATTGCTATTGCTAACTTGCTGCGACATGCATGGACCAGACGAAAAATTGCACCCACCTCCGCCAGGTACGTCAGCCTTGTCAGGAGGGCCTGCCGCCTGTCTGGATTTAACCTTGTGATGAAGTTGGAACGTTTGCTGCCGAGAGACAAAAGCACGGGTGAGGACAAAAGCATGGGTGGGCTTTGCAAGGTCTGCCCACTCCCACTGTATAGCGCCCAACAACACCGGGAAGAAATACCAGACAGTATACTCAAAGCGTGACAGCAATGCCATTTTAACTGCACGGCAAATGTTAATTAGAGCCAGAGAGCAAACCATTTATAACTGACCACACAGCGTGGGTTATATAGAAATGCAGAACTATTCTCAGAAAGCCAATTATACTTTGTTGTAGCACCATTAATTAACAATCTGCAACTACTCACGACTTTTTCAAGTTCAAAAATATTGTTCTAGCGATGCAATTTCACCATCTCACGGCAGCAAATTCTAATTTGTCATTGGCACACAAGTGGACCACAGCTTCCTTCTCTTAGGGGAGACAAAAACACAGACACAGCTGTCATTGTGAAACTATCGTAAGTGATTGGCAAAATGCGGAACGGTTAATTGCACTTGTAGAGAATAATAATGACAGGCCCTTGTGCTTGAGACCAAATGTAAAGATTGATCGATTCGGCACACGAGGAAAGAGCTTGCTCTTTCTGTTGCACAGAAGCTGATCAGGTAAGTGGTTGAGGACTCACCTGAAAACGTAGAGTAGGTTGAGTACACCCAGCACCACTTGCATGTCGCTTGACGACAGCAGTGCCGTTAGGTGCTGCGCACACACAAGAAGCGACTTGTCATTACATGTTCATGGCTATGCTAGCTGAGCTCCAAGAGAATTTTCCTTAAAAGCCCTTTTCACCAAAAAAAAAGTTTCTTCGCTGTGGAATAAAAAAGCCAAATTTTTTTTACTCCAAGACTTGTTTAGACATGGGATTTAGAAATTGAAGACATAGCACACTAACGAAAACAAACTGAATGATACACAGCACTTTGTTCCTATGAGATGGGAGAGTTACATGGAGTGATAAAAAGACCATCTTAATCTCGTCTTTGCCTCGGACATCACAGGAGTGGATCCGGCTATGCATTAAATGAGTGGTGCCATCAAGTTTCGAGGCTAAAACAAGCCTCTTGCTAGTGTCCTCTGTACGCTAGGCCATTACACATGAATGTTCGGACGCAGCAAACATTTATAATGTATTTTAATTCCCCTCGACAGTGTACATAAATGCTCATTCTCCCGGCCGAAGCCCATCGCAAGCATGTCCAGAGCTGCCATAGCTCTGTAGAAGGGGCAACGAAAATTCGACGTCACACCACATCTGTAGTGAATGTAGACGTGCACAGGTTTGCGAAAATTGCACAAATAAAAAAGGTGATATTAATTTATATAAGGATAATAAATGAATATTGGTGCTTGTATCATGCTTCCCGGAGCTATAATAAAGGCTTGCAGCAGCGAACACACAAACCTCAAATATGGTGGCACCAACCTTATAACGTTATCACTAGTAAAAATAACCACAAGCTTTGTTTCAGATACAATTACTGGTATGGATTGAATGCAACGACTGCTCTTTGAAGCATTTTTGCAAAGAACTGCCCCATGTAAATGCCAGCAGTGTCGCATTTCAAAATGAATTTAAGAACTCGCATTTAACCTAACTGACCTCCAAGGCTTGTGTGTAGAGGCCAGCAATGGCGCATTTTAAGATTAATTTTAAAAACTAGCATATGACCAACTGACCTCCATGGAGTTGTAGAGATGCCTCGAGAAGCTGTGTTCGATCAGGAGGGCTGTAAACTGGAGAATGTACAACAGGAGCTCCTTCTCCTGTTACGAGAGAAAAAAAAGGAGGGCATGCATGCGCACATTACATGTCTCATTAATAAGCTGTGATATAAACAATACTGTTAATCTCGTTTTCGAGACCATAATGAGGAATCGGCACTTATACTGAACGTTTGTGTTCGTCTATTACATAGGCAATACAAGAAGGAACAAGAAGCTGACTGTCAGAAAAAAAAACACAGCTCGGCGGTTATCAGCAGTTTCTGTGCTATTCTTTAGCTAGAACTCCAACAGCCAGCGCATCAGTCTACATTTAAACCTCCTTATGAGGAAATTGCATCTTACATGCAAGTAAGCATTATAACTGAAAATTCATTATAATGGTATATTCCCAGCAGTCTATTGCAAGACTATCCTTAATTTACTTCGTTATAACAGATATTTCCTTATATCCGGGCTCATTATATCGAGGTTCGAGTTCTAGTGACATTTCAGCTTGTACAGATATTTTCACCGTATGCTGTTGCTCACAACTTCAGAAACTACGGGAGATAATAGTCAATGGCAACAGCGATCCGCTTTTACACCAAATGCCGCTGGTGCTTCTACCCGCCTCGGCGTAACACACAACTTTGGTCACACAACTTTCTTCTTTGTGGCCCCCAGCGTTGCAACAATGCCACAATGGTGGCATCGATCACAGTGGGGATTTTTTTTTTTTAATTTCTCCTACCAATTAGCAGTTTTGGTTTTGTTTCTGAGGTGCCAGGGGGAATTTCATGCGGTGTTATTAATCTACAGTGCCAGTACGGAAAGGGTTAATGTGCAGATAAATCTAAACCCACAGATGTTCTTCGCAATTTGCCATTAATTGAAATGCGGCTACTATGACCTTCAATCAAGCCCATGCCCTCGGGCTTTCACCACAAATAGATTCATACGGAAATTTCAAAGCACCACTGGCACTATGTGAGACATCACAATTGGAGACGTGTAGCATCTCGCAGACCAACGTGGGTTCACCGTCAAAAAAGAAGCCCACCTGTTCTCGGCCAGGACTGTCGCATGGCAGACACCACTGGCCTTCCTGGGTTGTCTGGCATGCTGCCTCCAGCAGAGAGTCGAACAGGTCCAGGACATCGATCCAGTGGTACAGCTCACACTGCATGCAATTAAACAAGGGAAACTGCACACTGTGAAACACAGGGAACCTTTCCGCAGCGCTCGCAAGCAACAGAACACACCCCACCCATGGATCACGGCAACGTCTGGACGCGGCTTTCACTCCCATTTGAGGCGTCGCGTTAGACGCCATGCAAAACGTGGGGCGACAGCACCATTGTCGAGAGAGGCCAGCTCTCAAAAACCAGGGTTTCAATCACGACTGTTGCCCACGATGCACGTGGTGAATTGCCAATAATTATCATTTAACACCACAAAACTGCACAGACAGTTATGAGGGACATTATAGTGGAGTTCGCACAAACCTCGATACAACGAATTCAGATAAAACAAATTATTGGTTATAACAAAATAAGTGAAGAATACCTTTATCACACAGACTCAGTGTTAAGATGAATTGTTTATAATAAAATTTTGGTCATACAACATATTTTGAAGGCAGATGTGACTATTATAAGAATAGTTTGGGTATTTATTTTCGTCTATGTTAACGAAGTACTATGAGATTTCACAAAAAATCCTTTAATGGAGAATCCCTCCAATTTTATCATGTGCTAAACTAAATGGCCACGCTTGAGAGATTTCACAATGCTCTGTTATCTACTAATTGTGTAAAGGCATTTGAATATGCAAGTCCAGCACTAGTCTTCCTTGTCCTCCTTTCTATTCTTCCTGTTCTGATGCTTAGCAACCGCACCTAGTTTTATGGTTGTTTAAAAAAAAGTGCTACCGAGGGTCTCTAACACACTATCAAATATCAAGTGCTGTTTAGCATTTAATTTCCATTAAAATGCTCCCACCATCCAAATGGCAACCTCATCAACAGCTTATGAGTTGTTGCAACAGGCAAGAATCTCGGAAATATAGAATTGTGGTCCGTGTATAAGCTTCTCACCCTTTACGTTATCATGGGTTACCACGCATGATGGGCAACACTAGTAGATACACATTTGGGTAACATTTCAGGGAGCTTCAATGCTTTACTGAACTGCTGGTGTAAGGAGTAGCTGGTTAAACAATAATAAAATCACGGTACTTTTATTACTTTGTTTACGCAAGAACACTGACACAACTGAAAAGTTTTTGCAGAAGTATTGTAGAGTGGAAAACCTGCCACAAGACGATTGCTACCAGCTTTTCCACCGCTGTTAACGGCTCCAATGACGCGTAAAAGCGTGTTTAAACAGCAAGACATATGTGCGAACATGCTGAAATTCACTAGTAACTCTTCACAAGCCCCAAACAAGCTGACCCTCGCATGCCACACAGCAAAGCCGCCGCTGGCAGTGCTGGCCTCACTCACTTTGCCCCAGTTCCAGCTCTTGACGGCCTTGAGCTCCTGGAGCAGCTCCTCCTGGGTGCAGCTCTTGAGCCGCTCGACCAGGAGCTTACAGTCCAGCGGAACCTCCGAGGAGCTTTTCTTGAGCCGGCTGCGCTCGATCTTCATGGTGGCAGAGGCCACGCAGGGGCCACTGGGACCCCCGACTGCACCAAGGGGGGGGGGGGCAGAGGGTCCTCAGAGGGTAACGGTCTTCCGCTCACTCGGCAGTGCTACTCATGGCCCCCCTCACCACCCTGCCGGCCTTTTCCTTGATGCTGGAAAAGAGAATTAGCGCCCAGTGAGGAACAGCACACTGCCCGCTTTATAAGTGTTGCTATGTCGTGCAAGCAAGCAGCAAGGTTCAGAGTTAAGTAGAAGAATGCAGCAAGTAACGCAACGAGTACAAACTTTAGTAAGAGACTTCTTAATGTGAAAGAACAATGGTGCCAACAAATAGCAGTTACAAGAATAGTCTATAGATGCGCGCAGTGAGTGGCAACGCCCTTGTGCCGCTAGTGGGAGAGTCAAACACGAAAATGAGCATCCCTTGACGTTGTCTACTCTGGTTTTAAAATTCGAAGACTAATCCCATCAGTTTTCATGCACAAATTCTCGCTATTCTTTTTTGCGTTCATCTCGGTAATCATTACTTCATGCATTCTAGAGTTAAGTCACAGAACCATTGCAAGGCCCCTTTAAAATTCAGAGGCACTTCTCTAAACCTACACAACTTGCAACCTCACTGCATGAACCGTACTTTATACAAACAAGACAGATGATAGGCATTCAAACTCAAGAGGCTTGTGTTTCACTGTCTTAACTGTATACTATCTCAAAAATACTTGTACATATACTTTTCACGCAATGCAAGATTTCAGTGCAGTTGACATCAACTGATAGCGCTATTCATATTCGGCATTGTTAGGCACCCAATCACAAAAAGATGAAAGCCAGTCGTTAATGTTTCCTCAAGCAAAGTGCATCTCTTACCATCCTGACCCCCTCCAAGTCATCACAAAGCCACAACGAAACAAATTGGCTACACAGTTTAGGGTTTGCAAATACGTTATGGAAACTAGCATATACTTCTTTTTCAAAAACAAAATGGGCACAAGCACAATGACCCAGCTTGTGCATAGCAGCTGTTTACACAAGAGTGCACAGGTAACACAGGAAAGTGATTGCCTATAGCATTGAGATGACAATTTATGTAAATACTAAAAATGAGAAAAGCTGCAAGCCAGCAGAAAGAAAACTTTGAAGCAGAAAGCTTTGGCATTAAGAAGAGTAGGTTTTTTTTTTTATCATGCTACTGCATAAATCAACTTCCAGCCAAGCCCATTATGACATGCCTTTGCACAATCTGCAATTCGCCTGGCTTCTGACGATTGAAAAATATGCTAGATGCAAACAAGCTCAGTGGCCACATGGCTCATTGGGAATGGCCAACCTATCAGATACAGCTTTGTGTGCACGAGTTAAAATGACAAAAAAAAAACAGTTTTCACCTGTATTTGTAAATTACCTTTCTACAACACTGTATACACCAACCTATTGCCGGAGGCTTGAAAGCCAGACAGGGCACGTGGTGCCCTTTCATTGAAGTTCTTGGAATAGCTAACTGTCTCATCACCAATTTTGAAGCTATTCACAAAGACCCAAAGATTTAATGGTAAAAAAAAAAAACTCGACTAAAGAGACACCAAAGGTATATATCAAGATGGCGTGGATTTTTTTTTGAAATAGAGTTCGAGAAACCTCTTCATGCGTGTTTCATGTCAAGCAAATGCTTAGCTTGAAAAATGCTTTAGTGTTCCACACACTGTTAGCACTACTATTAAAACTGCCAACCTTTGAGAACGCCTTTTCCTATAACATTTGCCACAGCCACACTGACATGTGTTGCCAGGTTGACATGTTTTATATGCCCCATACTTAGTCAAGAAGCATCGCCAGTACCGGCAACGAAGGTATGTACTGCAAGAAATGTCACAAAACTTTACATCTCAAGAAGTCCTGATACGGAAACAAGGTATGTTTGATCTCGATGATTGAGGGCACTTTAAAGATGTCTGCAAACCAGAAAACGTTGTGAATGCAAAAGGCACGCAAATGCCTCGCATCTACCTGCATGCTTTCCAGCCTGTGATCTGTGCGATCCATTAATATCTCGAAGATGCGTGCTTCCTTCTTAAAAGCGTACCTTGAGAGACAAGCCACCGTTTATGTGATATTGCTTTAACAATAATTTATTGTAGGACACAGCATTCAAGAAGTAGAATTTTTGATTTTTCTACGACACTCCTGCAGCCGATTTTGCCACTCGAGAAACTTTACTATAAATAATCGACTTGTTGCAGGTGACGCCCCATTTTACACATCGCAAAGCGTCCAACAAGAAGCTCAGAGACAAACAAGTTGAGGGGTGCCCAAGTGCAATTAGAAAAAACACAAGTCATATAACTCAAGTAACAGTTGCTAAACTGCCCAGATCAAGATCAGATTTGTAAACACTGGAAAATTTGATATTTGACAGGTGGCATGCAGATATTTAAATGCGTGAATTACAGGGCTAAGTATTGCACATATTTGCATTTCCAAAGTCCTCAGTTCGTGTCATATTGGTGTAATTTTTACCCACATGTAAGCATCCCCAAGAGAGACGAGCCCTTGCATCAGTACTTTTAATGTCAACATTCGTATCGACGTGAAGTCATTGTCTCAAGCAATCGTACGTAGCCAGGAGTATTATAAGTTTCGATGTCTCACTTCACTCTATGAGCAGTGCACACTTTAAGAAAGCTGGGCAAGATGCTAACTGGGCAGCACCACAACTTAGAGGCTTTCAGAGAAAAGAGCAACCACATCAGAGAAAGAAAACCTCATGCAACACTTCGTGAGAGACAAGGAACGGGGAATAGGAGAGAGACGTGCGCCAAAAGCGTAAGCTGAATCGCCAAGCACACAAATGGACCCAAGGCTGTGCATAGCGAGGGGCAGTGTGATGAGATTGAAGCAAAGCACCACTGTCTTGCATAACTTCCCTTAGGTTCCATACACAAATTTAAAAAGAAGAATAAGAATAGTGTAAAAGGAACCTTTCAAAAAATTGAATCTTTGGCAACCTCAACTGTGGCGCAGAATTCATCTTATGTAAACAAATAAGTTGGAATCTTGTGTGGCAATGCTTACGTGCTTACAATGCCTTGCAAATAACCGGCAAAGATTGAATCATCATTTCGAGCTAAGATGCAACTAACACAGCTCACCAAAAATTAAGGACTTGAAAAGAAGCAAACCAAGTTTTCTCTGCATCGGATGCTACAAGAAACGATGCAAACCTCTGACCTGAAGATATTTGAGACGCTAAGTGATTCACTTAGGTGGTGATCTAGCTATCATGGCCAACTGAAAAAATTTCATCATCAGAGCTCTCATATAAAAATTGCACTAGATGCATACTAAGGCACCCAACCACAAATTGCACAAGCAACCTTCCAAGAACATTACTGGTGAGAGCAGAGCTAGGAAGTGCTCGGGCTAAAGACCTACCCGTTGATTGATATGCGAGGTTTAACGTCCCAAAACCACCATATGATTATGAGACGCCATAGTAGAGGGCTCCCGAAATTTTGACCACCTGGGGTTCTTTAACATGCACCCAAATCTGAGCACACAGGCCTACAACATTTCCGCCTCCATCGGAAATGCAGCCGCCGCAGCCGAGATTCGATCCCGCGACCTGCGGATCAGCAGCCGAGTACCTTAGCCACTAGACCACCACGGCGGGGGGCAAAAAACCTACCCGTAGCAATGCTGCCACTACGGTGCAAAGCTTCACTAACAGTGTAGCCAGCGATCTTTCTCACAGATTCAATGAACTGAAACAGTAGCCCACAACGAAAGGATGCGTTTACATTATCCCTTTCAGGTAGTGCAAATTAAATTTGCAAGCGAACCAGCTCAAGTATCGAGGCAGCCAATTAAGGAGTTGGTATTGCTGAAATGACCACTATGGATGTATCTGACGCACTCATTCAGATTATAAATTGACCAAGACATGCTCAAAGTGAGACTGTGAGGTATTGATATGCTTTCGTTGTACGACCCATGCATTATTGCGCAAAACTTTGGTGCCCAAATGGAAGTTAATAGCTCCCCATCAGTGTTCAGAAAATTCTGAAATCCAGCTGGACGAGATTGAATGCTTCTGCAGAGACTAAAAGTTACAATGCAATATCATGCACGGGATGTGATAGCTCTCATAGTAAAAAAAATACCATATTACATTCAATAAACATTAGCATGCATAACAACCTGCATGCATGACTGAATTCACATCCTTGCCCCATCAGAAGATCGCCCAAACATACAATCAGTTTATCAATGAATCAGTTGAAAAAGTCTTTTCAACATAATTTGGCCATGACTACCAATGCTGAAAATCGAACTAGTTGCCTAATGCTCCTGCAGCAAAACGCTACACCTATTCAGACAGTGCAACAGGTGCACCAAGTTGCAGATGCATAAGCTGGAAGAATGCATGCACCACATGTTCATGTAGCGCATTTCTGAGTACTTTAACCCTTACAGCTGTTCTTCCTTGCCTAGAGCACTCAATGACACTATGCTTTAATATAAAACGCCAGTTTATCCCCATGTCATAATGGAAACATGAAAGAGACAAGCACAACACTCAACTGAAGACTTTTTGTACCACAGCGGGTACAAATATGTGATGCCAGGGAAATTGAAAACGGAGATAGGCATAGCAATAAAACAAAATAGTGAGGAATAAAATCCGGCTGATTAATGTGTCATTACGTTTTTGTATGTCTACCTAACCTAATTATTTCCTCTCTATTATACATGCCTTCGGCTGACTATGCAGCTCTGATTTCTTCCTATAAAGCATTTCTGTTATCGATTATATAGCATGCGCAGCACCATGCAACTGTAATTACAGGCATTTAGCTTAACAAATGAGCATGCAGAAAAGGTTATGCCACTCTCCCAACCCCTTAAGATCAAGACGATCTGCATCATGTTCTAGAATTTATGGAAATTCCGCACACTTTCTAGCTTTTATGGTGTAGAATGACTACTTCAGAAACCAGCATACGAATGTTTCTAAAAACATTGCCATAGCAAGAGTGTGAGGCTCGTGAGAAAGGGGGGGGGGGGGGGGCACTTTTCTGGAATTAGTTCAATGCTAACCCTGATGAAGAGGTAAAGATAGGAGGCTCTAGTAATGTATAGGGCACCAAATGATCTTTAAGTACAACACAATGATAATTTTGTTTTGACGTGGCAGTCTTGGAAGTGCAATAAAATATCGGGCAATCTGCACACAGGGTGCGACCAGCTGATGCTACATAAAAAATTTGAAACATTTGTCACTACACATTTGTCCTCAAATCAGTTGTTGGTGATCAAGGCCGTGCATATTTTCAAATATCTTTTTTCACAGTTTGGCACAACTTTAAAACTTGGTTTGAGATTAGGTAATTGTTCATTTATTTTAAGATGACTTTAAAACAATTTCGTAACTAATGCTGACTATTGATGAAGTTAGAAGAGTGTTTAATGGAGACTAACAGTCAAAGATAAACAGTACTGTTTGAGAAGTTAATATTGATAAACATATATCTACGAAACTTGAAATTTCAGCTGCCAGTATTCGTGCCCTTCATCAGGCACTATGCCACAGTGGTGGATCCAAAAAATGACTAAGAGGTTATGAAAATACACGGCTGTGACGCTGGTTGGTCACATTTCGAATCCCATTGAAACAAGTCTCACCCTGTTTACAACTACTTTATCCCACAACTGGACAAAAGTGAAATCAACTTTTTTTAATTATTGACATATCTAAACCTTGAACTGGCTTTAGGTATCGGGTACTCTTGGGCAAAACAAAATGTAGAAGTTGCCAGCTATGTTTACACTTTTAAAATGAAACAGGCTACCAATATTTCAAGCCGCCAGAACTTCTACGCAGATACCAGCCTTGACTCACACCAAGCAGTATCTAGCCTCTGCGATAAGTATTCACCATTATCAGTTGTTTGCCTTGACATTGCGAGATTACGAGGTGACGCATCTTAAAGGATTACGAGGTGACGCATCTTAAAGCAAGCCGCCCAGCTGATTGTAGCTGGGCACATGCACAATCACATGCAAACTATGCACAACATCTGGCTTAGAAGCAGTATTCCTTCGGGTAGAGATCTAAAGTTTGCGAGGTTCACGTCCCTCAAGACTATGCAAGGGTTATAACAATATCTGGGGTTTTATGTGCCAGAACCACAATGTTATTATGAGGCTTGCCATAGTGGAGGGCTTCAAAAGTTTCGCCCAACTGATGTCTTTTGGTGCACACTAACATTACAAACGCAGACCTCAATCATTTTACCTATATCAAAATGCCACCACTGTAGGCCGGATGCTATCTGGGACTGTCGGGTCAACAGCTGAGTGCCGTAACCACCATACTAGCATGGCGAATCCAGTGTAACGGCAATATATATAGTGCTTCAATACACATTAATTAATCTAATAAAGTGTAATCATTTACAAAAAGACACGTTGTTTGACCTAACTAAGAAGCAGCCTGAAAATTAGTTGTAATCATGTTAAAATAAGGTTCTATTTGTAAAGATGCGGCACGTGCTGCAGCAACGACATGGCACAAAACAGCTGAAAGTTATCCCTTTAAAAGTTGAACACGAAAATCTTCATGGAAAGCATTCAACACAATGTGAGATGTGAAGCAATGTAGTACATGCATTGGCAAGTAATCTTGTGCCTCCAATATATTCTGCATTTAGCACTACCCCTAATACCTCGAACTGCCACCAACTTGTACAGATACCATGATGTAATATTACATGTATGAAAAAAAGAAAAAAACTTTCAGAGCATTAAAAAAAGTCAATTTACTAAATTTATAGTTCAATGAATGCAGTGAACATATATATATACTATATACAGAAAACACTAACATGCATACCATCTATAGTTGAGCTTAAATCAGGGAATGAGTCGTGATTACTATGATTGCTGCGGTGTTACTAAGAGTAATATTCACCACAAATGATCGATCGGTTATTCTGACAATCTGGGAGTAAAACACTGTCCAATAACAAAGCATGCAAAGGAACTGCAATAAGCGGCTGGAATTACCTTGCTGTACATCGCCAATATAATAAAAGCCCTAGACCGAAGCCACAATGCAGTTGACGTCTGGTATGTGCAAACATGATGCAACTACGTGAAGCGTCACTAATGCGTGCCCAACAAAATGACAGTAGGCATCGCGGTGCCTCTGGTAAGCCTTGTGCATAACTATGCGCAACGTGACGCGGCCTGCAACCCGTCAACGTTAGCTTCCTGCCACAACAGCACAGCTGCTTAACGTGCATGCACACACAACTGACACACTGTTTGTGGTGTGCCATTCAGTGATAACAAAAGCACAATAAAGTAGTGAGGCAAGAATGCCGTTTCCCCTCAAGCGATGTTATAAGAGTGTTTGCTATATCCAGACAAGGAAATGGGACTAGCGAGTCCACCAACAAGAGCAACCAAATGCTAGGCGGCCTGTACTTGCAAGTAGTAACCCACCTACAAGCATACCGCTTCTCCTTTGGGCAATTCATCAATTTCAGAAAATAAGTGGGGAGAAAAGGAGGGGGGATGCACACCTGCAATTATAATGCACATTTCAAGTTTTTCCTACACACAGGTTGGCACTTGCAACAGCCTGAAGACACAACAATCTCAAAGCAAGCCTTAGTTTATGTTGCTTCAGTGGTGGTTCATGGCAAAAAAAAAAAAAAAAAAAGCAAGTGTGGCACTCAACCCGCCAAACGGTAGCAGCTTGACCAAGTCAACCTCTAAACCCCATAGCTAGCGAGATTTCACACGCTTGCGAGTGACGACTGGTTGAAAATCGCGCGGTTCGCGTACACCACGGATAGGTGGGCGTTAGAACCAAAGCCCCGGCGCGACAGACTGAGGTTGCAAGTACCCGTCATTACAACGCGACGAGCTTCGTTGCATCACTTCTGTTTCAGCGGTGGCGTCGTTTTAGAATGCAACACCGAAAGGCGCACGCTACCGTTCCGAAAATGTCCTTGGCAGAGGCGATTGTTCCCGTGTGGTTGTTACCAAATGATGGCGGGGTGAGGGAGACATCCCGTGGAATTACACACAGAAGCAACGAGTGAGACAGCGACTACCGGCCGAAAAGGCGCCAACACGAGCTTTAACGCACAACAGACGAGAGGTAACGGCGACAATGCCTTCTCGATCAAGCGCAAAATCGGAGCGCCAAGTTTCACATGATCTCTCCCACCTACGGTGGTGTCAGACGAACGACACGGTTTAGCATCGATCTTGACGCAACAACGGAGGCGCACTTACTCCGACCCACGAGGGCGAGCGTGCTCACAAAGGCAAAAAAGTTTGCGCGCCAACACGCCGTTAATGCGACGCGAGGCCGTCAGCTGTTTTCGCTCCGCTAAGCAAAACAACGAGCGGGGGAGCCCGATAGGTTCAACAATCGTCGCGGTCACTTGGCACACGCAATTGGAAAACGCACAAAGGCGCCGCGGCGCCTTGACGGCAGCTCGTATTGAAGGGGGAAGACGACCCAACTCTATTCCGTTTAGGCGCCGGGTCCAATGAAGTAGGCGCCACACAGCGTTCGGCGCTTTTTCAGCCGTTTCTACGCACAGTGCTCGCATAACGCGCTTGCGAAAATAGGAGGAAACGATTCCGCCCGGGTGACGGAGAACGCGACCGTGAGCGCCGCCAAACTGGTGAGCGATGCATACCTGCAAACGGTTGTTCGCACGTCCCCGGCACTGCGGCCACATTCGCGACCGGGCGCCGGGTCGGGACTGCGGTTCTCCCACACGCGTGACGGCTTTTCTCGGCGATGTATTTAGGCCTAACCGTCTTCATCGACGGCTCCGGCCCATTGCGGTGCGGCCCCGGCGTGGAGAGCAGCACGCGGCCTCAAGCCCCGGGCTCATACAAGGGCAGCAGCGCTCTCCGGCGAGCCGCACACGGCGTGCATCGCCGCGGCAGCCGGCAAACAATGCCTTCACGCGCGAGCACAAGTGCACAGAGGTCGCCATTATACCGAACTTCGAGTAGACGCTGTTTGTTCCGGGGCCGCCCGCTGACTTGCAAAAAGGACGCCACTACTGACCTTGCCACGCAGAGGAATGCAACCACTTTTCGTCTCCGAGGTGTTCCGTTGTGCTCAAATCACAAGCAGGCGCTCATGGCAGCGTTTGGGGGATCAAATCGGCGACAAGCACATACACACCACCACCAACACCATTACCATGAACGGCGAGAGCCGCTCACAACTATGGGTTGCAAAAAACGAGGAGTGCAGCAGTTTTTTGCCGGCAGGTGGAAGCCGGGTAGGTTTACGCGAGAAGCGACTAGAGGTGTGCGCCGAGGGGTCGGCACGCCGCCGCCAACAATTTTTGCTACGCCGTTGCCGCCGACGCCAACCGATTGACGCGCCGCCACCGCCAACGTGTTCTTTTGGCGCGCCATTTAAATAAGATTTTTTTTTTTTTCATCTTACCTACGTTTATTTTGCACCTTCTGTTACCAGTCTGGCCTTAATTCTGTCCACTTCGCAAACGCATCGAGATCGGTTCCCCTGCCATTTCATGTAATAAGTGTACTATAAAAAAAACTTGTCGACTGCTCCTAATAATGTTGGATTATATTTAAACGTGAATTTTAAGATACTTTGAGTTCACTATATTTCAGCGAATCCCAGTCAGTGACAGCGCCAACGGTGGTGTTTGGCGAGGACTGTCGACATATTCTGGCTGACGAGAATTCGTAATAAGTGAGCCGAGCTTTGAACAATGACGAAAGGTGTGGAAAGTCGGTACTGAAATATTCATAATTATGACTGTGCACGCGAGTCGAAGAACAAAGGCAGTTCAAATGCGAAGGGTGGGGGCCAGAACTGGGGACGGGCAAGGTAGAAGTCCAATGTGTATGCAAGATATTGTTATAACTGAGGAAGGGCTAGCTGTTTAGGGCATATTTACAAAGGAAGGTAAAATGACAATTATTATACGAAATGTTCTATCAAACAGAAACAATCCCCATTGTATCGGCATGTTGAGCAAGATCAACATTATTGAACGAAATGGTGATCATTATAATTAAGTTTGTGTAAACTGTGAAGTAACGCACAGAAGATGAATGCGGACAAAACACTGAAGCATGGGCTTGTATTTTCAACGTGCTTTGTCCTGCACACTGTGTGATGCTCCACGCCGCGCTATCAAACCAAGCAATTGGCGTTTACTGCACCAGTTTTTATCTCGGGCTTAATTCAACTAACTATAGATGCCAAGTTGTCACAACCGCGTTTCAAAAAGGACACCACATATGTAGCCTGCTCGGCGAGTTGGTTTATAATATTTTTGGAAGAACAAACTAAGGAGCTCAACCTGACAGGACATCGAGCGAAATGTTTATGGCGGAAAGTCCACAAACCCATGTACATGAAGCGCATTCATAAAAAAATAGGCTGAGGTGCTCCACAGCTGCACACCTAACACTAGAAAGGCAAGAGGCGTGTCAAAGTTGTTCACACAGCACACTTCTATGATCAACGCCACGTGCACCCGCTATCTAGCAACGCGAATTCCTTATCTAGCTGTAAGGACAAGAGAAGGATCACTTATACATGCGTTGCACTTTGCACTTTTTTTGTTTTTATAATGCTTCAAAATTTTCACGTTCAATCTATTTCTTCCTTCGCCGATGACACTGCAGATGTGTTGGGGACGCAGAGACTAGCGAAGAGGTCAGTTTTGTGCCTGAAGGATGTTCACTAGGCCTCGACCCGTCTGATCTCTGTAGATACGGCCACATGAGAAAGGAATTTCTTTCAAATCATTGTATGTCATTGGCAAAGGGGAAAAAAACAGATTGAAAGCGAAACTCATGAAGCCTTCGAAATAAAAACAGAGTGAAGTGTCATGTGTGAGTGATCAACCAGCTTTCCTCCCAGATAAACTTTGGCGTTGATATTTTGGTGTTCCATGTACATCGGCTGCTTCATACCACTACCTTGAAACATTTGTTGGAAAACAATGTACGGCTAATTGTGCAACTGTGGTTTAGATAGCCTTTTTAAGCATGTGCTTCTGATTAGTTTTTGTAGGGGCTTTCTTTAATAACGTTTAGTTTTAAATCCAGCACTTATCTTTTCTGGTTCCAACGCTGCACTCGTGTTTTTTGTTGATTCCTTCTTGCGTATATCGGTAAAGATCATCCCTATTATCGCCATGTGGGCATAGCAACCCCCTCCCTGGCATTCTCCCATATTTCACCATCGTGAACGCACACAAAAGGTCTTCATCAACGTGTGACCTGAACGAGAGATGTGTTCCGATTATAAGTCGGCAAACTCATTGATGAGTCTATTAGAAGAATTGAAAGAAAGACTCAGATTGAAGCGTGAGTCTGAGAGAGCCCGGCTGAGTTATACTTAGGTAAGCCTCAGTCCGAGTTAGCCCGGCTGAGTTTTACCACGGTGATTCTGAGTTCGAGCGAGTTCCTAGTTCGGTTCAGCAAAATTTTGGTTAGTCTGGGTGCCAGTCCTATGTGAAAAAAAAAAACTTAATGAGCACGTCTTTTTATTCTGATGACCTATGGTTACAAATATTTAGTCTCATTTTATGGCGTGCATTGTAATCGTGTATGTGCCGCCTTGTAAAGCCACAGAATTGATTTTCCGAATTGTAAACGTGTCTAATTCCCCACACCCTAGGAAATCGTTCCAGAAGAGGTCCTTGATAAAAATCACTTGCTCATATCTTCGAATAAGGATGACAACCTTAACTTAAAGGCACCGAAGAAATGGCGACATAAAATGCACGACTGAGATGAGATATCAACATTAAAATGCTAACATGACTAAGAAGTTAATGTGCTAAGGTGCACATCTATTTGTAAATTTTGTTTGCAGTGTCACGGACCTTATGCCGTATCACGCTGGCGTGGTTTCACAAATTGAAGTTAGGATTTCCAACAAGACGTTAGGAGTTTCTCCTTAAAAAATCTCGTAATTTTTTGGTGATGTAATAGTGATTTTATGCATCGCACTGGCTTAAACTTTAATGCTAATAGGTAATGCGTTTATAGAGTACACCGTTGGCATACTATATGACAAAGTATAATGAGCACTTTATGCTCATGCATGCTACAAAACTCGTATGATCTTTTCTGAGAGCAGAACGCATATCGGATTGCGATGATAACGAGAGGAAAAATTGAATAATTATCCGTAATTAACTTCATTATTGTGTATCTAGTGTAATTCCCAATTGTTTGAAATAAATGAACATGCCTTTAAGAGGGCATGAAAGTGGGTTGTGCAGCATGTTCTGGCTAATGTGACTCCCGGGAATTGCATTACGCAACATCGTGATTTACATTGAGTTTGATCTGCAATCATGTACCGCATCAAAGGAGAATGAGCACTGTATTCCACCTTCATAAATCATACGGCTTCCAAGGCGACAGAGCGGCACGATTCGCGAGCATCGAGCGCCCCTTCGCTCTCTCCTGCATTGAACTGCTTGTCCTCAGACGCCACTTCCGTTTTCGCATGAATAAATGTGGCGATCGGGAAATTACGGAGCGCAGAACAAAATGTTCACAAGAACGAGAGAGACAGGGTAGCGGCCAACCGCGGCGGAAGGGTTCCGGATTTAGCACCTTGCGGATTTCTAGCGCAGTCCCAGAGCATGTGATTTAATGTGGTAACCTCACTATGGCATATCTTGCATATATTCGTCGGATATATATTGGGGTATAGTCTGTTAAACAGCAGCCCTAGCCTCGGTGACCAACTCTGGGCCGTCCGCAGCAGGCCCGCGATGCGGCGGTCAAGCAAGGTCTTGACGTCCCCACGCGGGAGACCTAAGGTCCGGTCGGCGAAAGCTCTGCCGGACTTCCAATAAAGTTCTTACCAACCAACCGAGAGAGACGGGGCGGGCGCTCGTGAATGCCCTTTCGGTGCATTGTTTTGCGCCAAAAAAGTTTACATCTCGACGAATTTCAAGTTTTTTTCAATGTAGTGACAACACATGCTGTCAACTTTTATATCATTTTCTGTCACGTGACACGCTGAAAGCTTTCCGAGTGGCTTCTAAGGAGGAAAGGGGCAGGAATTAACACACCGCTCCATCCGCGCACGATGGTTAGTCACTGGCAAAACAAATTATTTCAAGCTCTAATGTGGTCAAAAATTTTTGTGGCCCCCTGAGAACTTGATGAGCCTCTAAACACTTTGCCAGCACATCTGCAGTTCAGGACTCCGTAGCGACACAGCATAGCAGCACCCGTTTTTGTATTTTTCCTTTTTTTTCTTACTCAAACTCTTTTTCATTCACAGTTGGGTTTGACACGCGGAATCAATTTCGGCGGTTCCTCACCCGTCATTGTGTTCGCTCAGTCCATTCTGCGAAAAGCAAGCCGCACGAAGTTCACACGCGCTCTCAGAGCCATAGCGTGTTGTCGCGTAAGTATTAAGTCTTTTTATGATTTAAAATGTTAAATTAAACATACATAGTGATAAGTACACTTTTTTTTATTGTGTACAGTAATCCGGTATACGCAAAAAAGTGAAATACAAGGTTATTGTAACGACAGTGCCGACATCTTGTGACACTTCGTGCAACCGCAGTCATGAACATGTTAGCTTACGCGTAATGTTTTTGAGGTGAAAATGAATAAAAAGGTTACTCATTTGTAGTATTGTCGCTGCGCAGTTTTTGCACTAGATGTACAATGCACAATGTTTCTGGAATAACAAAGTTGTGGTTGTTTGTTTCACTATAGCCGCGCTAGATGACGCCACCTATTCAGCTGGTCAGGGGCTGGCATATGTTTTTTAGTTTCCATGTTCCAGGCAATTTTAGCTTTGGAAATCTGGCTGAAACCGTGTAATTGCTATAAGTGCTCGCACTTCGGCTTATTTTAACTCGACGGCTAGAGTATCCGCAGTGCGGATACCGTGAGTTCTTGCGAAGGTGGACCGCGCGGACGCATGGCCCCATCGCCCCAGCGATCTTGCGACGCATCTGTTAGGGGTTTCGCGCATGCGCAATACCACCGCCCCAACGTCCTGCGTACGCAAGCCGCTTGGGTACCCAGCACTAAAACTCCCTACTCATACCTGAGCTTTTGCGTTCTTTGTACGCCCCAAGGAATGCAGACAGGCTAGAAAAACGCAGCAACGAGCTCTACTCTCCGGGTTTAGGGTGTGCAGCACAGATACCTGTATTATTTTCAAAGGTGAACATTCCGCAGAAGTCTGCTTGGCTGGGAGAAC